TTATTATTTTTTTAATTTAATTTGTCAATAAGATAGCTACTAACTATGATATTGATTAACCATTATCACAAGCAAAGGTTGCATCATTTGTGTAATGGTGCTTCTCTGTCCCTTATTTCGTTTTCTGGAAAAAAAAAAAATATAAAATGCATGCTTTTTTTCTTTTTTTTTTTTTTTTAATAATAGAATGATGCAGATTTCATAAAAAAAAAAAATCCATTGCCATAAAAAATTCCATAAAAATATAAGTTCGTTATAATTAAAAATTTATTTTTGATTGTATGTAAATATTTTCTTCGAAGTACAAAATATCGTGAAGACTTGACTTGGCGACTTTTCTTTTTCTTTGTTATGCTGTATCTTCTTCTCCAGGGCAAGGAAATAGTCCATGGTGCAAAAAAGTAATGAAGTTGGCTTGTTGACCTCGCAACTGAAGCAAAAGAATGAAAATTACCAAAACTGTGGAAAACTGTGGTGATCGATGACCCCACCGCCTCTCCTCCCGTTTTCATTTGTTCATTTGTCTCCTTAGAGATTTGAAGATGGCATGAGTTATAATCAGAAGCAGTAAAGTATATGTGCATAAGTGATTACAGTTCCACTGCCATAATTACATATATATGTATATATGGTTATGAACAGGGAAAGGGAGGAAGCGTGAGAAGCAAACGAGAATGCTCACTGTTTAAGAATTTCCAAATAAACCCAATCAACTTTTGTGCCTGTTGTTAGGCACAAAAGTATTTAGAATGGGAGGAGGAGGGGAATTCTTGTGTACACCGACAAAATTGGAGCAGTCTCGAAAACAAAATTGAGAGAGAATGGAGAAACAGTATGAAATGTCCAAAAAACATGCTTATGCTTTGCCTTTCTTTGTCACATCAAAAGGAGTACCATGAAAGTCCTTAGGAATTGCTGCTACGTTTATATCAAATTAATAATTAATAATTAATGGATGTGCGGTTTCTTCCTCCTCCCCCAATAAGCCGCCATTACAGTTGCTTAGTTTAAGTAGATTGTTTGGACTTCTCTACCAACTTCACTTCTTCTTCCCAATGAAGACTCGTCCACTCTTTTCAACTTCATTTCTTACTATTTAAAGAAAAACACTCAATTTGCACAAAATTAGCAAAAAAAAAAAAAATCGTAATAATTCATAATTGTGATTAATTAGTACTTGAACTTAATTAAAAAAAAAAAAAAAAATCAAGTGGGAAACAAACTGGCCAGAATTGTCTCAAAATAAACTGCTTTATTCAGAAAGTATGTTGCCTTTCTTATTAGTCTAAGCAATCATAAAAAGGAGTAGCCTATGAAAAGTCCTTGTACCGGAAAGTGGACCCTAGGGCCTTTGCTAAACGTTTTATAAATTTTACATATTTAAATATTTATTTAATTTAATGAATGGTAAATGGATGTGCAGCGTATTCTTCCTACTTCCCCCGAATACGAAGCACCGCGGGTATACATGTCATAGAACCTTAGATTTTTAAGTAAGATATGTTTTTGAGACAATATACCTCGGGTGGTCCAACTTGATCAAACTATTTCTTCGACTGATGATTATGGGACTGCGTCCGAATTCGGTTTTTCAACTTCAATCGGATATCTGTGATACATATATTTTAGAGATTTCGAAACCCCATACAATTTATGCAAAATATCTACGCTTAAAAATTAATTTAATTCAAAATTATTCTGTTTTAATTCTCCATACAATTGTACATTTAGATAGATTAATTAGTTCACTTCGCAACTCTCAATCTCAAAAAAAAAACAAAGGATAAAAAAAAAAAAAAAAGAAGCATCTAGTCTGCAATATTATTCTAATCGCCTTGTAATGCATACTTTCAATCTCATCCAATTAAATAGATGTCTAGAGCCTTTCTATTAGAAATGTGTCGGTTGTGGCTACGAGATAAGCTATTTAAAATCACTTTTAAAAGTTAAAGTTTGATTGTGGTAGTATTAATTATTTTTAGTTCTGCTTTTAATTTTTTTTTAGTTGAAGGTCTGTGTTTAAGAAAATGGGCTGATGAAATGAGTGAAAATGAGACTTTTAATTAGTGAATTATTGCAATTCGTAACTCATAGTTCCTGAAAGTTATTTTAAACATTGATCACGACAGAAGAATGCAATGAAACTACTATTTTTTTACAGGGTGTCTACACCTTCTCTTTTATATGTAGAAAAAAGCTTAAGATAGAGAGAGAGAAAAAAAGAAATTGCTTTACAATTCCTAATTAAAATGTGTTCCTAAAGACAGTTTATTGAAATTTTCAATTCCTATAACACCACCTAGACTATTTACATACTTCTACGGTCATTAGTAGTAATTAGGTTAACAATCTCAATTTCTTTCTTTTCTTTTTTCTTTTTCCTAATGATGAATTGGGGGATTAAATATATTTTTTAATATATATGATAGCATATTCCTATGCATTTTTTCAAAAAAAAAAAAAAAAAAAAAATCTGTCGGGGGAATTAATATATTTTTTAATATATTATGATAGCATAATTCTATGGGCATTTTTGATCAAAAAAAAAAAAACAAAAAAACATCGAAAAAAAAAAAAAAAAAAAAAAAAAACATTGAAATAGTAGATAGTTTATGTGTATTTAGAAAATGGTATTGATGCCAAAAAGAAATGAAAGAAAGACTTATTTACATTCGGTATATGAATATATTTATATTTATAATTATACACTGGAATAGGAAAGAAAGATAAAACAGTAAACATTGTTTTAAAAAACTCTTATCCTATTGGCTTGATATATGAAATCATTCATATAACATGTGTAAATAAATCTTATAAACTAAGTTTTGCATATGCTAAAATTTTGTTGATTGCTTTCCTTCTTTACTCTATTCCATGATCAAATTTAAGTCACTCTACAAACAATCTAGAAGCAACGATCTTAAATTATAGAACGATTTAGTTAACTTTCCATTTACAATTATTAAACAAAGGAAATCCTAAACCATGATATGCTAGAATTATAATCAATCCCAAACATTGACATAAAGCTTGACATATATATAATATATGGTCATCTACACATTGTGGGGAATGGTAGTGGGTGGCTTATCAACCTCTTCTCAATATATTTGATGCACAATTTGTGACATTTACATATAATGATACAATTTGAATTTCTTTGGCACTATGGGTCCACTCAATTTAATTTAAAGGAACTTTGATGGGGACTAGAAAAATTTTGGGATAAGCTTCAAATTATATGTGAATTTTGCATAACAAGTTAGCAATAGAGCCATGGTGCAAATTGTTTATCAAGTTTGGTATGATAGTAGATACCCATGGGCTCCACATGGGCCCTGCTTGGGCCTTCTCCATTTGATTAGTGATGGTTTCAACCTTATCCAAGATTCGGTTTCTTGCCCTTGTATGTTTTTTTGATCTACCCGTCTCTTGTTTTTGGATTTTCTTTGTCATTACTCAAGAAAGACTTGGTCGTGGTTTAAAAGTTAGATGACTTCTCTTCTTTATCTTTAGTTTTAGGTAGAGAACATAGTAATAGTTTTATTTGATACTCATCTTTTTGTTGTAACTTCTTTTCTACGAGTCAATTCTTTACAAGATGGTTACCTAGGTTTCACATTGATTTGGCTCTTAAACGGTTGGAAATGGAAGTTTGGACAGTCCAAAGATGACAAAATTCAACTACCTAAATGTATGGGTCAATAATTTTTTTATATATATTTTATAGGCTTAATGAACTGGAAGAATATGTGAGTTATAAAATAAAAATAACTATCTCTCTGGATATTCACTAGATTGGTGATAATTTATATGGTGGAGTGAATTCGAACTCAAGACTTCTCATATTCTGCATTTTTTACAAGACATAAAAAAATTAATTAGACCACACATACTTGGTAGGGTCAATAATTTTTTTAATATAATCCATCTCATTAGATGCATGGACATGCAATTTATTAACGGGCTAAATCATATCGGATTAAAATATAAATATGTTGGTTAATAAATGGTAAATAATATTAAATAATTTAAAATGAAATATAAATATTTTTAAAATAATAATTAACAAAATTAAATATACTTATTAATATAATTATATAATAAGTTTTATAAATCACAATTAATAAATTACAACGTAATTGTATACTTCCAAAAAAAAGTTTCTTAATAATAATAATAATTGGATTGTTGTAACCTAATCAAATCCAATTTGTGTATCACAGTGATAATTGATTCGATTCAACTTATTATATTTTCAAACTCTCAAATTGAATTCGATTGAATCAAATTAAAACGAGTTCTGTGTAGTTCTAATAAAAAGGGTCATTTCAAACTCTTTCACCCACAAATCATAGCTTTAAGTTGGAATTATAGATTCAACATTGGAAGAGTAAAAAAAATAGAATCCATCGCTCAATATTTATAAATTTAAAGATATAAATAAAACTTGGAGGGATAATAAAATTTTTGAAAAATTTGAGGAGGCAATGGCTCCATAAATCTTGATGTTGATCAGCCCGCTTAGCTTGTGCTTCCATCTCTAGGGAAATTCAATTATAGTCTTCTGACAAATATTCTAAGCCTTTGCTGTTGAGATGTCTCTCAAATATTACATCTGCAAATTGAAAATGGATCTTGTTGAAAACAATCTCAAGATGAATGATAATCAATTCTTTTAAATTTGTATGTGGGAAAAAGGGCAAAAAAGGGTCATCTTTTATTATTATTTTATTAAAAAAAAATATTATTATTTTTCTTTTTGGTACTCACAAATTAAAAGTAGTCTCAGGTTAATTTATGTGCACCAATATTAAATCGTCTACCTAATGCAATTTTCTTCATAGAAAGCCTGCCGATTTTGATTTCGCATTTGAGCCGAAGGATCCAACTTTGTAACAGTAATTTGGACTATGATAACAGGTCTTCTAGTAATGGGCTTTGAAGGCCCTTTGACGGCCCACACTATAGTCCATCAAAACAGAGAAATGAAGAGAGTCCACTTTCCAAAGCATCTGCGTGGCTTCCATTCGGAATCCACTGAGAAAAAAATTACTGTAGAGGCAACGAATTTTGAGGGAATAGACAAGATTGCAGATTTTCAGTGATATAGGTTTTAGGATACAGAAGCAGATTCAGCTTAGCTCAGCTCAGTAGCAACAGCAGAAGCTGAAATGGAGGCGGAATTCAAAGAGATGCTTAATGATCTCGAATCTCTGAAGCGTTCTTTGCCTGATCCTCAACATCAGACTTCAATCGATAAGGTGTATACACTTGCACGTAATGCATTTTCTATGGATTCTAATCAGTTAATTTACGAAATTGTGAGATTAATCTGAATTTTCTGTTGATCGTTACAGCTTTGCATTTCTTGGATCAAAGTGAAACAATTTGTGAATTTGGGATAACCTTTTTTTTGTGTGCGTGTGTGTGTTTTTTGTAGCTGCAATCGCGCGTTGAACATCTAACAAACCTGGCAAAGTCTGCACCTGGTCGGCGTTCAAAAGTCAAGGTATTCTTTTTTCTTATTTGTCATTTTACCAATGGCTTTGTTTTTCAATTTTATAGTTGAAATGTGTGACTGTAATGCTGGTGAATGAATGATTTATTCTGGTGACAGGATATGAGTGCTGAGGTGGTGGATAGCAATCCTTATAGTAGGCTCATGGCTCTTCAAAGGATGGGAATTGTGGAGAACTATGAGAGAATACGGGAGTTCTCTGTTGCCATTGTTGTCTGTATTTATCTCCTCTTTATGATTACGTTGATGAGCAACAAAACACTTTTTAATGCATTTGTCAATTTGGAATTTGCGTGAATGAAAATAGAATGTTATTAATGGGAGAAATAGAGGATCAAGAAGCAGTTTACAAGAGAGGGAGATTGATACTTATACAATCTAGAAAACTAACTAGTTTATTCTTGAAGTTACTAAGATATGTGAGGATAAATATCTAGTTCTCTTATTATTGATAACTATGGTAACTTGAATTTTGTGATCCTGCTTTGCAGGTTCTTTCTTCTTATGTGCCTGCAATCTGCACTATCTGATATCCTCGATAAATGAATCTACCTAATATTTGGCAAAATGTAGGTCCATTCGGATAGATATCATTTGAAATGTAAAGGAACTTAAATTTGACATTGTGTCGATTTTTATGATTTTTCACTTGAACAAAATTCCAAAATCCACCTTCATGTCAATGCACAACTATCCAGATGATCTGGTCAGTTTCTAGCAAAGGTAGATCTCAGTGGATGAAATTCATAGTTCTTGTGGTTATAGCACATAAATATGAATTTTTGAATAGCTATACTTTTTCCTTGAATCAAATCTTAAGATACTGGTTTCAGAGGAGGTTTCTAGAGATATTGATCTTACACGTCTACTCGTTTCAATAAATATGATAGGATAGGGTTTGGCGAACCCATCAAGTAGCATGAACTTTGAGCTTCCATGATTTCTTGTTATTGCTCCTAGCAAAAATAATGCATGTGTACATTTTTTTTTTCAACCAATTATGATTACCTCAATGGATCACGATTCTCCTTTTAATTGGTTGTTTTTTATTTGATCACAGGGAATTGGTGGTGTTGGCAGTGTTGCAGCTGAGATGCTAACAAGATGTGGCATAGGCCGTCTATTGTTGTATGATTATGACAAAGTGGAGTTGGCCAACATGAACAGACTTTTCTTTCGTCCAGAGCAGGTTTTTTCTTTTCGTGCTTTTTACTTTCAGAATATAATATTCCTGATGCAATATGCATCTAAAACTTGGAATTTTTGAGTAATACCACGAAGCTCTTTTTCTTTACAGCCATTTAGTTTTAGTTTATTTTATGCTGACAACACATTTATGTATTTGCGTGAAAAACAAAGCTTATATATAATTCATTTACAAATATGTATGCTCTTAGGTTGGCATGACAAAGACTGATGCTGCTGTTCAGACCCTTTCAGATATAAATCCTGATGTTGTGCTTGAGGTAAGTGCATGCAAAACTTTATGCGCATGTGGCTTGTCGACCATGATAGACTTATCACCTTAATAGTTTTCCTGAAAGATAACTTTCACTCTAACTTGCACATGTGCACCATCCCCTTTTGATTGGGGAGGGGATGAAGAAGGGTAGGCCCATTTGTCTTTTATGCTTGTGAATAGTTTGGTTCTATTAGGTCAATACAATCTCAGAAGAAGATTGCTTTCTATTTTTCTGAATTTCTACTATTATTCTGCTGACTGTATTTTCATTGGATCTTTTCTATTCAGAGCTATACGCTGAACATCACAACAGTTCAAGGATTTGAAACCTTCATGTCAAGTTTAAAAAATAAATCATTTCGATCAAGTAAAGAAGGTAGTGGAGTAGATCTTGTTTTAAGCTGTGTGGATAACTATGAAGCAAGGATGGCTGTTAACCAGGTGAAGAACACTGTTGTAGCACCATAGTTTTTTTTCTTTTCATTTGTTTTTCATGACAGATGCCACTGCCAGGTCTGATGGCCTTTTCCAAATGTAAAGATTTTCATCCTGATATTATTATTTTTATCCTTGTGCTGCATTATCTGATGATCATTTATGAATTATAATTTAAGGCTGGTATTTTCTTTTTGGGGATGCCAAAAATTCTTTTAAATATTCTAAATGTCTTGGAATGCTTCTATTGTCATATGCAGGCTTGTAATGAATTGAATCAAACGTGGATGGAGTCTGGTAATGACATTACTCTTGCTTGTTGTTTAAATCTTTGTGGAAGAAATTATTTTGACTTACTATAGTCTTCTTCTAATGTTTACAATTATGTTTCATAAAATGGTCTTAGATGTATGCTTCTTGGCATATTCTGATCTGGTGGGTTATGGATGTACTTGATTTTGAAAAATGAGAAGTTTTGAAGGAATTGTATGGTTTCTTGGCTATAGCATGAACTACTCTATCAATGAACTTCTAGTACTTTTTTCAATTGTATTCATTGACAATGTGTTCAACAGAATGAAAGTTATAGTTCTCAAATTTGTTTGCAGGCATGCAATAGGTTTATGCTTCAAACTAGATTTACAAGATCCAGTTACATATGCATTATTTTTTGGATTCTTTGAGGGCTTACATTTAGTGTTTGAATTATTGGGTATTTCGGCTCTCTCCTTCTTGGCACCTGTTCATGAATTTAAAAGAAGATATCTATTGGCAGGTGTATCTGAAGATGCCGTCTCAGGTCATATACAACTGTTGATTCCTGGAGAAACTGCTTGTTTTGCATGTGCACCTCCCCTGGTATGTTCTTTCACTTTTTGGATTTTGACTATACTTAAGGATCTTTTAATGTAGCTTTGAAATTTCTTTAATGCTTTTTTGGTTTGCAAGTTTACATAACTATTCTTTTTCCTACTGTATTATTTTCTGGTGTCCTGAAGATTAATATATGGTTGTTTAATAACAAAATGTGAAGATGGCATTGTACTTCTTTTAGGTTGTAGCATCTGGTATAGATGAGCGCACACTCAAGCGGGAGGGAGTTTGTGCAGCATCTTTGCCTACCACAATGGTAATTTCTTCACGGCCTTTTAAACTGCTCTTATTCTAGAAGTACATGGTTCTCTCTTATGTGCCTGAATAGGAATAGAGAAAGTAGCCAAAGAAACCTTAAAGATTTTGTGGCTACTAGTGTGGTGGTGCATAACCAGTTGAGTAGGACATTATGTTGCTGAAGTTGTTGCCTACGAACTGATGTTCTAATTTCCAGTGATATGAATCGAATTTCAGGGAGTTGTTGCAGGGCTTTTGGTACAAAACACACTAAAGCACTTGTTACAGTTTGGAATTGTATCCCCATACCTGGTAAATTCAATGTTAACCCTTTCTGTCATTGATTTGTTCAATTCTTGTTTAAATAGTACTTTGCCTGAATTTAATAAATTTTTATGGAAGTTTATATATTCTTTGTTATGTTATTTTCTTGGGAAACGTCGGTAGTTACATGTTCATCAGGTTGTCTAGTTTTGACAGGTTCTGGCTTTATTTGTTTGTTGCAGGGATACAATTCTCTTAAAGATTACTTCCCAACCATGGAAATGAGACCAAATCCTCAATGTTCAAATGCTGCTTGTTTGGAGCGTCAGGTATCAAATTCAGAAGTGCTTTGATGATTCAGAAGCAGTTGTTTTCTTGAAATCTAAATATTTGATGCATTTTGATTTTTTCCCACCCTAATTATATGAACTGTGATTATTGTACAGAAAGAGTACATCCTTGCAAAGCCAGCTAGGGATGCTGCAGCTAAAGCAAAGATGGAGGCAGAAGCACTATTAGTTACGGAAATCACACTTCATGCAGATAATGAATGGAACATAAGGTAACGCTGATAAAGACACTAGTTCACATCAATTCTCTTCTCTTCTTCTTTATGTTATATTTGTTTCTGGGAACTTGGGAACCAAATTTTGTTGAAACTTTTTCCTGGCATCCTCAGTGTTGTGGATGATAGCGAGCTGGAAGGGACAGACGCCACAAGTTCAGGTGATCCTTAAAGTTTGTCTTCCATTTTTATTATCACTTGCTACAAAATATATAAATGGATAGATGCCAAACTTTTGTTTTGCAAACATAGTCCATGCAAAAGTTAGATGGCAAATATTTTCACCAAGGGAACTGTTAAAGCAGATGACGCAGCTTGTGTAGAAACAGTCGTAATTTTTGTATTATACATTAAAAAGATAATTTTATCTTCATGATTGAAAACTATAACTGGAGAATATTCCTCCCTCCTAAACTAGTATGGTGATATTTTCTTCTCCATCTTTGTCAATTTTTGCAGATGCTCTTCCAGAAGGTCTTGCACGTGAGCTCCCAAGTGCGGATGAGTCCCCGGCTGCTGAAACAGCTACAACTCCAATTGACGACCTCGAAGAACTTCGGAAGCAACTTGAAGCCCTTAATGCACCATAAAGCATATGTAGCATTGAGAAGAAACTAGGTTTCAAGAAGATAAGGCAATCGATTTCTTTAGAGTTAAAAAAGGTCCATTTTTTTTTTTGTTACTTTTTGTCTCCCTAGATAAATATATCAAACGGGAACGAAGCTTTTTCTGGGTTTGAGAAATCATTTGAAGTGATTTTGTATTTCAAGGTCCGGATATTAATAAAATACATTTTTATCTTAATTTAGATTTTGAACAGTTTATTTTAGGATTTTTTTATTAATTAATGGAAACAAAGAACCATCATTCAATTACTTGGCTGTGAACAAAAGCACCACGGATGAAGTTAAATGAGTACGAGCTTATATTCAATAGTCCACAGTGATACAAACAACAATAAGCTTAATGAATAAACAAAATCTGTCATTAACTAAAGATCTTCAAACTTGATCAAAATTTGGTCCATTTGGGGCTGATGTTTCCTGACCTGCAATGATAAAGTAGATAGGCACATGGAAACAGACTGAGGAGGGAAAGAAAATCAGAGAACAGGTAAGCTGGGCAGGTTTTTGCAACTTACTTTGACACCAGCCATAGATAGGAGCTTATGTGAAGCAATGTACGCTGTGTCAGAATTACTCGAGTTCTTCTCCACAAAATATATTACTTCAGATACACCTGACTGAAAGAAAGTAGGTAAATCATATAGCAATTATTACCCATAAATTAAGAGAGGAGGTTCAACTGGAAACAAGAACAATTGCCTTCTGGACCGCAAAAGAGACCCCATTTGTAAGTTTCAATTGGAATTTATAGTTTTAAGATTTCTTCTAAGTGCTTGTGTCCATGGATATAAAAAAAATACACCAATTATCAGAGTTATTAGATCTCAAAGATGGGGCTTTGTGTTAATATTAATAGGTCCTACAAGATCCAATATATTTTCCTATTTAGGTAATCATATGATATATGGATCTCCTAATGGGTTTTGAGTAGGTTTATGTTAGTCTCCTAGTCACTATAAATAATAGGCATAGAGAAAATTAACTGCATATTTCATGTTTTCTTATGTCAGCAAAATCCATTCAGTGTGAAATAATGTATTAGTATTAAACTAATATTTCCAATGGCTGGATACTGATTGAGCAAAAACAGTTATTTTGAACTAATTTCCTGATAAACACTAAATGGAAACGGAGAATTCATTTTCTTTTCATTGTCGTGTAGGAAAAAATCAGGACCATACTAGTGAGGTTTAACCCATGCTTTCTTATCTGGATTTACAAATATAGTATAAAAAACATGATCGTCAAACCTGAATGATTATCTTGGCACATTCATTGCAGGGGAACATGGTCACGTAAAGCTTCTGCAAAAATTATGAAAAAAAAAAAGAAATTTTCTTAATTATTTTGGTTTCAATTTCAAACATCCACATTCTGAACTGAATTCTGGAAAATCTAAATAATGAGAGAAGCACAGAGAAAGTGCAACAAGAAAGTAGATATGAGACGAATGAAATTGTAGCCATTTCTAACCTGCCCGGCAGCAGAAGCATGGTTTCTGTTCAGGATAGCATTAACTTCAGCATGACAAACATAACTGCAATAGATGGCTAGATGTACGAGTGATGTACCAGAGATATTCATAACATATAGAATGGAGACAAAAAAAAAAAAAAGCATAAAACATTAAAGCGCTAGAACGTGATGCCAGATACAGGACACGAACTATTGATGAAGAAAAAACATACATGTATATACGCTTATACATCTGTGGAAAGAACATATATTCATGTTAAGAAGTTAGTAAAAGCATAGCACTTACGGATACTTTGTCTCCAGAGGATTCCCAGTTTTAGATTTCTGAAACATAGAAGCAGAGGCTTAGTAGAAGTAATTCTATTGTGAAATAAGAAACTTATCAAATCCTAACCTTTGCCCAAGGAAGTTTGTCATCTGAGCAACCTCTGGGAAATCCATTATAGCCAATGCCTAAGCCAAGTAATTAGTACGAGTCAAGTATAGCAGCTGCAAATTCACGAATACTAGACTATCAACATGATCAGAAATATAAGTTTAAGCAACTGATCACTATTTCCAATTGACTTGCTTGTGGTATTTTCATCACTATGGCAAGTGTTGACATATAGACGAAGTAAGAGTTTGGTACCTAAATTACCAATACATTGCATGGTTGCAGTCACTTCAAAGAAGATAAGGCAATGTATGCATATAACTACATTAACATTGTCTTACTTAGAAGAAAAATTGCAAGATTCATCTTATACAAACAATAGCACCGCCATGTTGTTAGATGCAAATTTCACACGCTAGTGACCTTACCAAGAATTACGCCATTTTGACTAACTAAGCATGCACCAACCTGCAACTCCAATGCACAATCGAAGGAAGTGTTAGCTATCTCAAACTACTAATGTCTAATTAATTTACAGTTACAGTTGCTTGTTCTAATAAAGGAGACTTGATCCCAATTACAATTATCTTAAGTACAAAAAGAATTAAAAGAATCAGAAAATGACCTGCCTGTTAGGATCTTTTGATCTTTCAGCTGATAGAAACGCAATAGCCATAAAATAATCGTCCCACGACAAATATCTGAAGTAAAGTGAAATGGAAAGAAAACATAAAGGTTTTTAGAATTGTGAAAAGAAAAATAGTGAAACCTCTCATCTCTGCTGAAATTTTTGCGACTTGACTAGTAAACAGCAAAGTAACGTTCAATTAATTGAGAAATCTGACTAACTCTTTCCGTTTGGAAGGATCAAACGGGCTCTGAGACGAGCGTTTCTTTGAAATGACACCATTTCCAGATGGATCGATCGGGACAAACCGCTTTTTGTGGTTGAAGAACAAGGAACGAACCACAAGTGCAGATGTTAATGCAACGAAGATCGTTGCTGTCGAGACAAGAACAAGCTCTCGAGAAGTCATAAAGTTTGGCAACTGAGAAAACGCGGCAAAAGCCGACAAACTGCTTTCTGTTTCGCGAGAAAATTTGCTCGAAGATAAATGAAAAAAGGAAGTAGCGGGAAAATAAGCAAAAGGAAAGGGTAGTATGCGGGAAGAGATTCCATTTCCAGCGCGTGGCAGAGAACACCTCAGATCCGAGTTTTGGCGTGATCAAATTAGCAATACGGGTCAAATATCTCTACGAATTGATCGGCCCACGGGCCATGGCCTACCCGGGTCCTATCCCTCTCCCCCCTATGTCCACTTGTCCTTTGAGCACTGTTTTTCAAAGAAAGGAATCACGACCCTACAATTACTTTTTTGGCCTCATTATTAATACTACGAAATTCTTTACAGCCATATAATAGTCAGACTGAAATTCTGAGCATAAAAAGGAAAAAAGACAATGAGAAGTCATTAAATTTTTATTATTGTTCTACTTATGATAATGATAAAAATATTCTTGGACCAGCTTATCTTGCGGAAATCAAATCCACTCCAAACGATTTCAAATACACATTCTTCACATTGATCTAATGCAAAGAAAGTCTTACAATCTATTTTACAAAATTCTTTACTTTTTAATCACAAACTTCCAACAAACGTTGAATTGAAATTGAGGGTTACATTCTTACATAGAAATAATGGAACCAATAGACAATAGTACATTGCATGTTACATATTTCATATTTGGAAGGGGAAATGTTAGGTCTTGTATGGACCAGATAACCCTCCATGGATAGGTTTCTTTTATGCAAAAAATGGCTAGGGCACTTTAAGGAGAGGCACTTTTTAGCTCAAAAATGGGACCCTAAAAGAAAAAAAAAAATGCCCAAAAACTTAGTTGGAGTCCATGATATAAAATGATTGTCCTGAAGTGATCTCCATTAACACCACAAATGGGTGGGTGATTTAGGCAGGCAGTGAAGCTAGGACTAAGACTAGAGCATGCATAAACTTCCAAAGCCTTCTAAAACTTTTCACATGCCCCATGCCCCCCTTAACTGCTACAAAAGCTCTGCCATTTAAATGGAACCTTTCCCATGTTTTTTCAGTTGCAGTGTCTTTAGACCAGTCTAATCGTGCAAATTGACTATTTTATGAACAGACACATTCATAATTGGTTAATTAGAAATGGATTATGACAATGAAATTCTGGGCCAAATGGAAAAAAAGCATTTCTGGTTCAGTGAGCCTGTTTGGGCCTGTGTTTGACCATTAAATTTGTGTATTTAGTTTATACCAAAAAAGCCAAATATTAGGTGGAGATGGCCGAGTTGGTCTAAGGCGCCAGATTAAGGTTCTGGTCCGAAAGGGCGTGGGTTCAAATCCCACTCTCCACAACAATAACATTAATCATTTTTCTGATTTCTTATCTAAAAAACATAATTCTATCACCTTATTGTAAATAAATGCAATTATTAAACTTATTAATAGTGTTTACGTATAATGCTTTTTGTCAGTTTATATATTTTCCATATTCATATATTTAAATTATATTGTAGATAAAGTTTCAAATCATTTCAAAGATATAAATATTAAAGTTCTTGAAAAAGAATATATTTATAATTTTAATTATCCATTATAAAATGGCTTTTGTCTTGATTACGGGAGCGATATATATTTTCATGGATATTTTTATTATTAAATTTTTTTCGCATGTAAATAGAAAGTGGTAAAAAAAATCAAATTAATAAAAATGTTAGATTAAAAGTTGAAATTTATAATTCATAATCCAAAAGTCCATTGTAAGACCACCGATTAAAATTATATTAAATTTATGTTTTTTTTAAAAAAATGTGTGTGTAGAAATAATCTAAAAAGTGAATCAAAAACTCCCAAAATTTGAGAAAGTGTTGCTCTCATGTCATCAGTTCACTTTTACTTTCATTTGTGAGTTTGACTTGTTTTTGAGTTAGAGGCCCAACTGCTCTTCTTTCGTATCCATTTTATTTGTTGCTATCTTAAAAGTTTGACACTACCATAAAATATTTATATATTTAACCTTTTATGAATGCAATCTTGTCCATAACAACACATCTACTTGATAAAATCAACCCTCGCACATGCATAAAGTCTGCACAGAATCTTCACTTGCAGCACCATCTCGTCCCCATTTTCTCCCTTTTTGTAATATTTATCTTCCTTCAATCATCCTTCCTCAAGAATTTTATATATATAATAAGCTTCTCCAGAGTGTGTATATATACCTTTTTAGCTAACTTTCAATTCAGTATTTTATACTCTGGTAAGCCGTAACGAAATACAACATAATCAAATACATTTAAGTTATAAATCGGTAAAAAAGTAAAAATTGAATTGATATTAAAAAATCAATACTGACTAACTAATTAATTAGCTTTTCATAATCTTGATATTTTAGCTATATAGCGTTGTATTCTATTTCGGCTTAAAATTAAAATATGAATATATTAAATCATATTGATGAAAAATGCAAAATAGAATTATTTGCAATTTACAAAATTTGTTTAAAAATGAGTTTATAAAAGTGACATAAACCTAAGATTTGAAATATTATATAGTTGAAATGCAACAATAATACAACTTTTGAGAGTTAAACCGATGGAGATTCCTAAGCACAAAAAATTTGTTTCTCTTGCAAGACGATCAAGGATTAAGAAAAGCCTTTCATCACAAAGTGGTCACAGATGAACGGCCCAAGAGGGAGAGTCAGTACCCACAATCATGGTCAGCCAAAGCAGTGTGGCCATCCCACGTGCCGACTCTGCCCAGAGCGTGAGTTGCTGAGTTAGAAAGTGGACAACTTTTTTTCTATTGAGGGCCCGACAACCTTAGCCCTACCATAAAGTTTAAATCCATGTCCAAAGCACCCAATTTTTTTTTCTCTTTTGATTTTTTTTTAATAAATAAATAATTTAATAAAAAAGCCTAACCTTCTAAACAACACTTCGCGCACGTGCGAGTCTAATTATTACACTCCCACACCTCTCCTCCATCCTCATCTCCCCTAATAATAAAAAAGGGATTATCAAGTCAATAATAAAATAACAAAATTAAAAAGACGATGAAAAAGGAGAGACAAACACTTCGCTACAACACAAAAAAGCTACTCATAGCTTAATAACGTGATCCGTTATTTTTTCATGTTCCTTTTGGATTATTCAACGGATTTCTTAACCTCTCCAAAACACCATTTATTAATCAGTAAAAATGCATTAAATTTTTGGATGAGAAATTTAAAATCTAAAATCATCTGTTAAATAATTTTTATCTAATCAATAAGGTATTAATTAAGTAATAAACGATAATTTAAAAGTAAGATACAAATTTGATTCCGAAAAAGTACAAACCTTAACATGTATATTAAATCTAAAAGATAAACAAAAATTGATTTTATGAATGAAAATGAATCCTGTAATTTTAATTTAATTTATATTTCGATTTTAGTTGTTCTTGATGATAATTTTATCTGAAAAGGAGTTTATTCATAGCTTAATGATTTTAATAGATTTAAATTTCTAATTGAATTTTAGTTTTTGCCCGATTTTTATATTTTTTTTTTAACCAAACCTTTTAAAATATATATAATTTTAAACCAAACTGTGGGTTGGTCTCTGGCGAGAATTGTGGGAAGATAAAAAAGGGTATTATTGTCATGCATCATAGTTGAAGGTAGTTAGGTCATTTTGCATGGAAGCCATGGGCTAAATGGTAATTTGGTCTAGTATAAGTTTTTATATAAGGCACCGTTCTTTGCCACCTTAACAGTTCCCTAGCTAGATAGAGTTTAAATAAACATCTTCTCTCCTTAATGGAAGAGGATGATCAGAGAGAGTTACAGCTGCTTCCCTCACAAAACTCTATAGCTTCTTCTTCTTGTTCATATACACACATGTCGTCTCGGCCGCTGGATTCATCTTCGTTGAGGTATCGAACACCGGCGAATAATACTACGGTGTCTGATCATCGTCATCATCATCAGCGTCAATTTGGAGGGCCATCACTAGACTTGCAATTATCAATCAGTCTTAGCCCAATCCAGGCTCCATCTAACTGTGTTTTAACAGGTCCCATTTGTGATTTCAGTGACGGGAAAACGGAAACGAGTTGCGTGGAGGCGTTGAAATGGCAAGCGGCGGAGCAAATTCGATTGGCAGCCATTGAAAAAGCTTATGCAGAAAGAGTGAGAGAGCTGACAAGGAGAGAGATGGAGTTGGCACAATCGGAGTTCGCAAAGGCAAGACATATGTGGCAAAGAGCAAGAGAAGAAGTTGAAAAAGCTGAAAGAATGAAACAAAAAGCGACAAGGCAGATAGATTCTACGTGCATGGAGATCACTTGCCAATCTTGCAGGCAAAGGTTTAAGCCTTAAACGATAATAATAATAATAATCAGAATATGCTTAATTATTAATTATCTTTATATAATCAAGATTGAGATTTGAAAACCATTGAAGACAAGCTTATCGATGAGGGAGAATGAGATTAATCTAGCTAGAGCCAAGTTGTTGAGTTTTTGAATATTTGGGTATTGGATTCCTTCTTTATTTTTCCTTCATCAATAACAGAGAAGAGAAGGAGATAAAGATGAAAAAGGACACAGCATAAGTGGGCATGGAAAAAGCTTGCAATGCCCATATTTTGTTTTTTCAATTTCCATCATTGTTGATGATATGTGTGATTATTAATAATAATTATAACAAGAATTTATTTGAAACCAGAAAAATTGTTTTGAAGCTGCTGGAATCTGAAAATTTTTAAAGGAATATCGATTTAATTAATACTTGAAGAATCAAATTAAATTATTAAGAAAACAATCCTCTTGGCAATCATCATTGATTTACCAGTAATTTTAATTAGCTAACTGATGAAATCATTAGGTATCATTGTGTATCATGCTGTAAATTTCTCTTCGTATCATTTTTTTTTCGGTACATCTGCAATTTCTTTTTTTTTTTTTTTTTTTTTTTTATAACAAGAATTTTATTTTTGAAAACCAGAAAATTGGTTTTGAAGCTGCTGGAATCTGAAAATTTTTTTAAAGGAATATCGATTTTAAATTAATACTTGAAGAAATCAAATTAAATTATAAGAAAACAATCCTCTTTGGCAATCATCATTTGATTTACCAGTAATTTAATTAGCTAACTGATTGAAATCATTAGGTATCATTGTGTATCATGCTTGTAAATTTCTCTTCGGTATCATTTTTTTTTCGGTACATCTGCCAATTTCTTTTTTTTTTTTTTTTTTTTTTTTTTTGATGGATGAGATTGTTATAATCTGAACCTCCCAAGTATTATATTATGTATTCTACCATGCATATAATTTTTGGTTAATCACATAAATGTACTTGATTAGGATATATATATATATATAACAAATGATCATTGCATGATAAGCGGCAGAAGAAATTGAAAATTAAATATTTTTGAATATACAGGTTTAGGGTAAATGATAAAAAAAAGATCAAACATTTGGTTGAATTGTAATTACTGCCCGGTTTAAAAAAAAAATTGTCAGTTGTAATTTTTGATCTTGATCATATCAATTGCTGTTAAACTTGGAATAATTAGAGGGTATCTGAGACTTGAATTTTCCTTTTCCTTTCTTATGATTTCCTTTCTTATGATTGAAAATGTGACTGTTTCCAATTATGCCAAAGCAATGAGAAGATTCAAAATTTTTTCTTCTTTTTATTTTTAAATTTAATAAATTTTAGAATATAATTAATATTTTTTTGGTGTTGTATTACACTTAAATATACTTTATACATCAAAGGCAAATAATATACTTTATACAATCAAAGGCACAATATATATGAATATATAAATAGGTTTTTTTTATATAGAAATTATGTATTATAGATTGCCCATCGTTAATATGTTTTTTGTTTTTGTTAATTAAGTTATAGTATGTATATAATTGACAAAATCAAAAAAAAAAATATATAGTCCAAAATATATATGGATTTTTATGGTAATCCACCTTTTTCTTTATCAACTGCGTAAAGGAATTAATTATAATCATCATGTCAAACATATAAGAAACTTGGAACATTTGAAAAAAATCTTTAAATAATTGCGGCTTAACAGATTAAGTTCACACATTGCAATATTCATTTTTTTTTTTTAAATGTAATTCTCAAATCCTATACACATAAAAGACAAACAGAAAGGAAATATTGTAATACTATTAATTATATATATATATTATTGTTTTTTTTTTTATTCTTTTATATTGTAATCAGATATCAAAGATGGTACTTGCATAAATTGTAATTTCATTTAATTGTGTATAATCGATAAGTCTAATTTAATATATTATAACGCTAGGGCCGTGGGAATGTTGAGGATGAAAAGGTGGAAAAAAAAAGAAAGAAAAGAAAAGAAAAACCTAAATTAGATAGGCTGCCAAAGCCATATCTGTCAACAATCAATATGAAGCAAGAACTTGCTGAACCGACTACCCAGATTCTTATCCCTAAATTGACAATGTAATTCTCAAATCCTATACACATAAAAGACAAACAGAAAGGAAATATTGTAATACTATTAATTATATATATATATTATTGTTTTTTTTTTTATTCTTTTATATTGTAATCAGATGGTACTGCATAAATTTAATTTCATTTATTGTGTATAATCGATAGTCTAATTAATATATATACCTTAGCCGGTGGGAATGTTGAGATGAAGGGGAAAAAAAAAGAAAGAAAAGAAAAGAAAACCTAATTAGATAGGCTGCCAAAGCCATATCTGTCAACAATCAATATGAAAGCAAGACTGCTGAACCGACTAACCCAGATTCTTATCCTAATTGACTGGACAATCAAAAGCTGAATTAGCAAGAATCACAAAGTGATTAATCTAAATTTATATTTTGATATTTTACAAATACTCATAAAAATTAATCAAGTGCCTATGGAGTTTCTTAAATTTAGAATAATCAACCCAAAGAACAAATACCAATATATATATATATATATATATATAACCCGGAAATGAAAAATAATATGATGGGTCAACCTGAAGCCTGGCACAGTCAAGTTCAGAACCTTGATATTGATAGAAAGGCAAATGAATCGAAACAAAAAACAAGAAAATTCATCAGGAACAAGACACTTAAGAATAGCTGCATCCACTTGTATTCAACTTGTTAACTTTTGCTGATGATAAACACAACACCCACTATCCATGTCTGGGATCCAACACAAAAGACGCATTTTTGGATAGGATATATATCTATATACAAGGAAGAATAGTAATTCCTCTTTCAAGAACATTATTATTAGCTTGATTTGCCAGCAACCTCCAAACATATAATGAGATCAAATACCGTTAATCTGTCATGGGGGTTGCCTCCAATAATACATTGCATGACACTTTGATTCTTTCTTTTGCTTAGGTCAAGACATAATCTAGTGGGGGCAGAGTATCTTCAAGTTTCAAAAAATTATTAGGTCCTTTATGAAAACTACATTTGCCAACAACACTTAAAGAAAGAGAACTTGAGAAGAAATAAAGTTAATCCTAATCTATTAGTGTCCAGCCGCATCCTTAATTAATTTGGTTCAGAATCTTTATAATTAAGCTTACACCCTAATTAATTAAAAGAAAACCTTTATCTTGTCTGTGCAATAAAAACCCATTTGCCATAACCTGACAAAGACATCAAGACCACTTTTTATAAGCTTTTTCATGCTTAAAGCCTTAAATTACGAACCCTATTATTGCCTTCTAATGATCAAAATCTCAAAGATGTACATTTTTTGATTAGAGGTACTGGAATCGAGTCGAGTCGAGTCTTGTGGGTTCGAAAGCTGATAACATATAATCTAATTAAGTGGTATAAAATGAGGGATGAAGCCAATGATGGAAGTGTACAATTAATATCTTTGGGGCTGGAAACTAACAAAAAAACTATTTATTGAGTGTATCCTAATTGAGTTGCATAATTAAATGATAATCATACTAATCAGAAACCGTACTCCGACATATGGCCACTTGAATTATGGGGGAAGGGGTCTTGTCTTGTATCTTTTATTTGGATACAATCAGAGAAAGAATTGCAAGAGCTATCACTCTACCATAAAGTTGATAACCAAAGATAAAGTTGTAGGACATAGTTGCTGATGAGCCATCAAACTAGTCATTATGACAAAACCTTAACATTTGTCTTTTCAGATTGTCCACATATTATCATTAACCGATACTGTATTTCTACTGCAGAAATTCTGATGTAGATTTGTCAGAATCATATATCCAACACTTCAATTCCATTGTAAAGAGGACTCCCCAGTCTCCCCCTTATCCCCATTCCCATACATTTGTGTCTATATATGTCCCCCATACAAGGTTTTCTCTCAACCTACCTGTTCCTGAAATTGACAGCTCTATTCAATCAATTCATAGCTGATAAGCATCCCATATTTAGTTTTCTTGCCATAATTTTTTTGGGTTAAGTTATGAAATCTTTAATTACTTAGCACTTGGCAGCATTTTTCGCACGACAAGTGCTTGTTCAGTAGTGCAGGAGATCATCAGGATGCATTATTTTGAGCTAACTTTGACATTGGTGATCCATTACATTATTACATCTGGAAAAGAATATTTATTCTGGATTCCTACAAAAAGACAGTGCCAATCATTTATAGTTAAATTTTGGAAGCAAGCAATGAGGAACTATTAGAATTAAGAGGGGGACAAAAAATGGTGGAGTTCGTATCTTGTCATGTGAGAATTCATTCATTGGTAGTTAATTATAATAAGGTAAATTTCCCAAAACAAGACTGCTCTTCACCATCCTTTTCATGGTAAAAACAAGACCCCATTTTATTATATATATTTTTATGTCAAGATATTGAATGTTTGAAGATATATATATGTATATATATATTGTTGGTCACTCAAGTCATATCCAAACCAATCAAAAGGAGAAAAGGCAACTCACTTTTATATGCTTGGAAAGATAAATTAGTTCATGGTGGGACTCGAACTCTTGGACTCACACCATGTGTGGAAATGTGATTCACACTATTATTGCATTACATGACTGGCTAGCAGAAAGGGTGATGAAGCTTTTATCTTTTTCAATAATTAAAATTGAAAAGGAAAAATTTGCAAAATAGAGCTCATCATATATATAGATTCTTTCATTTTTCATTTGCAGCACTGACATCAGAGGAAAAAGAAGTGTTGAAAATAGACTATGTTGATCTAATCACTGCTGTGTATTATTTTACCATCTAACATATTACCAGCAGATTGCTAGAAACTACCTTTTTGTCAAAAAATTTTCTCTTCAGAGCAGGAAAAGCTAAAATTATGATCCTTACTGCAGCTAGATGATGCTCCTTGTTTTGTTTTATTAACTTACCAATTCACTGGGAAAAATACAAATAAAACGGTAACAATCTCTTAAAATAATTTTTTCTTATTGATTTGGTATATATATATATACACACACACACACGTAGTTTCATACATTATGTGTAGATAAGTCTTATCTGATGATGATGGAAAGAGCTCTAAAAAAAAATCTAGCCGCTCTCTTTTTCTCTTCCAAAACCTAAAAGCTCTTTTTTCTTAGCTCTCATTGGTGGTCACCCATTTTTATTCTTTTTTTATTTATTTTCTTGCAACTAATCCTTAGATATGTATACAGATCTGATTTATTGTCGCTCAATTATGGAGATTATCATCACCCATATTTTGGAATTTTATTCTCAGATCTAATTTTAAGTTATTATTGTCACGTGATTTTGTCGAACGTTTTTTTCTTATTTTGAATAGTTATACAGAAAGAGGTACAGATCTCCAAAAGAAATTTGAAGGTAATCAGATTCTTGTAAAAAGACCATTGAATCGAAAAGTGGCTATAAATAGCCACCAAGTGGAACAAGCGATCGCCGATGGTACAAATATTATACTTTGTCAATTCGATTAGATACTTCAAATCAATATTGTTTTTTTTTATTCTTTGTATAAATGGTTTATTATTAGATTTCAGATACAAAAATATAGAAACATATTGATCCGTATCCAATATCTATATAGAGTTTTCTTTTAATAAAATTTCTAATTTGATTTATTTAAAAAAAAAAAAGTCTTATCCGATGACGAAGATAATGACTTATATCTTAGCTTGAATAGTAAGTTGTAATTTGCATATAAATCAGAATTTAGGTCTTGCAATGTTATTAAATTATGCTGTAGTAATTCCTAATTTAAAATTTTTCATTTAATTAAACACATTGATTTCATATTATTGCAAAGTGAAAGGCATTCAAGAAGCAATTTATTTTTTTGTTACTTAACAAAAAAAAATAAAAAATAAAAAAAATCAGTGGTTACTATTAAAAAACTAAAACTGTAAAACACCTCGACTTAACAGAATTTGCTAATATGATTGTATATATATAAACACACACAATTGTAAGAATGGATCAAAATAAAATCATGACCAAGTATACTATGTGAGTACTGTTGTGTGATTGCTCAGAGAATATATATATAGATATTGAAAAGATTTATTTTTATATAAGACAATGTAAATGTTGTAAGAACTATAATTAAAGATTGAATTTGTAGGAGAATACTTTGGATTCCAACCATAAACAATTGTCAAAAACAAATTAACTATAGTATATTAAATATTGAATTAACAAAAACAAAAAAGCAACACCGACATCTTTTAATTAGGAGATAACTCTCAAGTTAAAACTTAATTAAAGCTTAAACCAATATACTGATACCCTGCCGTTTTGGTTACAACAAATAAATGCAAGAGAGGAACCAAAAAACACTAAAAATTTAATTCTTTTTGGTTAAATAAATTCATAAAATTAAAAAAATAAACAAAATACCATGTAAGTATCTTTTAGATTTTTTCTAATAATATTTTTATGACTTTCTAATATCATGAGAAACTTATATATAAGCTAACTGTGAATGATAAAACTTACAATTTTTGAATTACAGATATATTTTTTGTAGTATACTCACATCCACTATATAAATACACAATCACATTGATAATACTATTGGTTTATGAATATTTAATTAATAAAATTTGCTGAGATATTGAAGTAAAATTAATAATTATACAGCAAATTTAAGTATACATACAATCAAAGAGCATTAAAAAATTATAAAAAAGAAATAAAAAGACTCAAAAAATTATTAAAATAAAATAAAATACTAAACAAATATGAAATGCCCTATTTCTCATCGTTTGAGCTTTTATACATAATATAGATGGTTGATTGGCATTTGACAAAACGGCATTACCTTCTCTAATTTCTCACTTGGTATCACATCATCGATTTAGTATTAGTAAATGATTGGACCATTGAACTACTAATTTCCTATAATTGCCACTGCTAAAAGGACTTCAAGTGTGCAAACTAAAAAAATAATAAAAAAAGGAATAATTTTCGAGTTTCCTTGCATTCAGATTTCATTAATGGATGAATAATACTTTTTTTTTTTTCGATAATTGCCTGAAATGCAGTAACCTAACTATCCCTGGATCTATTGTGCTGCTACGGTCTGTCGTTTCGTAGAAAGAATGACTCCTCATTAATAGTAATCATGTTCGTCCCTCACTACTCAAAAGAACGTTTACCTCATATGACCCTCGTTTGATATGTTCCTGACAATCTATCTACAAGCGCTTCTCAGAGAATACGGCACACTTTTACGCAAGTATTTAGTCTACGACTTTTCGTTTAGTGAATGAAGACTGGCTCTATTTTCCGTAAGCAGAATTCATAAATATCAATTCCCAGTTACAGAGCTCAAATCTGCAAATCTGTGATAGAAGCTATTGATCATTAGCATAGCTAACCCTAACCCTAATACCAAAATCAGCTCAATGAAACAAAAGTTCAATAACGCAAATAAAATTGACAATAATAAGAAGTGTGAATTCGAGTTTTGCAACGTTTGCAAGTTGAATCACGATCAAGGACAGCGCCATAAGTACTATCCAAGCCACAAAAAGTCCCTCTCTGTTTTTCTCTCTCGATTTCAGAGAAAGATCTCCGACATTCAGTTCTTTCTCAAAAACCCTAGCGTCCTCGGCCCTGAGCACGCCTCTCACAATCGCTTCTGGTGCGTCGTCTGCGATGTTGATGTTGGCGAGATAGGCAGCTCCTTTGCTTGGTGAGGGTTTGAATTGCTCTGCATCAAGCTAGAATTTTACTTCATTGTTTGTTTAATTAATTTATTTAAAGCTGTTGTCACTATTTTTTCTTATTGTTCAATGAAAAGTTTCCTTAATTATTTTGTTCTTTTTTTCCCTTTCCTTTTAAAAACCAGTGCTAATGCAATAAAACATCTGTCAAGTGCGGATCATGTGAAGAATTTGAAGCACTTCCTGTGGAAATATGGCGGTGGTATGGATTGTTTGGACACTTTCCGAATTTTGGAAGCTGATGTTGCTAAGGTAGACATTTTCATTTGTTCAAAGATCAAATGGCTGTTAAATTATGGTTGCAAGGAATTTCTGTGGTTTTACTACTAATGGTTTGGCTGTTGAAAGGCTTTATAAGTGGAAAGAAAATATTCCTTGATACTTATGAAGAATTCTGTTTTACCATCCAAATGACGAGAGAAGAAATAGTTACGTAATTCTATGAAGTTAAGAGACAGAATAGTTTATTGATTCATCCTCAATTTTTCGAATTGCAGTGGGAGAAGAAGTGCAAATTGTTGGAGAATGAAGCTGCAGCGTCCACTGGTGGATCTCACACGGTCCAAGTTGGACCTTCAAATGATATCCGAAATGAACTCGATGATAAAAATATAATTAACTTCAAAAATAATAACTTTAACCCACTTAAATCAAATCTTTCAAATGGTGTTGTGCCTTTACAGTATTATACGAATGAGAATCAGATATCTTCAAGACTTTCAGCAGTTACAGAGGCTAGGTCATTTGCATATGATGCAGTCTCTTCTATGCCTGTGGATGCATCTTCTGGTGCAAGTTTATGGAATTCAAACGATATAACAGGTATGGAGTAATTTGTTTTTGTGATCTCTCTTTTGTTTGATGAACTAATTTATTTTCATATATCATGATTTTTTCATGGGGTTTAGACTCAATAATGTTGTTTTGTATCTGTATTGTGCAGTTAACTGCAATGGCCAACAGCCTCTCCCTTGTAAGAATGTAATATCCTCCTTTGATCTCAGTGATAGAAGGGTGAGTTGGGTCCTTCAGACCTTCCTCTGGGAATTTTATTTGCTTCCAAAATTCGATATTCATTTCTTATCTTTGCAACTTTTTTGCTGGTGGCTAAATTTTCATACTGCTCTTTGTTATAGCATACATATTTTTCCTTGGTTTTTAATAATTTATTGTGGCATGTTCAAGATTAACAGTTGGGTTCATCAGAATGTAATTTGCAGCTTTTATGGTATATGGATGGCAATATTTTTCAATTTATGCATTGTTTCTTTAATTTCCATCAACAAGTGCCTGCTACACTATGGCTGATATATTATCTAACAAGGTGATATAGGGGCCTCCAGGTTTTTGGACCACATTTTTTTTTGTTTGGATGGTTCTTTGTGGCATAAAGAGATACTTTGGTTTATAATGTTAGTATTAATTTTCTAACATTCACATGAGAGTTAAGTGCGTGCATGTATATATGTATATATATAGAGATATATAAAATATGTTTGTTCAATTTATGTCATTTGTTTCTTTAATTTCCATCAACAAGTGGCCTGCTGAGCACTATGGCTGAATATATTATCTAAACCAAGGTGATATAGGGGCCTCCAAGGTTTTTGGACCCACTTTTTTTTTGTGTTGGGGGTTGATGGTTCTTTGGTGGCATAAAGAGATACTGTTGGTTTTAATAATGTTAGTATTAATTTTCTTAACATTCACATGAGAGTTAAGTGCGTGCATGTGATATATGTATGAATATATAGAGATATATATATATATATATAATATATATATATATAATATATATATACAATGGTTATCATTTAAAAAAATTGGTTGAATTTTTAATATTGATAGCGTATACATGTTATACATTTAAAATTGTTGATTTTTATATTGATAGCTGTTGACTTGTGCAAACAATTGCATGTTATCTTTTCTGCATGCTTGTGGAGTTCAAAAAAAAAAAAAAAGGTGATTGTTTTTTTGGTATAGCTGTGCCAGGGTTACCAATGTGGAGGATTGGTAAATGGAGCAAACAGTTCACAGGGTAATCATCTTTGACTATTCTTCATTTCCTTTTTCTTCTTTGTCTTCGTCATCCCCTTCACTTCCTTGTGTTCATCTCTCTCTTCCCATTTTCTTAAGCTACTCATTGATGTATCATATACCATTTTACTGGTGTAATTTGGAAAGATGGTGCGTGTGAAATTTGGAGTGTCTTAGCGTGGTGTTTCATGAAGGCAACCCTCATCGTCTAATTATCTTGTCAGGTTCACGTGATATCACTCAAATTTCTACCATACCTCCTGAAAAGTCTGGACAAAATGTGCATAGTGGAGCAATTCCTCCTTGGTTTGATATAACTGAAGAAAATCAGCAAAATGTTCAATTAAAACCAATCTCATCCAGCTCTCTCTACCATTCAAACAAGCCTGGGAAAAAATTAAATCCAAAGAGGGTGGGAGCTGCTTGGGCTGAAAGGAGAAAAATTGAGCTGGAGATGGAGAAGAGAGGTGAAATTGTCAAGAGTGATTCTGATGCTAACTGGCTACCCAATTTTGGTAGAGTTTGGCAATCAGGTAGTAGAAAGGAATCAAGAAAAGAATTTGAGAAGGAGAAACAAAAATTACCGAAGATTGAAAGGCATTCCGAGATGCCTATTACAGTACAGCCTTATGTCAGTAAAAGAATGGTAAGCACCATTCTTGTGTAATATGTTGTGTGAAATTCCATATTTTTCTTTTCATGCTAGTATAGTTTGAAGATTATTGAAATCTATACTAGTTTCATGATGCCAACTATATTGCATTGCATTACTTTTCACTACACTACCGTCTGCTTCTGTAGATAGAGGCACCAATTTATGCATAAGCTACTAAAGGGACTCACACCTGCTGTTTTTTCAAGTTTTGAAATGCAATCGATTGGGTTCTGTTATGGGGATCCTCTGTGTGAGCCAGCAATAATCAGAAACTGAGCATTACATTGTATGCCATTGTTAAATGTTCATTTGCAATGCTTCTGATCGGGTGGCTGTTGGAAGTTCAATTGCCATTTCTTCTAGACGGGTTTCCTTCGGCTACTAGATGCTTGTATTGGCAATGCTCAAGTTTGCACTATATAAAAAAACATGTGTGTTCATGTAGTTTATAGGTTCTACGTCATAAGGAACTTAATCCATCGTGCTGATAAGAGTCCCACTAGTTTGGGTTGATATGCCAGATAAAAGTATTTTGCTTCTTAGATTGACAATGTTGTATTTAGTTTTGGCATCAATTGTAATTCATTTGTGAAACTCTGTTTAGTGTTGGGTTTACAGAAATGAATTTACTTAACCTTACACATCTTTTCTTGAACACAGCGAAGGGATGCAAGTGAATGATGGTCTGAAATAATGATGATTGTACTGCAGATGAATGATGGTGGTGATGATAGACACGTTGAGAGGTCAATATGAACATTCTTCTTCCATTTCCCCTCAACTTCAAGTTTCAAACAAACTGTGCTGGATGTTGCTGTTGAAGGTGAAGGGGTTATTGACAAACTTTGGTCCTGAATGGTGAATGAGCTGTTGAGTTTATGCTGTAATCATGACAATAGTAGATAAGTAGATATGGGTTGTCGATGTTCGTCAATGTGCTGAAATGAAAATATACCAAGTCGCATGTTAGTGGAGGTGATTGGTGTTTTTTTTTCCCCTCACATGTTGCAATTCATCGACGCAGGATATAAATGCAATGACTGCATTCTGTGTACTTAATGAAATGGCAATATATTTCTCCATATACAAATGTTAGAATGCCATTACGCAAGCACTCTATATGTATATATAAAAGTGAAACTCAATCAGTAAAGCTTGATATAATAAGTGGAACTGATGATACAAGTTTAGACTTAACAATAGTTTGGATGAAAACAAAGAGTTATAAAGGAAATTGCATGTTTTTGCAATGGTTCTTTCATTTGACAACCCTCAAACAATGTTTGCTTCTCAGTGCTCCTGCACCAAATCAAATTATTAAAAATTATGAAGCAGCGTATGGTTCAAAAATGAAAGCACTCTCTGTATGTATTTACATGAATTTTATCTTTACATAAGTCATGTCTTTGTTTTTGGAATTTGTATCTAATGCATGGTAGTGACTTCATATTGTGGATCTTGTCCCTTGACTGGCTGGCATATGAAGAAAATTGTAACATCTTTGATGCACGAATTTCACTATGCACTTGGTCACCAATTCTCTCTGCAATAATCTCAGAAGAAAGGAAAGCCATCAGTCTAGAAAAACTGTTTGGTCCGTGCAAAACCTTGTAGTGTTTGATTTACCCGTGATCCTGAAATTCCAGAGCTTACCCTTAGATGAAACCAAGTTCTCATCACATAAGAACTCCCATGAAAACCACTTCTCAATTGTTCGATCGACGTCATGTACCACCACATCTGTTGTGTTTTTTCCTGCTGTTCTTGCTATCATACTAGCTGTGTAGATTGCAGCCATCCTGCCTGGAGCATCTGTTGAATGTCCACTTGGTCCATCAACCACCACTACATCCCATTTCTTCTTATATACTTCTTCTGGCAAATTTCTTAATGCAAGTTTGCATGTTGAATTTTGCAGCTTTCCTGAACTGGGTGCACAAGCTGGACTTTTCCTTGCATGTTTGAGCAATTTGTAAGCTTTCTTTGCAGGTACATTGTAATCAAACTTGTAGATTCGAGTGTGATTGTTTTTTGATCTGATTGAGCTTATCTTGTCAGGATCATTCTCCAGAACCAAAGTGATGCCACCTGAGTTGATTAAGGAAAGTTTCAGGTACTCTGGCTCCAATCCAAAAATAAGCAGGTTGCAGGGTGTTTTGCGTTTGATGAGATTAGATAGAAGCTTAAATTCCTTTTTTGTGAGAATGGTTGAATTGTCAGATATTTTATGTTGACTTGTTAGGCTACTGTGTTGCAGAGTTGGAGCGAATGGAGGCAATGGAGGTGTAGAAGATGATGTAGTGGTTGCAAGTCTAACAAGTCTAAAGATGGATATGGTTGATAAAATGAAGACAAGCAAAGGTAATATCTTTCTTCCAGGAACTTTCATTGTTTTATTTCCTCTACAATGTGTGCGGCCAATTGGTAGAATGATGAATGATTCAGGTGAATCTGGAGGTGAAAGCTTAACCTGAGGACTTGCAAAAGAACGGTAATGAAAGTCTGGAGGCATTTTTGGCCCCTTGCTTCTTTCTTTGAGCAACTGCACTGCTAATGTCACATCTCCTCCTTCTATGACAATAAGTCCAATTATAACACTTTTTCTTTAATATCATTTTTTTGAGTGTGCAAGAAGGAAAGTAATTTTTGCTTTTGTTTCAAGTGTTGTCTTTCTTTCATGGAGCTATCAGCTTGTTACCTAATTGTTGTGGTTGCTAATTTACAAATCAGTGATGCCCATATGTATCAGTTATTTGAAAGAAAAGTTTTTAAAATCATTTTATGTGAAGATGGTGACCTGAGTTTCGGAACTTGTAGGGCTTTGGTTCGTTGGGTTCTTAGCTGTCAGTTTGCTCTTTTTCTGGTTGTTTGGTGCATTTGAGTGAAGCTGAAGGAGGCTAATGTGTGTTAGTTGCAGAGTTGCTTTCAGTCAAACTTTGACTTAATAAAACCCATTAGTGATTTCTAAATTTGACATCTAACTTAATTTATAGATTTAATTATCCCTTGTTGGCTAGCTGGCCAAGAATAATGTCTTGAATAAAAGCAAAGAGCACAGCGTAAGCAGCAGATTTTGCCTTGAGAGTGTCCTCAACGAGGATAAAGAAATGACACCATTTTGTCAGAAATCAGAAGATTGTTCTGTAGGAGCTAATTTCCTCACCTAGTTGCAGACAAAGGGTACCTTTTACAGGGATTCCTTCAAAAGAGACTTGGAAATGAAATCCTAGCCTTTTCTTGCTCTAGTGTGGTGAATTTAGGTACCATAGAAATATTGTGACACTGGTGATGATATATTACATTAGGGCATAGCCAAAAGGATTAAATTAGAAGTTCGGTGTACGAATTATGTTTCTTTGTTATTGTGCATAAAACATTTTGAAAAAAGAAAAAGAGAAAAAAATCATAAAACTTAAATAATTACCCACATTCCCGAACGACATGGCTGGCTTTGCAATCTTAGATATACTTGTTCCTGTAGACATTGATGGGAAGAGCCGAAAAGGTGAACTTGACGAGGCCCCTTCCATTTTTCTGCCGAAGTTCAAGTTTGGTGGTGTCCAGAGAGTGCTGTTTAGGATTGGGTCTTCGACATCATAGGTCGACTAGTATATGGGCTAAACAAGCTGCATAAGAACATGGGCCGAATTACGCGAGATGGGCTTTTGTTTATTGATCATGCGCTCATCAAACGACCAGTAATGCTGTCGTATGATTGAAACGGCTTGATTTTTGACGTACGTCATCATTTTTCCATCACTTTTATTCAATCATTGATGTAATGAGAATGGTGGAATATATATATTAAATGAATGTCAATTTGCAGAATATAATATTTTTCTCTTCTTACTTTGTCTCTAGTAAGGTCTTAACTCAAGGCATCTTTGTAAAGCATATTTTCAATTTCTCTAACAGAAAAGTATACATTAATTTGTAGTCTTAAAGACTAAGATGCAGCAGAATTTCACCTTATAAACAATATAATATAATAAAAGGGTGACTCGTGCACGAAACATCTATGTTCATGCGTTCTAGGGAGAACAAAAGAGAGACCATTTCCGTGATTTAGAATATAATATAATCAAGAGTTTGATATCTAAATATTGAGTTCTATTCGAATTTAGATTTTCATAGTTATAGCTTTGTACTTGAAATGTATCTTCCTTGAAATAAAGCCATTATTCCAACTGTTTTGACTCTCTCTGATAGGTCTTTCTAGAAACAAGGTTGGCATTCCCACCAAAGCACATAGAATTAAACAAGTCTGCCTTGTTAAAAAGGTTCTTAAACGGTCGTTTTCCATTAACATTTTAAATTCCACACCCAATTGAATATATTTTTCTGCAATTTGTAGCTATTTCATAGTTTAATGCAAGAATTAAACTTTTTTTATTTCATCTATCATTGAGTCAGATTGATAGAAGTCAAGACGTAAGCCAAACGAATGGTAGAATCCAGGTTTATTCCAAGCAATAATCAGATTACATAAACTAATCCTGCAAAAAATATCATCTCAACCATGGTTAGAATAACAAATTGGATGGTCTAAGATTTAGAACATAGCTATTGTCATTGTCGGCGTGCTTTTCATCGTAGTTAGTTTCTTTAATTAATACTTTACATTCAGATACAACTCTGCAGGAAGAAATATTTTTGTTCATTTTGGCCCAGTCTTCCTTTCAAACTTGCCTCCATTTCTTCCTTCAAATATTTCCCGTTTCATAATCTTCCTAGTAGTCAACCTTCAGTTTCTTTAATACTCTCTTTTTTATTAGAGATTTTCTCAAACTGCATCCTTTTTCTTCCATGTATTTATTTGTTGCCTAAAAACTATCAGGTTTTGCAGCAACACAGGTTTGTTTGTTTTTGTTCTGCAATAGTCCTGTGCACATCTTTGTCTTCATCTTCCTCAGTTATTCAAGTTGCAGTCTTTTTTTCCATGTTCATAAGATCAGTGTAGAAAACAGCTACTACGATGGGGACAAACACAGAAGAAAAGATTGTTTCAAATGCAGGAAACAAGGTAAGTGATTTTTCAACTCAATGAAATGATGTTTTGGTTGCGTATCCTGTATATATATCCTGACTGAAATGTTGATAAAAAAAAACAAAAAGGTCATGATGGAAGGTCAACAGAAGAAATCCCTTTTTGCATCCATTGCAAAACCCCCAATAGATAGCGGCAGATCAAGCAGTATGGTTGTGAAGGTAAACCATCTCTATTTTTGATTCCTTTTTAGGTCTTGATGCTTAGGGTTCTAACTAAAATTATGATTCTTTTTCCTAACTAAATGTGGAACAAAAACAGAAAGCACATACAGTGATTCCTGCACATATTGTAGCAGAAGCCATATCAACAATACGTGGTCTTGATCTCAGATGGTCAGGTCCTATAACACCATCAGAAATGCAATATGTGGAGCAGTATGTCTTGGCAAAGTACCCTCAATATGCTGGTCTTGTAGTTGGAGAAAAGATAGATCTCTCTACTCTTTGCATCAATGAAGAGGCTTCAGAAGCTCCACCTGATGACAAGCGAAAATCACCTAGGAATAGCTTTCGAGAGGTCTCTTCACCGTCCCTTGGAAGCAATCTCCCTGATTTAGATAGAACCCAATTAGAGCCATCGAGGCTTCTTGATATCCTCACCAAGAAATCATCTTTTCCAGGGAGTTTCATCTCCATACCCGAAATCCAAGCGCAGAACAAAGTTTTGAAGCACTGTGGATTACCTGATGATGAGTATCTTGTTCTTTTCACTCCAAACTACAAGGACGCAATGATGTTAGTAGGTGAGAGCTACCCTTTCTTTAGAGGAAACTTTTATATGACCATAATTGCAGAAGAAATGGATTACATCAGGGAATTTGCCACCTATAAGGAAGCAAAAGTGATATTGGCACCAGAGACTTGGTTGGATTTGAGGATCAAAGGATCACAGCTTAGCCAGTATTTCAGGAGGAAATGCAAGCACAGCCCAAAAGGGCTATTCTGTTATCCAGCTGATGTTAATGGGACTCGTTATTCAATGCATTGGGTATCAGAAGCACATAGGAACTCATGGCATGTTCTGCTAGATGCGACTGGGCTACTCGTGGGGAAGGATCGGATGAACCTCGCACTCCATAGTCCAGATTTTGTGCTGTGCAGTCCTGACAATACAGAAGCTACTCGTTCAAACATTACTTGTCTGCTTGTTAGAAAGAAATCTTTTGATAGTTCGACACCTTCAAATTAGTCTAATGGGTAATAAAGATTTGATTTTTCATGTGAATATTGAATATGCGTGTAGATTGGTTATACATTTCTACACCTTAGAATTATAAAACCAGTAATTGAATTTTGGTTAATTATAACCTTATACTGAATAACGTTTCCATGAATGGAATTCGATCCTTTTTAATTCTTAAAATTAGATTACTACAATTTCTAGTGATTTTCTTCCCTCTATTATCCATTTCAAATTCCTTGTCCAAAGCATTAATTAGACCCAGATTTATCTTTTTAATAGGGTTTGAGATTGAATTTGAAGGCTGAGTGATTGAGAAGAAAAATTTAAAATGATACGAATAGTAAGCTGGGCTTGGGCTAAACCTAACATTAATTTCGTCCACCTTTAAGTCCAAACATATGGGCTGTAAGTCGATAGACTGGGCTAGCAGATTAAAGACTAGCCCAATGATAGTCCAAAACAAAAACTTTTTCCACGGCCTTTTCATGTTGTGTTAGGTACAACTACGAGGAAAATTAGTTTTTTATTTTAAAAAAAAAAAAAACGTTTAAAAAAATGTGTTTCCTTTTTTGGAACAGAAAAAAACACATTTTTTCAAAACAAGTGGGAAACTCAACTTGTTTTGAAAACGAAATATCAATCCATACTTATCAGAGGTTCCGTCGTGTATCATCCCACTTAAGAAATCGACTACTTATAATTATTTTATCTTATATACTACTAGTATTTTCTTTAAATGGTGATGATAATAGTAGTAATTGAAACTATTATTTGAATTTCTTTTTCTTTTCCTTAAGCTTCTAATGCTTACTTTTTCTTTTACTCTATTTGTTCCGTTCTGTTTTATGGAACGAATTCTCGTTTCAACAAGACAGGATTGGAACAAAATTAGACTTCATTTTTTGTGAAATAGAGAGTAATTGTAAGTAATTCCATATATTTATTAATTTATATTAATATTAATTATAAGGCGACAGAGAATTAGGCTTGGCCACGGTTCCGGAACTGGCGGTTCCGGTTCCAGAAAAACTGGAATCGGAACCGAACCGAAAAGGTCCGGTTCCGGTTTGGAACCGTCCGGTTTTGGAACCGTCGGGTTTCGGTTCCGGTTCCGGTTCTGATTCCGGTTACGGAAACCGACGGTTGATCTGGTTTTTCCGGCGAATTGCATATTTTAAATTTTTAAATTTTGAAGACCGTGTTTAAAAAATTTAATAATAAATTTTGTGAATGTTTGTTGTAAAAAAATATACCTGAAAAATTTAAAAAAATACTTCAATTCCAATTTATTTTTTTAAGACTTGAACATAATTATTTTTAAAAAAAAAATTCTTCAAACCTGGAATTTAATTTTTTGTTTAAAAATAGTTTTACATATTTAAAAAAAAAAAAAGCTTGTAACTTAAATTAAAAAAAAAAAAACACAAAAGTGCAGTTTTAATAATAATAATATATTAATAAATATAAAAATAATATACATTAACCTTCAAAAACACACAAATATTATAGTGGTAGGTATATAATGTGCATGGAGTTGGTGACAGCTGTATTCTAGCAGTTCACTCTTTTAGCAAGGGCCTGCATGATTGAGGCCTCACAAGAGTTGCAAGCTCGCGTTGCAGAGCTCAGCGGGTCAAACATGGCTTTCGCAGTTGTGGAGAGCGGCTAGAACCGCCTGTTCGCACCGGTTCGAACCGGCGGTTCTAACCGGCCGGAGAACTGGCGGTTCAGGTCCGGTTCTGACCGGTTCTTTAGAACCGCCGGTTTTGGTTCCTAATTTTCTGGAACCGGAATCTAACCAGAATTTTTCGGTTCTGGTTCCGGTTAGGCCTGGTTCCGGTTCTCACCGGTTCCGGTTCCGGTTCTCACTGGTTCCGGTTACGGTTCCGGACCGGTTCGAACCGACGGTTCCGGTTCCCGGAACCGTAATATGGCCATGTCTACAGAGAATCCTTTTGAGAAGGCAACGTAGAAAAGTTTTCCCTACCCCTCCAAGTTCTATTCTCATAGCAAATCAACTTCAGGGACTTCAAACACCACAGACTGTGAAATGAAATAAATTCGGATTTCAGATTTACTGTAGCATGCATATCATCACCATTTCAAGATAACACGGGATATGGCATTAATTCAGGAAATCCTGAGCTAGAAAAAGTACCAATAATTGATTACATAGTTTTTATTACGTAGACAGGCCATTGCAAGGTTCTAACAACATCAGAATGCAAAAACAACCTACTTGATCATATAGCAAATTAACAACTTAGCAAACAGGCAAGTTTTAGTCTAAACAAGTACCATCAGAATATCACTGAAACTAAACAGTGAACTGAAAAAAACTTGCCACACCCTAACATAAGCATGAAATTCCACATAAAATACATAAACATATTTGCTGCTAAGGAAGATTAGTACTTTGTTCTTCCATCACCTTCTGTTATCACATCTTTAAAAGCTCCACCACTTGGGATCATGGGCAAAACATGCTCTTGATGGGGCACAATCACATCCAACAAATATGGTCCCGGAGTATCTAACATTGTTTTGATTGCTTCTCTAAGATCCTTTTTCCTTGTCACACGGGCAGCAGGTATTCCACAAGCTTCAGCAAACTTCAACATATTGGGGAAAATCTCAGTCTCTCTTGATGGATCCCCTAAATAAGTATGAGCTCTATTTGCCTTGTAGAACCGATCCTCCCATTGCACCACCATTCCCAAATGCTGATTGTTCAGAAGCATTATTTTGATTGGTAGATTCTCCACGCGAACAGTTGCCAACTCCTGAACATTCATGATAAAACTTCCATCACCATCAATATCTACAACAACTGCACCAGGATTAGCAACAGCAGCCCCAATAGCAGCTGGTAATCCAAAACCCATAGCACCTAAACCCCCTGATGTCAACCATTGCCGTGGTCTCTTGTACTTGTAAAACTGAGCAGACCACATCTGATGCTGCCCAACCCCAGTACTTATAATGGCATTCCCATCAGTCAATTCATCAAGAACTTGAATTGCATACTGGGGAGGAATTGCATCTCCAAAGGTCTTAAAACTCAATGGATATTTAGCTTTTTGCTCATTCAGCTCCTCTCTCCATGCATGAAAATCTAGCTTACTCTTAGCACTTTTGCTCTCCAAAATTTTGTTCATACCTTGTAAGGCCAATTTCACATCCGTACAAACAGACACATGAGGCTGCTTATTCTTCCCAATCTCAGCAGAATCAATATCGATATGGACAATCTTGGCTCTGCTTGCAAATGCCTCGAGCTTCCCTGTCACACGATCATCAAACCTCACACCAAACGCAAGCAATAAATCACTATTATCAATTGAATAATTTGCATAAACGGTTCCATGCATTCCAAGCATTTGCAATGATAAATCATGGGCAACAGGGAATGCCCCAAGTCCCATTAAAGTACTCGCCACTGGAATTCCTGTTAACTCTACAAACTTCCTCAATTCCTCACTTGAATTCAAACACCCTCCTCCTACATATAACACTGGTTTCTTTGACTCGAAGATTAACCTCACAATCTGCTCTAAATGTGATTCACTAGGCTCTTTAGGCAACCTTGACATATAACCTGACAATTTAATAGGAGAATTCCAATTGGGAACAGCTAATTGTTGCTGTATATCTTTTGGTACATCAATCAGTACTGGGCCAGGACGTCCAGAGGTGGCTAAAAAGAAAGCTTCACTTACAATTCTAGGAATATCATCAACATCAAGAACCAGGTAATTGTGCTTAGTTATCGACCGAGTTACCTCGACAATAGGAGTCTCCTGAAATGCATCAGTACCAATCATGCGGCGAGGGACTTGGCCAGTGATAGCCACAATGGGGACACTATCGAGGAGAGCATCAGCTAAGCCGCTAACGAGATTGGTGGCGCCAGGTCCAGAGGTGGCGATGCAGACACCAGGCTTGCCCGAAGCGCGCGCGTATCCCTCAGCAGCGAAGACTCCACCTTGCTCATGGCGAGGAAGGACATTACGTATTATTGGAGAGCGAGTTAGGGCTTGGTGGATCTCCATGGATGCGCCGCCAGGATAAGCGAACACGTCAGTAACCCCTTGGCGCTCGAGCGCTTCGACGAGGATGTCAGCTCCTTTTCGAGGTTCATCAGTGGCAAATCTAGGAGGAGAAGCTTCAGGTATGGAAGTGCTAGAAGGAGCAGGGGTAGTAGGTTTAGATATAGAGTTGGAAATGTAGAGAGAGCGTTGAGGTATGGACTTTTGGAGATTCAGAAAAAATGAGGGGTTGAATCTAGAAATGCCAATAGGCGATCTGGATGAGAAAGAAGGAGGAGCGGAGGGTTTTGGGATGGCCGTGGCCGCAGAGGTAGCCGCCGCCATGGTTGGAAGAAGATGCAAAGCTCGAGCGTTACAGGTTGTGTGGCTGTGGCAGACGAGGGAGTGAAACGCGTGGGTCGGAACTCTTCAAATTTGAAGGGCTTGGCTGAAATTACCTTTGCGACCCCTTTTTATTTCAAAGTTGTAGTGCTCTTTTGGGCTAGGAAGTATTTTGACATGGAATGGCAAGTATCAAAAATAGATAAATAAATAAATGACTTAATGACAAGTGATAATATTAATTTGTACAAACATATGAAAAATTAGTGTCTTGATTACAAATGCTTGTACATTAGTCATGTCAAAAAAAAATGCTTGTAGCTTAGTATAAGATAACGACAAGTAAAGGTGACTTTGATTTGGCAGAAAATTTTCGTTAAGTTTAGAAATCCAAACTGAACGAGTATGAATTAGGCTTTGACGGATAACAATCTTTTCATATAATGTTAAAGTCTTTTGATTTTATTTATAGTATTTAATAGTGTTAGAATTAATTCAAAATAATATTATGAAAAATCTGTTGAGATTTCAATTTTATTTAGTGCAGATTTTCTGCATAGAATTTGATATTTTTATTATTAGAATTAATGTTTTTTATTAGTGCAATTTTCTGCAGTAGCAATTGATATTTTATTATTAGAATTAATGATTTTTTAGGAGTATTTTTAGGTTTATTTGAAATTCACTTGTAAAGCCTATAAATAAGCACATTCTTTTGTTAATTGAATGAAGTGCTAAACATTGTAATCATCTTGTGTATTTCCATCTTCCCTTCCAAAATTTCAACATGTATCAGAGCCTGTCTGTTAAATGGCCACAAACACTTATTCATTTTCTTCCCCTCCAATTTTTATGGTGAAGAATTATCAGCTTGGACTGTTAAAATGAAAGCTTATTTAACAAGCTTTAATGACTTATGGGAAGCATGTTTGAAACAGAAAAAAGAAATCTCCCTCCAATTTGCCATCCCACCCAAGCTATGGTTTTCAATTAAATCATCAGCGAAGAAAAAGCCAAAAATTCAAAGCCAAAAAATGCCTTCCTTACTTCTATTTCGGATATAATTTTTTAATTTTCACAAGTATTATGACTTGTGAAATAGCAAAAGAGATATGGGACTCATTAAAAAATAAGTATCAAGGCAACGAGCAGACGAAATTGATGCAAGTTTTGAATCTTAAAAGAGAATTTGAGATGTAAAAAATGAGAACATCTGGAGGTGTCAAAGAATATGTTAACAATCTCATGTCCAATGTTAACAAAATTAGACTACTTGGTGAGGAATTTCCTGAAAGAAGGGTGGTTGAAAAAATTCTAATAAGTCTACCCGAAAAATTTGAGTCCAAAATTTCTTCTCTTGAAGACACAAAAAATATTTTTGAAATTTTCGTTGGTGAACTAACTAATGCACTACAAGCTGTGGAGCAACGAAGAGCATTCAAAGAAGATAATACTATAGAGGTTGCTTTAGTTGCCAAGACAACGAACAAATGTTTATCAAAAAGAATAAAATTTCCACCATGTGGCATATGCAAGAACATGATGCCAAAGAAAGATAATCATGATGAAAGATTGTTGGCATTAAAGGTTAAACTTAACAATGTTTTAATTGTAAGAAACTTTGGGTCATATTCAAAAAGATTGCAGGTTATCAAAATCAATCAAATTTTGTGCAAGAGGACAGTAACTCTTGCTTTTAAGTAATTGGAAGAGATTGTGCTCCAATAGGAAGAAACATTAAAAAGAAGGTGCTCTAAGAGAACATTGGAGAGATGTGCTCCAAAATAAAAGAAAGTGATGAGAAGTGCATTTCAATATTGAGGAGAAGTCTTCAAAAAAAAAAAAAAAAAATACTAGTTTGATTAAAGAGGTGCATTCAATATTTGGGTTGAGAAAGCTGCATCAAAATTGATGAGGTTTGAGAAAGGAAGATGCTTCAACAAAGTTAATTGAAGGAGAAAATCTTCTCTCAGCATTAAGAAGATTTTAACTTGAATTAAATTATTGTTAATAAAAATATTATGTTTTGGAAATTAAGGAGGAATTGTTAGGATTAATTCAAATTAATCCCTGTATAATATCATAACCAAAATCTGTTTAGATTTTCAATTTATTTAATACAGATTTTCTGCAATAGGAATTTTTGATATTTTTTATTAATTATGATTAATCTGATTTTTTAAGAGTATTTTTTAGGTCTTATTTGATTCACTTTAAGGCCTATAAATTTAGATACATTCTTTTGTTTTATTGAATGACAGTTGCTAAATTATTGTTAATCATTTGTTGGCATTTTCATTTTTTGCTTTCCAAAATTTCAAACAAATTAGCATAAATCTTTACATTAATATTTATACTCCTAATAATACAAATTTTAATTGCAGTTATTAATGAAAACAGCATTATTAATTATTAAAAATAAACAATATAACAACAACTAATTTCGTCCAACTAGGACCTTCTGCATAGAATTTGATATTTTTATTATTAGGATTAATGATTTTTAAGAGTATTTTTAGGTCTTATTTGATTCACTTGTAAGCCTATAAATAGATACATTCTTTTGTTTATTGAATGAAGTGCTAAATATTGTTAATCATTTTGTGCATTTTCATTCTTGCTTCCAAAATTTCAACAAATAGCATAATCTTTACATTAATATTTATACTCCTAATAAGACAAATTTTAATTGCAGTATTAATAAAACAGCAGATAATTATTAAAATAACAATATACAACAACTAATTTCGTCCAACTAGACCTTAGTAAATTATGTGCCTGCTTTATCCCTTTGTATTCTACAATTGAATCGATTTGTTGTTGTAAATTTTTCTTGCTCTCTACAGCATCTTATTTGTCGAGAAAGGGATAATCTTCCAAAGTAAGGACACAGTGCCACGTCTTCACTTGTACTTATCTTGTGAGATTCTGCACTCTCCAGTCTCCACATGCATATATGCAAAACTCTCACTGGATATACACCCCATCCGACTATCTGTGACCCCATTTTCCTTTTCAAGTACTCGATAATATTCCAGCTGGTCTGTCGGCATTTTCCCCTTCTAAGTTATCCGGATTAGGAATGGAACCCAATTAGGGATCCAATTCAAGTTACCTATAATATCCCTCTCAAACTAGCCTGTTTAATACGTAAATGAATAGACTAGACGGAGATAGAGTACTATTACTCAAAAACCGAACCTGTTTATTTAATTTAATATAACAATAACAGACTAGAGACTTAGATACACAATCTTACTCCACTTCTTTTCCTTGATTAAGTTCTATAATTTTTCTAGTATAAAGAAAAAGTGATTGGCACCAATTTGGGTTTTCCAATCCAAAAGCCCTATAATCGAAGCCTAAAGTTGTTTGCCTTGCGAGTCTGAAATGGACCAAAGATGCACACAGGCTCAGCCTCAAGCTAATGCCCACAACTAGGACATCCAATTTCCATAAGCTTTAAGATGTGCTCTTCTACTTGTGTACTCGCTATCCTCCTAGACAAGAATAGTCAATGCATCAATATGGACATTCTCCGGAATTCAAAATGTAAATAAGCATCATCACAGCTTCCCACGAAAACATTGCCTCAACATACTAACAGACGTGAAAAGACTAAAAGCTATCACATAAACCTCTTGGTGAAATTAATATTAGCCATTAGGCAAAGAACTGTATTATATCTAAAGATGCTACCAAAAGCATAATATGCCAATTCCGTGAGATGAAACAAAATATAGTACAAGAGGCAACCATCAAATTTCAGAACTAAGAGAAAAAGCTTAAGGGTTAAATTCATAATTCCTGGTTTACTCAAGTATTGAATACATATCAAAAAAGAACATACAAGAGCTAACTGCTAAGTATTCCTCTTCAGAAACAAATTTCAACTGAAAGCACTTCATCCTTAGATTTGTTAACAATCCACCAGGCCTGTGATAGTAGATGCAAATAAAATTAGTTTCCATGCTAGTTAGATACCAAAGGTAAAATAGGAACATTTTAGACCACAGTAACAACAAGGTCTATTTTCATCAACAAGTCACTTGAAAACAAAAACTACACCCTCCTTCAACCATGAACCACAGCAAGAATTTAAAGGGAAAAAAAAATTCTAGCTTATTGTGGCAAACTCTAACTTCACATTGCAGCTCTAAGCAGACGGAAACAATCTACAAATTAACAAAGGACATAAATCATTTGATAGTGAAAAGATAGGCGACCTGATGCTAATGCCATATTTGGACAAATTGGGTGGTTTTCATTCATGTCAGAGAAGCTGAAATCAAAAAAATAAAATGCCGCACAATGCGCCTCTGTGACGCCTTTTAAAATAAAAACATAACAAACTGGCAACTATCAAAATTGTGTCATGTGGTTCAGCTGTGTCTAACTTATCATAAGGTAGATCACCTTAGTTCACCCGCAGAGTGTGCAAAAATTTTCTAGCATTTGCATCTTGCTCATATTTCTTTTATCAATCCCTGAAGGTAACTAGAGATGCAATAATGGACAAAACCATCAAATTTATAGTAAAAAGTTAACCTAAAAAGAAATGCACACCCAAGAAGCCATAGATATTTTCATTGTCTGACAGCAAATCCACAAATCAAAGCAAATTCAATTGCAATAAGGGAGCGCTGGGAACTAACAGTTGCAGCTCTCACTTAATCCAACAATTTTCATACCATATGTGAAACTGATTATGACAGCTCTATCACATACGCATCAACACAGGAAATAATTTTACACAACAAAAGATATATGACTTCACATGCTTCAAATATATGATCCATATGCAACCATTATATGCCCACAAATCAGATCGTACAATAGCCGTTTATAAAGGTTGATCCAATGTGTGCAACTTTATCTTAAACTCAAATTCCTAAAATCTAATTGCACCTGAGCATATAATTTGTATTCCGCATTCATTTGGCAAACAACCACCAAAATCCTACATAAACAAGAAAAACGTAGCATTACCTAACTAGAACCGACGATAATGTTGTTGATCGGAATGAAGATCAACTTCACGAAGAATCCGACGAATCCCATCACCACGAAACCAATTGCAGTACGGAACGCGACCTTCGTGAATTCTAAATCACAAACCAGAAATTTAGATCTCTTCATACTACACAGATTTAAGTAAAATAACGATCCAATTGACATAAATGATAATCACGAATACCTTTGCGATCAGGCTTGTGGCACCTCTTAACAAGGCGTACACTGTCCTTGGCGAACTCTCTGAGAGGATCGAAGACGGAGTCCAAGGCATCCATTTCGCTCAATTGCAAAGAGAAACCCTAGATCTGTTTAATTAGGAGATAATTGAAGTTCCTGAGACAGAGGGCGAAAATAGGATTTTGTTAACGGATAAAAACGACAAACTACGCGTCTATTGCAACTAGCAAGTGTAGACTTCTTTTTTTTTTCCCTTTTTTTCTAATTGGACAAAAATACTCCACATCAGACTAGAATGACCAATCGTTTTAAAAATGACACGTTATAGAATGTCATGTCGTTTATATACGGCCCATATTCTGTAAACGCTGCTTAAGCCGTTTACTGTCCTTTTGCCGAAGGCCACTACCGTTTCAATAAACGATCAAAAACCTGATTCAGAAAACCAACTATACCATAAGGTCACCGCCGTTTCACTGGATTATTGATGAATCCTTCAAAACATAACCAAAAACCAACATATCATACCTTCTCATGTGTCCAACTGTCCATTGACAATTTTTTTTAGTTTAAACTATCCAATGTTCGAAGTCCATTGGCCTGATGGATTAATTTGGATTTGCGCCATCCATTGACATTCAACAGACATATCTTGGAACAGTATTGTATCTTTGCATTTTTATTCCCAGTGTTTTGCATACCAGTGGTTCGCTATAAAAATAAACGCAGTTATTCTAAACTGAGAAGCTGCTTTCGGATAAAAGGAGGATTTCTCAAGCATTACTCACTAGTTCTTCAGTGATATCTGATATAGTTCGTCTCAAAATTATAATCTCACATAAAAAGATTAGTAAATTAACAGGATAGAACAGATCGCCAAGAAAGGATATCATAAATCAAGAAACTGCACATTAGTTAGGCAAGTCACAGCAGTGATCATATTGCTGCTACAAAATTAAGTTAAAAAAAAGTTTTAAAGGAGTTTCTAGTTATGTATGCCATTACAATTAAAGACAGCTTCCACAAATAATAGCAGAAAAGTACATCATAGATCATAAGCAAGCAAAAATCCAAGTTGAATTAGCTGAGGCTCATTATCTTCCACCGCACCACTGCCTCTGAATTATTTAACTGCAGAAATCAAAAGGGGAACAAGGTTGGACAATTGTATGTCAAAGACCATGATCAAACAACATACATATTTTCTATTCAATATACAGCTCGCTAATTTTATGCGACTAACCTAAGAAAGTGAAAAATCAATGATGATGTATTGCAGAAGTCATAGAACATGCAGTTTTAAATGATGATGATGGTTGGATTGAATATGCTAACAGAAAAAAAGGCAAGTAATAAACCGTGTAAATTAATTCACAGTTGAAAACTGTCAGGTACAACTAAAAACTAGAAAATGAGGTAGCTTAATAGGTGGACCAATCAGAGGGTTTGAGGATTAATAGAACCAGATAGTGCTGCCTTATATTGAATATTTGCACTGATGCATTTATTGGATGATATATGTTCAGTGGGAAAGGGAACAATGAATGATAGGACAACAATATTGGGAATTTTGATTTGAGGACATGATGTTCATGCAATCATCAATAAGAAAGGCAACAATCAGAAACAAAACTGAAGATATTCCCCAAGTTCCTTACACAAAGTCCCACTCAATCTATACAATAAAAGGCAGCCTGGTGCTTATTTCATCTAAGCCAGAAAATTTGTGCATAAAGAATACAGCAGTTCTCTGCATTTTCTACATTGTGCACAGAATAATGAGGCCTGAGGCCTGATTCTCTAAAGCCATGACTTCTCAGCTTTTTTACTCATTACTGTTGTGGGACTTTCTTATGGTTTGACAATATAACGAAAGAAGCATGTCAAATATGTTTTGTGAAATCATCCATCATTCCTCAACAAAGGAAAAAAGTGCATATTGAAGGATGGGTCATCTCCATTCTATAGACATTATCTGACAGCTCTGATAATCCCAACATTACCCTTAGTGAGATTTACATAGTTGAAAACCTGGACTGACCTCTTATTTATAACTTCCATAGTTTCCCTGCACCATTAGGGACAAAATTTCCAAAACTAACATTTAACTGCAATAAGTAAACAAAAGGAATAAGAAATATAAAGAAAGTAAATGGGATCGTCAAGAAATGTCCTATCCAAGGAGGTCCAACTCTCTTTTTAACCTGAAGTGGATGAGATTAATTTTTTTCATCATACTTGGTTCAGCTCATGCAAGAATTGGGACTTCAGCAGCTTTAGATGTTTCTAAGGCACTTTCAGTGTTGTATTTTCAAGAATATCAAGCTCTTGCATAAGCACTTGAAAATTTTAAATTAGAATACTGGTTTAGGTCAAAGTATGGCTTCTTCCATTTATATGGGAAAACTTGAGATGCACAAAGAATAAAGCATATGGCAACTTGAGCAGTAAACAACTAGGCAAAGCTCAACCAATTTTTGTGAGCTAGAGACAAATGGAAGGAGTAGCTCTTGTGCATAATACAAACAAAAAATACAGTCTTTGAAATCTATCAGAGTAATTTGAGTTCAGCAATTATTATTAGTTCATGTTGCACCTTGCAATATTTAATGTGCTTAATTTTGTCAAATGCTGAAGGGAGAAAAAAAAAAAAAGATTTCAACACTAGAAACTAAGCCAGCTGAGTTGACTAGCTTATCCCCCACAATATAGCCAACCTCAAGCCCAAAAAGCCTCTTTGGAGCATTTTACAAGTAACAGAGGTTCCTCACATGCATCAAGAAACAAGGTTTGAAGCCAAACCATAAAAACTGAAAAGGCCAAAGAGGATAGGGCCCATATTGAAAGAAAGAAAGGAAGCAGATTAAATGAAAATATCTGGAACATTTCTCGAAAAGGATTATATAAAATATAAAAGTAAAAATTTGCAAAGCCACCTGCTACCCTCAAACTTGAATGTGGCTCCAACATTCCACCCTTGACTCAGAAAATGGACTTCCCCAAAAGTTATATGCAATGTTAAGCGGTGAAGCAACCATGGTTTTGTTAACAAGTAAATGGTATGAGAACAATATCACTACTCTGACACAGGACACACTCAAACAGGAGAATAATCAACCAGTCTTATTTCCAATTTTTACTCCAGTCAAAATGCTTATTTACTGGTTCAGCATGAAATGAAATCAAGTCCGGGCTTTATTGAATTTTTAACACCTATCCACCCTGCAAATTGCATAGAACAAATAAGAGAATGCAGACTCTTTTTCCCCCCCAAACATGAATAAGAGAATAAATATGCTATCTGTGACATTGCTATTATGCATATGTTATTCAAAAACTTCTATTTTTTAAGAAAATCCTCTTATTGACAGACTTATTAAGCAATATCATCAAAACAAAGGACAATCTGAACTCATTTTTAACTCGTGATTGTAAAACCTCAGAAGCTATTCTGTAAGAAACAAAACCACTGTTCTCCCTTATTCTTCAATTATTAACCTAAAACGGCCATTTTGGTCAAAGCATTGATATCATTTATCATTCATATATTCAATATTAAACTGCCCAACTTTTTGTTAACATCCAGCCAACTTCTTATTGTCACTCTTCTGTTACGCTTTGACCTTTTAATAAATTTTCAAATAGAAATCATCTTCACCGATTAATTTAGTTCGAAAACAGATTTTACTAAACTAGACATGCTCTTCATTATGTATGCCTAGCAACATTCTCTAAAGGGAGGACAATGATAGACTACTTTAAGCTGGATAAGCATCCATATGCTGCAAGCCTATGAGGGTTTTAGGAAAATACCAACAGAAATATAACCTAATATTGTATTTACTACAACCAACTATTTTCTTCCTTCCTTAGTCCCAAAGGTTAACTCAGTACTCCCAACATCAAATCATAAAGGAACAAAACCCGCCAAGAAACAACCACTTTAAGCATGGGCATGAGAAACAAATCCTTTCAACAAGGTAAATGAAGATACAGATAACCCGACATTAATTTCACAAAGTCTATAAGATTGACCAAAACCCTAAGAATTAATAGAACCACAAAAATAAACAATGTGAGGTCCTATGCGGCAAAAATTTAAGGAACTACCACGAATCAAAACACAGAACATGTAAACAAGACATAAAAATTCAAACAACACAAACTAAAACGCTCACATAACCTAAATCGCTTATCTCTGCACCCCAAAGAATATTGTGCTCGAATGAGTTAAAAAATCAAAGCAAGCCCTTATTAAGCTAAGCCCGGAACTCATCCTCACAGAATCAACGCAACACAACAAGCACATAATCAAAATTCAAATGCATTAAAAAAAAAAAAGCACAGAAATTAGGACAAAAGTGCATACTTACCCTTGTCCGTCAAGGTTCCCCTGCCCGCTGCTACCTCCGCTTCCATAAGAGCCATCCTCCGCCGCAGCAGCCGTTTGCCATACTGACTGCCAAGCCTGTGAAGGTGGCTGAACATAAACTCCAGTGGGATCCACGGCGGGCCTTCCAATCATCATTCCGCCAGGGCCGGCACCAGTGGGCTGCCCCATCGGAGGATAATAATAAGGCACACCACTGGCTGTGGCCCCAACCATTCCTCCAAGCCCGGCCTCATCCTTGATCTCATCTCTAGGCACAATATCCACCAAAAAATCAAATATATCAGTTCTAGTAATGGCTGCAGCGATGTCATTCTTTTGGAGAGTCCTACGCTTATTCTCCTCCGCGTGAAGCCAAGACCGTATAGTAAGCTCCAAAATGAAAAGCTCACAAGCCTTAGCAAACAGAATGGGCGCCTCAGCCGAGATCATGCGAACATCCTCATCAGCCTTCATGATCTTCTTGATGCGAGCGAGAGGAAGCTGGTGGTTCTTGAAATCATTAACCTGTTCGATCTCCTGACGCTGATAAGACCAAAACATTTGGAGTTGTTGTTGCTGTTGCTGAAGGAGGTGATGGAATGGCGTTGGAGCAGGCGGAGCAGGGGCGCCAGTGGTGGGAGCCTGTGGCGGGTAAGAGGCCGATTGGGCTTGCTGGCTGTTGGCGTCCATCTGATTGGCTAGAAATTCTTTTTTTTTTTTTACTTTTTTTTTTTTTAATTTCCTGTTTTTTAGATTTTGTTTGATCGATTTTTTATCGTTGACAAATGTTGGTGTTTTGGGGGGAGAGAGAGAGAGAGAGAGAGGCGCTTGTGTTGTGATGTGTTGGATTTGGTTTGAGGGTTTGAGAGATGAGATGAGATGAAGGGATAAGGTCGAAGGAGAAGAGAAAGTGTAATGTTAGGGTCCGTGTGATTTGGTGATTTGTTAATTTAGAAATACACAGATTCCCCATTTTTGCTTATCCTGTGCACCCGTCTATTCTATTCTGTTTTATTTTTTATTATTTATTACTATATAATTGTTTTTAGGAAAAAAAAAATTCTCTTAACTCTGCTTTGCATGTCCTTGTCTTTCACCAGACAAATACCTTTTTTGACCATTTCCAGTTGGAAATTAATTTGGTTTACCATAACAAAGTATTATCTAAATTATCAATTAATTACTATAGTAATTTTAATTTAGGCAAGTCCATCGGAGCATGATTTGGCGGATTTGTCACTTTTGAGAGGTTTCGAAAAGTTTCATATTTAAATAGCTTATTTTAGCAGTTACAGTATCTTTTAAGGGCAATTAAACATATAATTAGTCGGCCAATGATAGAGTAACCCCAGATAGAGATAGGCGTGTCTGCGCTTCTTACAGAGAAAAAGGCAAGGCATCTTTGGAGCTTCTTTTTCTTTACCCTTTTTTTTTCTTCTTCTGCTCACAAATATTTCTCCATTGTCCCTGTTGTAAGAAGCAAGTTCCAAAATTTTGACTAATTGGAGTCTCTAAATATGCCTATTAAAAGGAAGGGTTTTCATTACTTGCTACCAATCTTTTTTAAGAATCAAGATTCGGCCATTACTAAAAGCCTACCAGTCTTCAAAATCAAACCCCACTTCGCCACTTGCCAATGCATTATTTTATAAAATATCAATGCAAGGGAAGGAAAAGGACAGAAGGAGGCGCTTGTCTTGTCTGATATGGATGCAAATTTAACTAATTAGTCAAAATTTTCCAATATTAGACCTATTGTTTCCCTCCAAAAAAAAAAAAAAAAAAATTTTAAGAAAATCAAGATTCAGGCCATTACTAAAGCCTACCAGTCTTTCAAAATCAAACCCCACTTCGCCACTTGCCAATGCATATTTATATTAAAATATCAATGCAAGGGAAGGAATAAGGACAAGAAGGAGGCGCTTGTCTTGTCTGATATGGATGCAAAATTAACTAATTAGTCAAAATTTTCCAATATTAGACCTATTGTTTCCCTCCAAAAAAAAAAAAAAAAACAAGAAGGAAAAGGCAAGATAGTGTCTCAATAGAAATGCATGTCATTTTTCAATAAGCTTCAGGCTGCCTTCAACTTCTGCAATCATGCCTAGAAATGGAACAAACGACATGAAAAAAAAAAAAAAAAAAACAAGAAGAAAAGCAAGATAGTGTCTCAATAGAATGCATGTCATTTTTCAATAAGCTTCAGGCTGCTTCAACTTCTGCAATCATGCTAGAAATGGAACAAACGAAAGGAATAGTTTGCATATGATAAATAATAGGTAGATCATTAAATGGAAGCTCCTATTTTAGGATGAAAGGGAAAATCTATGATTGAGGCCAGAAACTAAATGATTACATATTCCATTGATGCTCCGGACACAGGAGAAAGATGAAACTTGATTTCATCAGACAATGTAAAGGGTGAAAATGGTCCAAATTTCTCTGTACCATTAACTTTAAGATTGTCAAGCTATAATTTGTATTCAAAAGATATGCAGCTCCTGAGGCACAAAATTAACTAGCTGCAAAAAACAGTTCTAAAGGGTATTCAAAAAGAAAAATCAAAAGCATGGTGGGCAGCTAATTATAAGCTTAGACTAATGGTTGTTAAGCTATCAACTAACCCAGTAACCCTGTATGTAAATTCAGCCTTCCAAACAGTCTCCATTTACAGATGCAGCTGAGAAAAGTCTCACAGGCATCCCACAACTACGAAAACAAAACTGTAACCCACCGATGTTATGAAAGATGATAACTGCTGAATTAGTTTCTGTATAGACTCTTCTAACTCTTTTCCTTTTTGGCTATTAATATTAAGTGACCTAGTTCCTGTTTCGCCTCCTTTTGTACACTATTAATTTGTCTCCCTTGATTTCTCTCCCTTTATCCATCCTCAATTCTGCTACATCTTCTTTAGCAGCACCTTTTACTGCAATTTTTTCCTTGGTTGTTTCACCATTTTCTATCAACTGTTCTTCTGTAGCTTTCTTCACATCCCCAAGGGGATCCTTAGCTTTATCAGCATGCTCCACCGTCTCTTTCTCTTCAACTTCTGTTAATACTCTGAGTAGTTCCAAAGGCATAGATGCAGGATCAAGTTCCCAACAACCTCTAGGAGCATTATGACCTTCTTGACCCGTCAGCAAGTAAGAAGGGACCTGATGAGAAAACCGAAACAGCTCCTCTCTTGGAATTCTCTTGGTTTTCCTCGAGTCAGAATGTCGGCAAAACACAGTCTTGAAACCTGCAACTTTAACAAGAGGAGCAACAGTGACACCTCTCTCATCATTGTAGTCCTCAAGCACTTCCACCATGTCATACTTATGAATCACTTCGTCTGGTGTAAGTTCATTCCAATCAGAAGACCAATTCCTATAAATAGCCCAGATTTCGCCCTTGCTAGGGTATATTTGAATGGTCCCTCTTGTGCCTTTTGCCCACTTATTAACCTTGTGCGAAAAAGAATTCAGAGATTTATTAACTTCATGTTTGCCTATCCAGAAGTCTCCACTGGTCTTGTAAAAACCAGAACCAATCCAATTCAATGGGGATAATTCACGATTGCTTTTGGAATTAAGCCAACTGATCCGCATCCTAAATGGTTTCAATGATATCACGCTGTGGATCATAGCATAATATCGAGGCATCCCATCATCATCATCGTAAGCAGCCCAAACCTGGCAATCACCAAATGATTTTTCTGTGCGATCCCTGTCGAAATCATGGAAATCTGGATCTGGAACAGTCATTGATAATCGATCATCACCCTTTGTATCAGGGTCATCATTAGAGTTGGCAAGAGAACACTCCATGTGAGACTTGGTCTTGGTATCTAACCATTTGTGTCCATCAGCTTCCATGCCATTTAGAGGTGCCTTCTGCTTTTCTTTCTCCTTCTCCATCTGCTCTGAAACCTTCGATGCAGCTGATGGAATGCTACGGTCCTTAAGCTTCTTGCAAATATCCTTCTTAGCCTTATCCATCAAAATGTTTCGAAGTTCTAGCTGTGATAATTCCCTTGCCCTATTAAATTTATGGCTGGCAGAAGCTTTTCCCTTTTCTGTTTCAAAACCACCCTTTGGAGTGCCAGATTCACCAACTCCATTTCTGTTTGCCATTTGAATTCCTGTATAATTCATCCTATCATAAATGCGCCTTTTCTTCTTCAGCCTATCTCCTTTCTCCATAGTAAAGGAACAAGCATTAGGGGATCCAGTAGCTAAATTGGTTGCTGCTTCCCCGAAGGTGTGAATTTTCCTTTTAAGGGACTCCCCTCTTACACCAGTTGTTGGATCAACTGATAGCACGCTCCTAACATCACCCGCTTTAGCAAATGTCCCTGGATGAGTGAAAGGTCCCACATTTGCTATAGAAACTGGCTTCTTTCCTGAAGCATGCGCATTTTCAATCCTTGTGTGGTGAGTAGAATTCTGTCCTCGAAAATGAGAAGTCCATGTAGTGGATGGACCATTGCCATTTATAGATGGGGATGGCATCTCAACAGCGTAGAAAGGCTGACGGCAGTTCTGGCAAAAAAGGTTGTGGTTGATATAAGTTCGAAGGTACTCAAATTGTGTTTTGCAAAACAGGCAGATTGTCCAAAAGGTATTGAATTTGGAAAAATGAGAAGGTGGAACAGGCTGTGGATGCATGTCATTCTTCTGGGTTGTTGAATTTGAGTTGTTATTGTTGAATAAATTATGGAAACCATTCTGACCAGTTGGTATCGCAGATTTATAGTTTGGAATTTTCCGATAAATATCCCATAAATTCCGCTTCTGGTCATAGGCACTTCTCTTGGCTTTATCAGACAACAAACTCCAGGCTTCAGATACAATCTTAAAAGCCCCTTCAGCACCAACTGATTTATTTTTATCAGGATGAAGGATGAGAGCCAGTTTCCGATAATGTTTCCGGACTGTTTCCTCATTGGCCGACATTTCCACACCAAGGACTTTATACCAATCAACTTCCCCGTCAATTCTTTCCTCAGCAGATATATACACATCAAGAGTAGCTTGAAATTGAGAAAGACCATCAAGCCCAGGAAATAAGTTTTGAGCCTTCATTGCAAATTTTTTTGCTCCAGCAATGTCCCTTTCAATAAACTTCTTCTCTGCCATCTCCTTAGCTCTGAAAGCATCTTCTTTATTGCATTCCATCTTCGGCATGTCTGGAAATGGCTGTCCTTTGTAAGAATTGAGGCAAGGCCAACAGTAAGATCTCAATCACCAATATCCAGAATCTAAGCCCAGAGCTTCACATGCATCACCATGAATCTGCCTTCAACTGAGCAAGCCCTAATACACCAAAATAATTAATCAGAATAAATAAAATATCTCCACAAAGAAAGTAGATAAAATCTGAAGTTTCTCACTGAAAAGATACGGGCACTGTTCGTGGAAACAATACTTAAAAACGCCAAAAATAATAATTGCAGATTCTCGTGATCCATAAATTACAAAGTTCTTGACATCTGTCAATCTGCAAGTTCACTAAAGTATCAAATGAAATATCCGGAAAATATTTATGCATTCCATGTGCTCAATAAGAAACTTTGGAAGAAAATAGCTTCAGATAAATAATATTATGAAAAGTATCATCACAATGCCATGAATTCCATAGTTGTGAACACCTGTCCATCTAAAAACCTATTAAATGATCGAATGAAATAACTGAAAGTAATTTATGAAATCCAAAACATTCAGTAGTGAACTTCCAAGAGAAGCATAACAGGTTAAAAGATCCAAAATTATTAAGAAGCTTATGCTGCCATAATTTAAGTAGTACTTTAACATCTGTTCAGATGAAAAAGCTATCAACAAACAAATGGTATAACCTGAAAACAGTTACGAAATTCCAAGTATTCCATAATGAACTTCCATGCACGACAGGTTACAACAAATATGATTACAATGCCATGCATGTTACTCATTCACACCTAACTACAAATAAAATCATGCAATAAACTAATAGCACGTGAAAAGGTAAATGATCAACTGGTATAACTGGAAAGTAACAATGAAATTCCAATTAATTCTATATAGAACCTTGGTGCACAGAAAATTACAACAAAACATGATTACGATCCAATGCATGTTTCTCATTCAAATCCAACTACAAGCAAATCATGCAATAAACCAATAGCATGTGGCAAAATAAAAATTCCATGATCCATTTGGTAACTAAAGAAACAATGAAAGACCATACAGGGAAAAAATTTATGAAATCCAGAACATTCGGTAGTGAACTTCCAAGAGAAGCATAACATGTTAAAAAATCCAAAATTATGAAGAAGATCATACTGCCATAAATTAAGTAGTAGTTTAACACTTTTTAGATAAAAAAGCTATAAACGAATAAATGGAATAACCGGAAAACAGTAACAAACTTCCAATTATGATAGTAATATCGTAACGAACTTCCAATTAAGGTAGTACACCATAACGAACTTCCAATTATGATAGTAATACCGTAACGAACTTCCAATTAAGGTAGTACACCATAACGAATTCCCGATTATGATATTATACCATAACGAGCTTCCGATTACGGTTGTATACCATAACGAACCAATTACGGTTGTATAACATAACGAACCAATTACGGTTGTATACCATAACGAACCAATTACGGTTGTATACCATAACAACTTCCATGCATGAAAGATTACAACAGTATGAGTGCATGTTTCTCATTCATATCTAACTACATACAAAATCATGCAATAAACTGATAGCACAATCAACTAGCATAACTGGAAAGCAACAATGAAATTCCAATTAATTCTATATAGAACCTTCGAGCACAGAAAATTACAAGAAAACATGATTACGATCCAATGCATGTTTCTCATTCAAATCCAACTACAAGCAAAATCATCCAATAAACCAATAGCATGTGATAAAATAAAAATCCCATGGATCTATTTGGTAACTAAGGAAACAATGAAATAGCATGCAGGGAAAAAGATCTCAATCTGATAACTAGTTCCCACTCAAAAAAACTGTGATCAAGTTAGATTTCTCTGCATGTTCCTTGATTCATGAGCTACTAAGGAAATCCTAATTCACTTTTCTTCATCCAGTAGTATAATTCAGCATCACGCATCCTACCAAACAAGTTATAGTCCACAATAGAACAGCAAAAGGACCCCAAAACTAATCTTTTTTTTAAAAAAAAAAAAAAAACAAATACCCAGTTCACAGATTATCTTGAATTTGCAAAAACCAAATATATATTAAAAAAAAAAACGATGATAAAGAGATAATGAGCATATCAAATTCCAAGAATAGTGACCAAACCAAAGTATCAAATTCCAGCAACTAGAACCCTATATAGTCTTTATCATTAGTTATCGACATAATGCACAAAGAAATGATAAAAAGAATTCCAAAGGGAGCAAATTTAAGTGTGAAAATGTTTTATTTGCATAAAATATAACCAAAAGAGAGAGACGAGAATTACCCATTTGCATAGAGTTCAACCAGAGTTACGCCATTGATGAATTAGCTCTTCAATTTTGATTTTTCCCTTTTTTATAAGCCACGGATCACAAAGAGGAAATAAAAAAAAAAAAATTCGCACTGTAGTTTTTCTTTTCTTTTCTTTTCTTTTTTTTTTTTTTCAAAATTTTTTAAAGCCTAATTGTACTAGTATAAAATCTACAATAAAAAAATGGATGGGTTTTTCCCTGCATTCTACTACCTTTTTATATGCAAAAACTCAGCAATTTTATGCATGGTTAAAACCCTAACCATGGTTAATTTTTAACTCTGGTTAACAGAATTGGACCATTTGCCATTTGTCTAAATATGGAAAATTTTATAAGGTAGCTAGACCAAAAAAATGGAAATTTCAAGACCAGCATTTGTTAATGTTCCATTTATTTGTGTTAAATTTTATAAATTTATTTTATGTTTAACAAGATTAATTAATCACTACTTTTACAGTTTAAAATCTTGTATATCCAATTATTCTTTAATGTCTAAATCTTCTTTAATAAACATAATAATGAGGTTAAATTGTTATATGAAAATTAAAATCAACCTCAGTTTTAATTAACTGTATCAAATCCAAAACCTTCAAAAGTAAATGACTTTTGATTAATACCATCTTCATCTCTATATCTATAAGCAATTTAATCAATATATATATATATATATATATAAAATCCAAAAACCTTCCAAAAGTAATGACTTTTTTTTTGATTAATACCAGCTCTTCATCTCTATAATCAGTATAAGCAATTTAATCAATATATATATATATATATATATATAGTGCTCTTTTTTTTCTTTTTCATTTTTTAACCAACTCTGAACTTGTTAAAATTCATTGGTTAATGGTTATTTTATCTAAGTATGGGCAACCTTGGTTTTTGAACAGAGTGAGGGAAGGTTTCCCCTGTTGGGTTCTTATCCTCCTAATTAAAGTAAAATGCCAGTTGGGAAGGATGTTTTGGCTGGTTCTGTTTTTTTTCCTTCACAAGGTGTCGTGACCTTTAAGTCCAACTTCTGTTTTACAAGGCACATTTTAATCAATATATATATATATATATATATATATGCTCTTTTTTTTTTCTTTTTTACAACTCTGAACTTGTAAATTCATTGGTTAATGGTTATTATCTAAGTATGGCACCTGGTTTTGACAGAGTAGGAAGGTTTCTGTGGTTCTTATCCTCTAAATTAAAGTTAAATGCATTGGAGGATTTTGGCTGTTCTGTTTTTTTCCTTCACACCTTTAGTCCACTTGTTTACAAGGCACATTTTTGTTTCTCCAAATGTAGACTATACACTGCAATGTGGCAGCACATTTGGATTGCCTGGCATTCATTTAATTGCCATATAAATCAGCATCCTCGTAGGATTTTGTTCATGAAAGTGAATCCAATTCTTGATTTTCATGCCCAAATGAAAAGGACAGCTCTTATGGCCTCTAATTTGGTAAGAAAATGCTAGGTCAGTACTTTGCTGGACTTTACTAATATCAAGTGCATACAAGTCATGTATGCACACAGATGATATTCTTACCATACAATAGAAATATTACCATTTTCTAGCATTCACTTTCTGAAAGTGCAGTTCTTCTGTTAGTGATACAATCATGTAAATCTAGAGAAAGTTTGGTCATAAAAGAGAAAATTCCTGCAGTCACAAAATACACGTTCATATCTTCATTGGAAGAGGGTTTTCCAGAAAATTGGTTGTCAGTACACATTAGTAGTGTGAAGGGGATATTTCTGGTGCATTTAACCAGATGTCTTTGCTGCTTGGTTAGAATATGGTTATAGGCAAACTAGAGACAATGTCACACCGACAGAATAACCTGTATAATATTGTAAGAACATGTTATTTACAAGAAAATAGTTTAATAAAATAGGTCAATTTATAAATCATGTAATGATCCTTTCTTTGTTTTTTCACTATGTAATGAAAACAAAATGTTACATGATCATTGCTTACAAATTGAACCACAGGTGCAAAGGGCTTCCAGAAAATGAAGGAAGACAATTTGTTGCAAGTGCAAGGATGTTTAATGAAAAGACTATCATTGTTTTTACTTTATGCAGTAACAAAAGGCTGTATCTCTATGCTAAGCAAGATGCTTGGCCATATCGTAGTGACTGAAATATTTAAGTGAATTGGAAGCAATTTTGAGTTGCTTCTCCTGTAACTCAAACATTGGTCTTCCCATAGAGCTGAGCATATACACTCCTAGTCCGACGAACCACAATCAAACTCAGGATCACTGCAATAATGCAAACACCAGACATTATCCCACAAGTGAGGGAATAACAGATGGAACCCTTGCAAGTAAGTGATTCCTCCCAAAGATGTGTAGTGCGCATAGATCCTGAATTTAGCTGTTGGATTCCAGCTTGTTTCTCTGCATAATAGTCGTATATGCCACTACCAATAACACCAGAGAATATTAGAGAACCAGCAGTACTTGACAGTGTGAGAAAATTGTACAAGGCCCCAAAACTCTTCAATCCAAACAGTTCTGAGACTGCAGCAGGTACAATTGCCCAATGAGCACCATAGCCAAGTCCTATCAAAATGCTCACAACGTAAATTTGTCCAGGCCATCCCATTGCATAATAAAAGAGTCCAATAGCCATGATAACCTGAAAAACAGCCATGGCCACTGGTCTTGGGTAGGCAAAATTTCTGCAAAAGGACAACCAACAGCATATTAAACTAGAATTAGGAACATATAGATACTAGTTACAGGAAAATAAACAACTCGTTATCTTCAAAGAAAAAATTCAAGGGGAATAAAGTTTCACCTAATGATAACTTCTGAAAAATAGCCACCACCAACACGACCAAGAAAGTTCCAAATGCTGATCATTGATACAAATATATTTGTATCTTCATATCCCAAAGATTCACAAATCTGACCCAGATTGTCAATAACCGTCAAACCGGATCCAGAAGCCAGTATGAGAGAGAAAAACATAAGCAAAAAATCTGCCTTAATTAATGCTTGCATTAAAGTGAAATCTTCCCCTCTGCGTGGACCTTTCTTCCGCTTAACTCTCACTGCTCCTTCTGCAGCTGCTTGGAATAGTTTAGCTTGCAAATGAGCAATTCGCTTATGTCTTTCTGAAGCTGGAAGTGACTCCATATCTGAAGGCTTTTCATCTTCAACCTCGCTTAGAATGACCTCATTTCCATCCTGCTCCTGCCTGGATATACCTCCTTCTTGTTTATCTGCTTCCGGAAGAAGACTTTCTTCTACTCGAGATCTTGGTTCAGAGAAGCAAACCAATAGAATGGGAATTGCTATAGGAAGCAATACAAGAACTATCAGAACAGTAGCAAGTAACTTGATTAAAGTTTGACTCAGATCAACTATGTCCTCAAGTATCAACATTCCCAGTATATAAGCTGCTAGTATAAGGCAGATGCTGTAGATAAATAAGAAGCTTGAATTATCAGATGGCCTGACTTGTTTGTGCCCTTCTACAGGTCTAACAATGAACATTAAAGCAATTACAACCATTGGTGGCCCAACTGCAACCATGAAAATCAGTGATGCTTCAGTAGGGAAATTGATCATAAGATAAATCTGAGTCAGAATTGCACCACTCAACCCAGCAAATCCCTTCAGTATCCCAACAACGGGACCCCGGCTTTTTGGGAAGTTTTGCACGCATGAAACTAGAACTGCAGTGTTGAAGTAGGTTTCACCATTTGTCCCCACAAATACAGCAATACAGAGCTGCAAATCAAAATATGTAAAATGTTACAACTTTCCCTTAGGAATGCAAAAACTGAGAATATAGGCAGAACACAAACCGAAAACCTTGACAATTAGAATTCTACATTATTTACCAATACAACACGCAGAATGTTTAGCATTGGCACTACAATGGAACAAATGAATAACAGACGTCTGGTCATTTTATTAATTACATGATAAAGAGAAAAAAAATGCTCAGCAGAAAGCAGAAAAACATTTCAGAAAATAATTTCACCATCATTGCTAGATCTTTGTCATGCATATCTCCAAAGTCTCAGGGACGAACACAGTTCCACTCATGACCCCACATCATAATAAAATGGGAGTATGTAAAACTAATTCTTGCAGTATCTCAAATCTTAGCTCCGGCTAGCGGGGAAGAGACACAATCATAAAAGAATAACCAAAGATAGCTTACTTCCCGGAAACACAGTTCGATATAAAAGGCTTACTACAAGATGGCATCTTTCATTGTAGCCACTGGATACTAAATGAGCAAGCAGGAATCAGTAGTTACTTCAGAATGCAACCGTCAAACTTTACCAAACTAACATTTGTTGACAAGAACAAAGTCACTGCCTGATCGATTTGTCAAATTTAGTATCTCATTGCGGTTTTAGCAAATAAAAGCTGCATTAACTGAAGGTGTCCAATTTTATTAGAAATACATAGAATTTGTGCGATTAAACAAAGTTCCAATATGTATCTAAATATACGTTCAAAATCCAATGAATTCTCTTAATTTCTATTTGAATATGAGTAACCAATCCTCTGTTTAGAAAAGGGTTCTTTTCCACGGGCCTCAATCTGAAGCTCTCATGACAAACCTAATGGATTCCCTAATTTATTTCTTATAAACCAAATTGACCAGTGCCTTAAGCATGATGTCCATTAAGGATTTATATAACAGTTTAACCACAAGCAATAACATAACCATCGTCACTGCAATCACATCAAGATTCTTAAAATTCCCAAAAACTAAGCGTACCTTTCTCCACACAGAAGGGATCCACAGAAAAATCAGAACTTGGTCGCAACCAAAGCAGAGTCAAACTCCTCAAAACCCCCAAAGAACAAATATTTTCATGGAAAACTTAGACAGAAGACATCCATAAAGACAAAAAACTAACAATTAACAAAAAAATCTCCAAATTAACTAGTAGAAAAGATTGAACTCACCACCCAGAGAGGCAAAGCAGGCAATTTTTGAACAACTATTAGCCAAACCAAGCCATACCCAACAACGTTCTGCAGAGCCCCAATCAGCAAAATGGCCCAAATGGGCAAAACCTCACACAAAGCACCAGCCACAAGTCCAATGCTATCACCCAAGTCCTTAGCCACACCAAGCATAGCCACCTGCCTCTGGTTGTAACCCATGGCGCTTTTGATCACAGGTGATATACTCCCAAACAAGTATCCAATCCCTGCACATGATTGAACCCACATTGCACACACAAAGACAAGCCATCTGTTGTTCACAAAAGCTTTGAATTCTTCATGCAAACGCTGAATCATCCTCCGCTGCTCTGCTAGAAATTAAATTATCAGTTACGGATCTTCAAGATAGGTACAAAAAAAACCAATTGTTTGGATACTAAATACTAATATTTTATTGTTAAAATAAAACTTGCGGGACAGTGTTTCCTGTTCTTGTCCTCTACACAGAGCACAGCAACTAGTAAAAGCTCAAAACTTTCTACTCCCCCTAACCTTTGACGCCACAGGCTCGTGTCCCTTTCTTTTTGCGCAGAGTGGACATCATATACCCTACAGCTTATCAACAGCACTTATCGCTCGTGTATAATAACTGGTTATCTTTTTTGCTCAAATTTTCAAAAACAAAAAATGGTATGCCATATCAATAATTAGACTGTATCCAAAATTAATCAGCACCAGTGAATTTCAAACATGCGATAATTTAAGTAAAAAAAAAATTAGGGTGTATAAAAAATTTATAAATATTAGACTATAGAAAACAAAAAATAGATAAGTAAGAGTAAGTTGGTATTTGTTTTGCTTTTATTCAAAACTTTTTTTTATGTTAAATTAACATAATAAAAAAATGAGCAGAGTAATTGATTTTTCTTTCCGATAGGTGACAAAAAATTTAAACCCCACACGTGTATAAGAACAAAATTAATGGTAATTATCTAGAGTAATTGTATCTGCCACAACTTTGATGCACGTGGCTTATGACAATTCAATCATACTTATCTAATAATTAAGTGAAAACCATACATACTATCAGCCAAATTCAACGGAAGAATATCTCTCAACTGTAAATTGCTTTAATTTATTTATTAACTCTAAATGACTAAAAATTAAAAATAAATTATTTTTTTAATATTATTATCTGATTAGTTTTATTTAATTTGTGAGTCCAATGTATTAAAAATTAAAGAGACATTGTCCGTCTCTATTTTTAGCGAGTCTCTTAAAAAGCGTGGTCCAATTTTTAGTTTTTTTTCTATTTATTTATTTATTTTATATATTTTTTTTATTCGAGTTTAAACTTTTTCTTCGTAAATGGAAGAGTCATATTACCATTCATAACTTCTATTTATTAAGACACATAAACTACAATTCATAGTTACATTCGAAATACTCTAAGAGCAGCTCCAACGGATTATGGATTGTAGCTTATCTAATTGCCAAATAAAAAAAATGGACAGTTTTCGGTACTACTGTCTATTCAATATGTCAAGCTCACATGTAAAAAAAAAAAAAAAAAAAAAAAAAGGAGTGAACACGCAATGGACCGACAATCTTACAAGTATCAAGACGCGAAATAGAGAGCATATCATCGAAAACCTGTCCCAGAACAGGGAAAGACATAAAGTCCTGACTCACGAGTGAACTAGTGCAAATTGACAACATTTGATAAAAATTTCTATTTTAATTAACGAAGATTACTAACCCAAAAGGAAGACAAGACACAAGAGAACCTAAGAAAATTAGAAAAAGAAGATAAAATTGGATTGGCTTTTCTTTAAAAAACTTAAATATATTAGCCGATGATTAAAGTTCGTGTATCTAATTGTTGTGCATGAAGTCAGAGATCCCGAATGTAAATTCAAACAGAATTACAAAGGAGACGATGTCCGTCCTCTTATTATTTTTAGAGAGCGACAGTCCACTCAAGCTCGATAAAAAGCTGGGTCACAATATTTTTAGTGTTATTTATGACGTTGTTATTTTATATCCTATTCGCTAATTTTTATCTGATTAATTTCGTAGTGTACTTTGATGTTATAGATTCGATGGTTTGAAACTTTTCTTGTCGAGTATTAAAGGGGAAACACGTCAAGAATGTTAGGAGAGAGAGTCATTATTACCATTGCATACACCTCTTATTTTATTAAAGCACACATATAAACTAGCAATTCATAGTTACAGATTCAATTCCCGAATACCTCTACGAGCAGCTCCCAACGGAATTATGGATTGTAGCTTTTAATCATGCCCAAAATAAAAATATAAAATGGCAGTTTTTTTTCCGGTACCTACCTGTCTTAATTCAATATGTCAAGCTCACCAATGTAAAAAAAAACAAAAAAAAAAAGAAAAAAAAAAAGTTAGATACGGTAATAGAGCATATCTCCCTTTTATTAAATATTTTTCTTTGACCTAAAACTATTTACGCGCGTCAAACACTGATTTCTTCTTGGAACGTCTAAAACGCAATTAAGTTTTATTATTTTACAATTAAACAAAATAATTTTTAAAAATAATAATGCAACATCATCAAAAGAATTTTTATCTATGAATTAGACTGCATTTGAAAAAGTCCCCGGTTTTTCAAATTCCCATATTCCATGGACAGAATTTATTATCCACGTCACGCACCGGTATTTAATATGTTCATAGTGAAAGCACTAAACTTTACGTCACAAAATGAAGAGCTTGCGTTCCCTACCCCCACCTTCCCCCAGGTGACCAGGGCTCCTCATCCTCGGCTCACCCATCTCCCCGCTCGCTCGTACCTCTTCGCCCTCCCCTCCGACCCCCAGCCACTACCGAACACTACCCCCAGCCAATCCCCCCCGCCCACCCCCCACGCCTAAATTTGTAAAATCTCTTTTTTGCAAATTGTGTTATGATTAAATCATGATCCAATAAAAAAAATTTTTGAAAATTCCATTCATACGCGTCCAAAGATTTGACAGATTTTTAATCTTGAACTTAAAATTTTTAAGAATATCCCACATTACGTGTAATAGCAAATAAATGGTGATTTTTATTCCAACGCGATTCATCAGCCGCCCACAGCCTTTGGAAACAAAGACGACGTGGATTTTAATAGACAATCAAGATCACAGCTACCAAATTAGTAACTGTTCTTTTTCGCTGAATTATTCCAAAAGTTTAATTGCTACCAGTCCATTCCATTATTTATTGTCATTTCTTGTAAAAAGAAAGAAAAACAATTATGAAATTTCATTTTTCCTTTTTAGGTGGAAATCAATATTAAAACATTATAAGCTAAGTAATTTATTTTCTAAATATACTTCTTATTATCATAAGAATGTTAATTAATTTTTTTTTTATTTTTCCTTTCAAGCAAGAACAATTTTAATATCCTTTTCCAAAAAAAAAAAAATTAAGCCAATTTTTTGTTAATATTACAAATATGAGCCCCGTACTAAATGATTTACAGAGAAATTCTCTTTAAAACATTCGACACTTAATATAAAATTGACAGAAATCAATCATTTTTTGTTTATTAAATTTCCAATTTTGAATATGACAATTTTTAAATTATTGCAAAACATAAACGTTTTTCCACACGCGGAGTATGATGCACTGGTGGAAAAAAAAAAAAAAAAAAAAAAAAAAAGTAGATACGGTAAAGCATACCCTTTATATTCTTGACGCTAAAACTATTTACGCTCAACCTATTTCTTCTTGACGCTAAACCAATAAGTTTTATTTTAATTAAAAATAATTTTAAAATAATAATGCACATCATCAAAAATTTTTATTATGATTAGATGCATTGAAAAGTCCGTTTTCAAATTCCATATCCATGGACAGATTTATATCCACGTCACCGGTATTTAATATGTCATGTAAGCAATAACTTACCGTCACAATGGAGTTGGTCTAAGGTGACCGGGCTCCTCATTGTCAATTGTGTGTTGTTGACCCCAGCATGAATAAGCATGCCACGTAAATTGTAAATTTTTGCCATTTATATATCCAAATAAAAAAATTTTGAAAATTCATACGCCAAACTGCAATTTAATCCTTAACAAAATTTTAATCCCACACGTGTATAGCAAATAAATGGTGATTTTCCAAACGAATTCTATCAGCCACAGCTTGGAGACACGTGGTTTATGACAATTCAATCACAGCTACCAATAGTACTGTTTTTGCTGAATTATCCAAAAGTACTCTGCTCCCTCCATTCCATATTATTGTCCATTTTGTAAAAAGAAAAAAAAAATTATGATTTCATTTTCCTTTGGTGAAATCAATATAACATTATACTAGTATTATTTCTAAATATATTCTTATTATCATAAGAATGTAATTAATTTTTTTATTTTTCTTCAAGAAGACATTTTAATATCTTTTCAAAAAAAAAAAAAGCAATTTTAATAAAATATGAGCCCTACTAATGATTTTACGAAATTCTCTAAATCGACACTTAATATAAAATTGAAGAAATAATCATTTTTGTTTATTAATTCAATTTTATGAAAATTTTAAATTATTGAAATAACGTTTTCCACACCGAGTATGATGACTGGTGGTTGAAACAGGCAGATATTTTCTGGCCATCTACCACAAAACTCTTTTTTGCGCTTGAAAAAAGAAATTCTCACATAATCAAAGATCCACAACTTGCAAGCAACGGTCTGTTATGTTATATATATATATATATATATTCAAGTAAAATCCTTTCATAAATAAATTACATAAAAAAAAAAATTTCAAACTCGAGTACAGTACAAAAAGAGAAAAATAAATAAATTTTATAATAATTATTTATAATTTTAAATAAAATCAATTTTACATTTTATTCATTTCAAATATGATAACTGTGTCCTCCTTCCTCGTGAGTTTTCACTTTTCAGTCGCTCTCATTATAATCAATCAGATGATATACTGTACTCATGAATAAGTGCTTCGGACATGTGTATTCAATGTGTTTGTTACCCATGTAGTCCTTTTATTTTGGAGATAGATGGTTAATCCCGATATTGACCGTACGATTTGAATCAGACAATCACACAATTATTACAGACCTTTAAATCATTCAATTGGTTTAATCATAAATTGATTTTCGTCTGAAACAAATTAAAAAAATTCTGAATGATCTAATATATATATGTATATATATTTATTTTCCTGTCACAGATAATTTTGTTTCTATAAAGATGTGATCTTGGTTGAGTTTTGTTTTCATATTCAATTTATGAGTTTACAAATTGAATAGAAGTTACAGAGTTTATCTGAGCAGTGAACCAAATCTGACTCAACTCAAATTTCAATATCACCCAAGTCATTCAATCCATAATATGAAGCAAATGGATATGTAAGGTTAAATTAATCTAATCCATAGAATCAAAACTTGGAGCATACCATCCCAATTGCTCTATAATTTTCTTCATTCTTTCCTCCTGTCCTTTTGAATCTCCTAAAGCTGTAGTAAAGGGATACACATAGGTAACTTTTGTGGCCATACACCTATAAGCAACCACGTCTCCTTTTACCAGAAATTCAAGCACATCTCTGCCAAATCCTCCATCAACTTCTGCTTGTAAATATGTACCTGGATTTAGTTTTGTAACCATATAAATATAATCAATATTCAAGAATTTTGCATGAAAATGAGAGCACCTGATATAGTACTACCAAGTCATGAATTCAGTTTAGTATTCTTACCATTTGGAGCATCTTCAATTACTTGAATTTTTGCATTTCTCTGTGTTTTCAAGATTGCTTCCTGCAATTTCTGCATAAAGTTTGGGACCAGAGTAGTTCAGTATGTATGTATACAAAACTGAATATTTAGCCATAAAGCAACAAATAAGACAACTGAATTTCTTTAAACCTGAATTGCATTATCTGTGGAGTCATCAGGAATTGTCAATGGGAATGCAAATGATGAAGATTTCGGATTTGTTGATACACAACTTGGATTTGTGGATGGACAAGGCCTAATTTTCCTGCAACAGCATAACAATATAAAAAATCATAAAACGAGGACTCTAAAAGAATTAGTACATAACACATACATACCCATCTTCTGGTCCAAGGATCAAGTTCTTGGATTGAGAAAATGGAGTGGTGGGAATGACAGGAGAAGATAGAGAATTCGGAGAAGGGATAGCCAAAGAAGGTAATGGAGAATTTAAGGTCACTGTCAGAGCTAATGACAGTAGGTTAGTGAGGAGAATTGGTTTTGGGGTAGGAATTTCTAAACTGAAGTTTAAGAAATGGAAACGAGGAGAGACTTTCTGGATTGGGTTCTTGGAGGAGGCGGAAGGACGTGGAGGAACGACATGGCCTATCAAACTCATCCTTGTCCAACAACCAGCTTCCAAGTTCTCTCTCTTGACCAGACCAAATACTGAATTTCAATTTTCTATTGTCCTTTATATTATAACTTAACCTTTAAAACAAAGCGTCGATATGTCCGAGTGGTTAAGGAGACAGACTTGAAATCTGTTGGGCTTCGCCCGCGCAGGTTCGAACCCTGCTGTCGACGTTTTGTATTGAATTTTCCATTCCTTTTTTAATTCTTCTTCCTTCTTTTTAACTTTGGATAGGTTTTTTTTTCTTTGTTCTTAACAATAATCAATTGGAAATTGTGAATTACAGAAATGGAGGACACGGTAATGAGTTCAATAACACTCCCCAAAACGACACAAGAGCTTGCACTCGAAGGCCAAAAGCATCTCGAAGAAACAATCCAAGCTGCTTACCAGATCCTTTCTTCTATGAACGACGAGCTTTGTAACCCTAATTTATGGTCAACAACATCCTCCGGCAATTCTTCTACTGTCAATACAAACACAACTTCACCGATTACTGCGGCTACTAATGGCGATGTTGCTTCTGATGGAGGCCACCACTTGGACAGTGGCGGTGCTGGTGGTGTCGGTGTTGGTACTTGTAATGGTGCTCTCGATGAAGCGAGGTTTCGGTATAAGAATTCTGTTGCTGCTCTTCGTGAGGTCCTCGCGGCCATTCCTAATTCTCAAAAGGTAAAAGGTCACAGCTTTTTGTGTTGTAATGCTGAGAAAAATATCAATTTTGGTTGGTACTGTGAATCTGATCGCAAATGTTGTGCTTATTTGCTGTTGATTTAAATTGGTAGCCTCATCTTGCGAAATTTATTAAGTATAAAATTATTAATGATTTTTTTTTTTTTTTAAAAATCTTGAAACAGGCAAAAGCATTTGAAACCACGAACAGTTCAGCGTCTCCAGCAGATCATGCTGAGGTTGAGAAATTGGAAGAGCAAGCCTCCAATCTAAGAAAGGTATTTTGGTGAATGGTAAATTTGTTCACTAATTTATGATATTAGATTCACTAATGTCTATTGGAGAGTGCTATTTTGGGTTTCTTTTACTTTTGTTTTTCTTTCCTGTGAAATTGTGCTTTTTTATGTAGGAACTTGTAAACAAAAATGCGTGCCTGAAGCTTCTCATTGATCAGTTGCGAGATCTTATTACTGACATTTCCACATGGCAAAGTCCTTGCTCTGTTTGAAGTTGATATATATGTGTATGAGGGATAGAGATGCCTGCAAACTAAGGCTAGAGTGAAATGTCTGTATGAGGTGATCTTATCTTCACATTACTTTCACTGTTAAACTTCTATATCGAGTTTTGTAGGAAGACAAGATAACCTGTGAACGGTCTTGATTTTAAGAAGGAAAATAGGATTCTGAAAGAGGAAAAAAATGTTCTTATGAGAGAACATGTGAGGGCTCTTGTATGCCATGATATGTTCAGCATTGTGAAGCCTCTATTAAAATGAATATCTGGAATAAGTAGCTTGATTGATAGTTGCAATGATGTTGTTTGTTCAATCCAAATATTATGAAATGCCCCCTGACAAAGGCGTTAATATGTATGTGTGAATTCTGTTTTGCGGGTTTGAGGCCTTGATTCTGAACTCAAATTATAGGTAGTTCCTAATGCAGGCCCCAACATGTTTACTTGAACTAGCCAGTTTTCAGTCTGGAGTTGCTTATTTTGGAAGCTCACTCTTGCTTTGCAAATATGCTAATTTATAATAATTGTGGTTGCACATTACATTAATACTTTTAGCTAATAGCGTGAATTGTAGTGTAAGTGCTCTCAATCTTCTAATGTTGGTGAGTGCAAGAAAAATCATCTTTTGCCTCTCCTCTCCCCTTGCTTCTGATAATGCTTACTTTTGACTGTTAAGAAGCAATTCCTCGTTATCCTTAGAGCCAAATGGTGAAGGCCTTTAATTTACCATCGTAGCCACACAAAAATTTGGCAAGGACCAATTTATTCGGGACTTCACATCTGGTTCCATCCATGATCCAAATAATGCTAAGGTCTAGCAATTCAACTTTATTAAGGTCTTTGGCCAGGTTTGCATTTGATCCATTCCCAGGTGAATTTTCTATATTCCATAGTACCCACGTTTTAATTTAGCTATGCATAAAAACTTGGGATTCATCATTCCTAATTCCTTCTTTGTCATTCTTGAGCATGGTAATTGACCTAATTCCTATCTCCATCTTCTGATCTCACAATTTACTTTGATTCTGTTGCCAATGTATTGAATAAGATCTATAGTTTATCTATAGTTTTTTACTTATTGTCCTTTTTCTCTTTGGATAGTTGTCTCTGGAATGGTACTGTTGTGTCTCAAAATAGTTGTATCAGTAACTGAATGATTACGATGGTAATAGCAAGTTGACTTTCTGGATGCACGTTGTGGAATCTTTCTTTGTGATGCCATGTCTGTGAGAGCCGCTTATAAAAACCACATTCGGAATTTAATAATCATGGAACTTCGTGCACGATATCAAAATTGTTGAGCAATTTAAAATTTAGCAAAAATTATGATGAATTTGTTTCCATGTTATGCTGTAGAAGTGTGCATGGGAGAGAGAGAAAGAGCAGGAGAGGGTCATACGTCTATACTTAGGATATGACGTTTTTCTAAATGCAAAAAATATTCAGTTTGTTAGACCCTGTGGCGTTGACAAAAACCGGTGACTGGCTACCTTGTCATTTTGCACCTGTTCTCTTCCCCTTACCTATGGTTATGCAAATTATACTACAGACTTTCTGTGCTTTATGTAAAAGGGTGAAAATGTTAGGCAACTCGTATAAAATACAATAGAGTTTGTAGTTTCTTCTGTCAGCGTCATCGATGGCAAAATTCATGGATTTGAGCCATGCATTTTGATAATCATTTACGCCATATGTTTTGGCTTTTTTTTTGGTCGCAATGAGCAAATATGGATCTATCAATTTCTGCTGTCTTTGTTGCTCCCATCTGCATTCAAGTGCGGATCTGATCCTTTCCATTTGCATTTAAAAAGCAATGCAATTTGGCACAAATGAAAGTTTGCAGCTTAATTAAGTTGTAAAATCTCTTTTATATATGAAAACCTTATATCTTATGCAAGCATCTAAAGATGGTGTTCTTGTGATTTACTGCTTGCCATTCTTGAAGTAATATTTTACTAGCTTTTATTGTTTCCTAGTTTGAACAATTCAATAATTCTAATAATACACAAATTATGTATTACTAGTTTACTACTAATCATGGACTGAAGATCTGGTAGTGAGGGATGACCTCATATCTACAATGGCAGATTGATCTGCTCCTAACTTAATGGCTTCTTTACTGGCTCTTATAAACCTTGTAACAGCACCTCTTACATATTCATGAGCTTCTCGCACGTTCATCTTCTCGCTCATCCCATCTGGAAAACTACTCAAGAAATGATCGCCGTTAAGAACTGCTGCTAGTTGAACTACTTCACTCTGAAACTCAGATAAGCTACTCTCTTCCTTTGCTTCTGTGGTTCTCAAAGGCAACACGTCTGGCAAGGTCTCTGCAAGCAAATTTTGATTGAATTTCTTATTGCTATACAAAATGATAATAATAACAACAAAGTAACAAATTAAGATAAGATTAATACCTGGACAGTCAGTTCTTGGAGAGGATAATCCTTGAACAACCTCTTCAAATGTGCCTGCCCATGCATCCCTGTGAGTTAAGAAGTTGGAGGAGAGGTTGAACATTTTCTTTATACTTGCAGGAATTGAAGAGTGCTCAAACTCTGAATTTGGAGTAGGTCCTTTTGGACCACTAATCACTACAAAAGAAAAAATAGATAAATAAACAACAACGTATAGATCAATAAAAAAATCAAAGTGGGAATGAGTTAAACTATATTGTTATACAATCAACCAAACCACATTTTATCTTTCAATTCCCGATGGAAAATTTTGAAGTCCTAACTAACTTGACCTCAAAATCATAAATTTACAAACTTCAATCCAATATGATGAAAGCAACAAATTAAATTAAGCTTACCAGTGCCTTTCTTGATCCAAGGAGAGACCATAATAGTAGGAACACGAACCCCGAGTCGGTCAAACTTGAAGAAAGAAGGAGCAGGGCCAGTGTTCCCATCTGGATTAGGAACATTAACATAAGGAGTCTTGACATGATCGTAAAACCCACCATGTTCATCATAAGTAATTACCAAAAGTGTCTCGTTCCATTGAGGGCCGGCCCTCAGTGCCTCGTAAACCTCCTTGACAAGTTTCTGGCCATTGGCAACATCATGAGATGGATGGTCATCATTTGCAGGCACTCCTTTAAGGTCAAAATACCTTGGTTCAATTACAGTTAAACTAGGTAACTTTCCATCTCTTGCATCTTTCTTGAACTTCAAATCAAATTGGTGAAACTTAAAAATGTACTTCAATTTCCTCATATTCCTATAAAACAGAGTTGTGGGTATGTTTTGAAAATAAATCCCAAACTTTTTACCATTCTCATGAAGTGAATCAAATATTGTCTTTTGAGGATACCCTTGAGCCAATTGCTTCTTGACATGGCTAGTTGAGCCATGAGAAGTAGCGGAATATACAAACAGCCTATTGGGTTGTGTTGGGCCAGGGATTGAAGAAAACCATCTATCAAAAACTGCAAATTCTTTTACTAAAGCAGCATAAACAGGAACAGATTGAGGCCTAAAACCCTTCATGACAGTTTCAGAGAGGTTTGGGGACAGAGTGAGAGCTTGTTCAACAAAACCAGACATGGAAGGAATTGAGCCATTACCAAATACCTGTTGCTCAACAGCTTCAAAGGAATGGCCAGGATCTGGATCCACAAACTCTGCATCATCAGTAAAGCAAATGGATTGTGGGTTTGGTTTCTTGGTTGATACTGGGTTACATTCTCTCCCTGTAACTCCATTAATTTCCTGATTTACTGCTTTCTTCATCCAACCAAGCATGTGATCGAAAGATCTGTTTTCCATTACCAAAACGACAATGGTTTTTATGGGATTTTGCTGTTGGGCTGTAGAAATACATGATACAGCAAGAAACAGCAAGAAAATGAAGGAAAATGAAGGTTTTTTAGTTTTGAACCCTCTCATGATTGTTTTCTTTGAAGAGGATAAGCCTTTCAGACAAATGGGGCTTCTTTTATCTCTGGCTTTAAAATGGTGGGTATTGCTTTATAATGGAATCGAGAACAGAAAAACGAACTATGTGTATGTGACTGGAATTAAATTTTTAGTAGGTAACTTTGCATGTTAAGTAATTGGCGTATCTTTCTTCGGATATTTTTGAGTAAGAAAGGATTCACTGTGCTAGTTCTGGTACAGACACCAGAAAAGAATAAAGAAGCTTCTGGTTTTTATAATTATGGTGTTTTGCTTTTCATGCCATTTTTTAAATGCCAAGTGACTAAAGTAAAAGCTGGAAAATGACATTTGTTTCTTTATAAAAAGATTTTCTTGTTTCAAATTTTTACTACGATGAAATATAAACAATGAACAGTCTTCAATACATTCACTTAACCAAATCCAAGTTTTAATATTACATTTACGTTTTAAACCAGCCGTTAAAATATTTATATCACTTTAATTTAATTTTTTTTAAAAAAAAAAGAAGAAAAAGGAAAGCTATGTCAGCAATTTCTTATACTGCAAATATTTAAAGAAACCAAGAGATACTAAAATTTAAATTTTCTAACATAAAATGGAGCATTTGACTATTTAGGTAGAAGTCCAACAACAGTCAAATTAATAAATTTTGGTTCTTTACATTCAAGTGTAAAGAAAAAGAAAAAAAAAATTAAAGAATAATCAGAAGTAACCACACAGTTGGAATTGTTGGGACCAATTTGGTAATTATAATTGTGGTAAGAGAATCATTTTGATATGGTAACAAGTGGGTGAGAGCACATAGATACATTTCTGCTGGCAATGTGCAGATCCTTCTATGTATGAACACTCACATATTTTCAATTGAGAATGAAAATTAAGAAACAATAATAAAACACAAAAAAAGTAATGCTGTTTGACAATTACAAATTTTTTAATTTATATATATCTATTCTTCACAAACCCAGTTAAGGTTACACTATAGCAAATCATTCATTATGACACAAGTCAAAAGGGTAAATTGGGAAAATAGTGACATGTTAACTGTTAAGAATATGAGATGTTACAGTGAAATGCCAATAGTGATAGTAATAAAGAAATAGAAATGCATGTGCAATTACCTGTGAAAAAGTACAAAATATTATTGTATGTATGCACTTTAGGGCTCCCAAAGTGACACATCATAAGTGGGAGTGACGCTGAAAGTAGGCTAACTCTCTCTCTCTCTCTCTCTCTCTCTAAACACTGAAGTCACTTTTAACATCTTTAATCACTTCCACTGTGCCCTATTAGTGACTAATCGTTGGAAGTTCTGCAAATTCCAATTAAATGAGTATTGTTTTAAAATTTTGAATTATTTATTTTGGCATTTTTTAACCAAACTTCTTGACTTCTTTTCTTAATTTTTTTTTTTTAAAAAAAAAAATCCATTTCTTTCTCTCCTATGCTTCCTTATCAGTTCAAATGAGAGATAATGCCTCACATGTAAGGCGGTGCTGAAATGGAAAAAAAAAAAATTATTTGGGAACACCAATAAAATAAAATATTTAGCATTTACAAATTAAGCAAGACAATGAGACGCAGTGTTGCGCTTCTTATTTATTTATTTTTTTATACCCTGTAATTTGTGGAGATTCTCTTGTTGAAAATTCTCAAATATTTGATTATTTATTTATTAAAAAAGCAATAAAAGGAAGTCGTTACCGCTAATTTGAATTTTATAGAATTATGTTCAATTTTTAAAATTAAATTAAGACATTTTTTTAAAAATTTCTGTAAAATTATTGATTGGATTGGTGACAAAAATTTTATAAAGAGATAATTGTAATCCTGAATAAGTAGATTATAGCTTTCAGTATATGTGTAAACGCGGGAATGTGAACGCAACTCCTTGGTAAAGACATCAATCAGGGAAAAAACAGTCAAAAAAGGATGGGGTCCACTGCACGCACCGACAATTTAATTCTGGACTTTTTTGGGAGTTGAATGAAAGGCGTAATTACATTGCCCATCACGCGCTTCCGCCGCTACTCTCGCCACCAACTTACACTGCTACTAAATAAGTAGAAAATCAGATTTAAAATGTTGGCACCTAGCAATTTGCCAATCCCCAAACAAACTGGAAAATGTTGCTATCAAAAATTAATACTCCACCGTCCGAATTCCAAACTCGCAATTAAAGAAAAATGTAAAATTGACCAGACTAGGGTTCAAGGAATGTACTTGCTGAGGCATGAGGGTTTAGTCGTAAATAAGAATGATTCTCGACGAGAGAGAATTTCCAAAGTCAAAATTGTATAGTGCAAAGTGGAAACTGGAGCGGCACAATAATTTATTTTCTATACATCAAAATTCTCCAACCTGTATATCTGAAAAAGAATACACAGCAGTAAGTCCATACATGTCAAGTGTGCAGTGCAGCACCCAGCACCAAGAATTTTAGTTTTTTTTTTCTTGTCCATTTGTACTTCTACAAGAACACATTGTCAAGCAGAAGAAATGCTGTCACGATCAATTCCACTCTTTCTCAATTTAATTCAGGTAAATTGATTTGTATTCCGACACATTAGTATCCGGATCTTCGCAAATATGCAAGCACGCCTAACCCAGCAACCAGAGCAGCACCTGCTGCTACAGCACTGTATGCAGCAGCCCATGCATCTGTGTGTGTGTAATCTAAATCTCCTGAACTAGAACCACCTCGGCGACCATGTACGCCAGAATAATCTAAATGCAACCTCAGACCCTACAAAAATTCATTATGATGTTAGCGACCGCAGAGTTTAATGGTTTACAAAGAAGAAGAATTCCTTGAAAAGGGATCTCTAGTATATGAAGGATATGAGTTTCTACTTCTGTTTGCAGGGTAGAACAAGGACCAACTCCCTTTTTGTCTTCTAAGTGAAAGGAAAAGTTATCCCATCTCATGCTTCTTTTTTCTGACAAAAAGCATTACAAAACCTATAAAAAACAGAACCATACCTTCAAACCAGCTGATTTTGCATGATCGACAGCTGTTACAAGATCACTATCTGACTCCAGAACAACTTTGTCATGATCTTCATCTTCATACTTCAGAGTGCAACCACAAGTTAGCATGAAACTAAGAAATCAAATATCAAGAATCCCAGCAGAAGAACGTAAAAATATGACCATATGAAGTTCATAACATGTACCAAAATTTGAGGCAAGTTGTTACGGTCAATGTCATCCCCTAGTCTCTGAAGTATTGAAGTTATTAAATCTGTTAAACTCCGAGTATCTGGTACAAAATGAAACCATCCATCAGATCAACTATCTATTATATAAGGATGACTTAATATGCGAAGCATCCCATATTTGTGTGCTCTAGGAAGAGTCAACATATGCAACCTTCCTCCTGCTTTTGAAAAAAAGGCTATTTCCATGACTTGAACCCACGATCTCCAAGAACCTTATCATTACACCAATACCGACATTTATCAACTACCTATCTATGAGAATCATAATTTGATTAAGAAAGCTCCCATGGTTATGTCGGCATTTCAATCTCCTAAACCAAATGCCTCGACCAATCATGAAAGCCAAAGAAAAAATAATATTTCAGCCAAAAACAATATTGTTGTAATGCTTGCTTCTTAAGGCAAATCACCTGGCTAGCCACCCTCTAATCAAATATCTATTCTATCAGAATCATCATTTGATCTAGAAAGTGCCCATCATTTTGTCGGAATTTCAATCTCCTAGACAAAATTCCTTGACCGATTATGAAAGCCAAAGCAAAAAAATATTTCAGTCAAAAACAATACTGCTGTAATGCATCGCTTCTTAAGGAAAATCACCTAGCCAAATCCATAAACTAGAAATAAGGGCTACATCCATGTCCTACATGCATGTGATACACTATATGGAAAACACACGAATAGTGATCTGATAGACTTGCATAAATGACATAAAAAAAAAAATCTTACCACAAGTAAATCTGTGCATCCGGCCCTTCTTGTCTTCAATTTTAAAACTAAACGTATTTGGCAACCCCGATGATGAAGGATAGGCAAGAGATCTCCCTGTATCTCCTTCGGAAGGTACTTTTAAGGAACCTTCACTGAGATGTCAGCAAATTAAGTGTAAGTAAATGCTGATGGAAAAAATCAGAAATCTATTCTAACAATAACGCTAAAGCATATTACCTCCGTGTATCCTCATCATCCTCATTGGGACTTAAGGCCATTGCAGAATCCCAAAACTTTTGCATCATTGTACTTGCTGCCTCATTATTTACTCCAGTAGTGCTTCCAGCCTGATTATAAAGGAATGGAAAAGAACTTTGCTTGATGATAAAGATATCACAAAATCATAACATAGCATATGTTTCTCATGAAATAACTTTCTGCCTTCAGCATGCAGGAAAATGATATCTATTATCGGATAGGCTGCATTACAAGGGGTTAGACCAGTCCCCCAACTCGTCTTATCTCAAGAGCAAGTGACATTACAATCAAAAATAGCTTGCAACCGTTGTTTATAGTGCCACCACTGAGATCATTATTCTAGTTTCCATTGTTTTGTAGAATTTATTGTCCATATTACACATTATCTATAAAGAAAGAACTGATTCTGATACACCCAGCTTATAGGGAGACAAATTATGGGCTATAGAGCAATATATAGTTCCAGAAAGGCATGACTTGACTTACCGTGGCTACTGCAGCATGAGTAATATGAATTACATCAACAACAGCAACTACATTCCCATCTGTATGCAATCAACCAGGATCATCAGAAACTAAGATGACTTAAGATAAAAGAGCATGCTCTTTATTTCTAATAGAACTTAAAACAGCATATTACCTCTGTCTACCACTGGAAGGTGCAAAAATTTTCCATCATGCATGGTATGCAGAGCATCAACAATCGGCGTATCAACAGTTGCACATTCAGGGTTAGGGGTCATGACCTATAGATAAAATCAAAAGAAAAGTTTCTGAATAAAGATTGTTTTCTTTTATCAATGACATTCAAGGGGTATTTTCTCAAAAACTATATTCATTTATTAGACAGAGCCACTTGAAGAATGATTTGAGCCACCAGGAAGACAAATATACCTTTTCCACCAAAGTGGAATCTGGGGGAAGATTTTGTGCTATTACCCGCATCAAAATATCCTTTGAACTGAAACAAAAAACAGGTGATTACATTATGTAATAACACAATAAAGGAAAGATTTCCCACTGTAAATTTTACATGAAATATTGATTGGGGATGTGCAACTTTTATTGGATCCACCGTTAAGCTCAACTGAAAAGAGACTCACGTCAAAATTCCCCGTGGTTTGCTATCAACAATCACCACTGCAGAGCTTGTTCGAAATTCAAGCATCTTCTTTGTCGCTGCCAAAACTGTTTCAGTTGGTGAAACTGTTACAACCCTGAAAGATGACACACGTATCACACTACTTGCAGACTAACTTTCCCCAAATGCTACAATAAACAATGCAATGCAATACAATAAAACAAAACATTACCTACTTTGAATTCTCTGGAACTATGGTAGATAAAGAAGGCCTAAACATCCGCTCTCTAAGTGTCTCGATGAATGTATTAGGTCCTGCATACCAACCAAAAAAACAGCGTTGGCGGGAAACTAATTGAACAAATCTGCAGTACAGTATATAGTGAAAGGGTAGCCAAAAGAACTGCAAGTAGTCCAAGGTTAATCATAGCAACATTTTTCACCAACCAGAAAAAGATGTCCCCCAATTTTTCTCTACACCTTCAACTGCTGCAGCAATTGCCTTTCCTTTCTCAGCTGCTCTTTCCATGCGAGCAATTGCATCATATAAACATTTTGCTATGTCAAGTAATGCAATGACCTCTCCATTTTCAACAACAGGCAAATGTCTGAATTTTCCTGTACATATTACCAAAATTGGAAGCATCATTAACGGGTTAAGATATGCAATAGCACAATATAGCTGTTATGATTTTCAATTTTCTACCAACCTTGAACCATCTTCTGGAGAGCTTCCACAGCAAGAGTGTCGGAAAGAACAAAAACTGGGTTCCTGGTCATAACTTTAGAAATGGGTGTTTCCTCAAGATTAACTTCACGAGCAATAACTCTTGTTGCTATATCCTACAACAAAAAGGGAGTAGCACACGAAATAAATGTATGAAGGTAAATACACCAAAGGAATGTGGATTTATTTTTAGCAATCTACAATGTAAAAACTCATAACCGTACCTTGTCTGTAAGAATTCCACAAAGTAATGCATTTGAGTCGGTTAGCAATAGGGCATCAACTCTACGAGCAGCCATACGACGGCAAGCATCATAAATACTTGTGCTTTCAGGTACTGTCAAGGCCTTTGACAGGCGCAGTCGTTTTACTGTACGCTCACCAGTTAATCCCCTGTTTCAAATGCACATGTAAATAGAAAGCTAGATTATGTATTAAGGAGGTACTAGAGTAGCTGTGTATGTGACTGACTAGAAATTATGGAATGCAACTCCTCATGAATATGACTTAAGGCATAATGAACCGTTTTGTATATTGACCAAGCTACCAACTGGTTGGGATGTCAAACTATATGCACCTTTCAAGAATATACTAAGTGGAAACGAAACAAATAGCCATAAAAAGCTCTGATCAGAAATAGACAGTAAATACCAAGCACATGCATCCAAAAATGAAGTAGCAGAGTAATTGATTATTTAATGGACTTATTATCTCTTGCATCTCAACACTGTTCGGTTGAGTTGACTGGAAAGGTAGGAGAGGAAACAGTGCTATTGATTGCTTCATCTTTTTTTTTTTTTAACATTAAGAACTACTTTGAAATTTCCCTCCCCTGGAAACTATGGTAGATAAAGGGAAGGCCTAACATACCCGCCTTCTCTAAGGTCTCGATTGAATGTATTAGGGTCTGGCATACCACAAACCAAAAAAAAACAGCCGTTGGACCCTGGAAAACTAAAAATTATTTGGAAACAATACATCTGCAGTAGTCGTATTAATAGTGAAAGGTAAGCCAAAAGAACTGCAAGGTAAGAAGTCCACCAAAGCGACATTAATCATAGCAAACACGTTTTTCCAAAAACCAAGCGCAGAAAAAGCTGTCCCCCTCTCAATTTTTTTCTCTACACCTTTCAATCTGGTAGGCTGCATGCAATTGCCCTTATCCTTTCCTTCGTTCTCAAGCTCGCTCTTTTTCCAAAACACTGCGAAGGCAATTGCTAAATTCAATAAACCATCTTATGACTAATGTTCCAAGTTAATAGAAAAGTTGACTAGTCCCCGCATTTGTTCAACAGCAGGGCAAATGTGTTCTGAATTTTTCCGCTGTACATATTACCAAAAATTGCGAATTGACCAATCCATATAAACCAGGACCGGGGTTTAAAGATATCAATAGCACAATACATAGGCTTTATGAATTTTCCAAATTTTTCTACCCAACTTCGGAACCATCCTTTCTGGAGAGCTTTACCACAGGCAAGAGTGGTCGGAAAGAGCACAAACTGGGTTCCTGGTCAATAACTTTAAGACAAAATGGGTTGGTTTTTCTCAAGAAATTAACCTTTCCACCGGAGGCAAATAAACTCTTGGTTGCTATACGTCCCCTACAACAAACAACAGGGAGGTAGCTACAACGGAAATAAATTTGTAATGAAAAGGTAAAAATACAAACCAAAACGGAATGTGGATTTTATTTCTTTAAGCAAGTAACGTAGAAACAAATCTGTAAAAAACCCTCAAATACACGTAACCTTGTTCCTGTAAAGAATTCCCCAAAAAAAGTATGCATTTTGAAGGGGAGGTTCGGTTAAGCAATAGGGCACAATTAAACGAGCAGCCGATAAACGACGGCAAGCATCATAATTTACTTGTGCTATTCAGGTAAGCGAACTGTCCAATAGGCCGTTGGACAAGCCGCGAGAACCTGACGGATCTGAGAAAAGCAGATCGTTTTAGAAACTGACCTTGTAAATCGACGTGTAGTACTGAGTTTAATCCACTGGAGTTTCAAATGCACAATAAGTAAATAGAAAGCTTACGATTCATGTATTTAAGGAGGTACTAGAAGTAGCTGTGTATGTTTGACTGCACCGTAGAAATATGAATTGTGCGGAGATTGCAGACTGCCTCAATGGAATATGAAACTTAAGGCGCATGAAATGAAAGCCGTTTTGTTTAAATATTGAACCCACCAGCTAACCAACGTTGGTTGGGAATTGTCGAACTAATATGCATCTTTCAAGAATATCTTACTTAAGTGAAAACGAAATACAAATAGCCATAAAAAAAAGCATCTGAGATTTCAAGAAATAGACAGTAAATAACAAGCACAATCATCAAAAATGAAAAGTAGCAGAGTCAATATTGATTATTTAATGGACTTATTAAATCCTCTTGGCATCTCAAACACTGTTCGGTTGAGTTGAAACTGGAAAGGTAAGGAGAGGAACAGTGCCTATTGATTGCTTCAAAATCTTTTTTTTTTTTTTTTTGGGGGGGGGGGGGGGGGTGGGGGGGGGGGGTGATATGGATGAATGATTTTGAAAATATTCCCTACTTCTACCAAAACCCCATAGTATACTTGGATAATTAGAGGAAACAAGTAAAAGGTAAATAGCATATGACTGCATATTCATTAAAGCTGCACTTGAAAACTCTTCTTCAAACACAAATAAGGAATACACTTCAATTTACTTGTTAGATCATCCTTTTCCTTTCTTTTCCACGTTATACACAAACAAGAGAAAGGTGATAAGAGATAACCTCAAGGACCTGTTTGATCATTGGAAATGAGAGGACTGGAACAAACCATGAATCTAATCCACCTTGTAATGATCTGTTAAACTGGAATGGACAGGATTGGGAATGATGAATCAGAAATGAAAATCACTTCACTATTTTGATTTTCTTTACCACATAGGAACCGTGTATTGTAAACGGGAATGCTCTTTCTTCCACTGACATTCCTTCATTTGCAGTAACCAAAACCACAATGAATTGCTGCAACTTAATCTATAAATTTATTCTTTTGAACCAGAAGTTTTTTGTTTCACTTTGATAAATAAATAATATGATAGATTCATTAATGCAATTGACACTAGGTAACAACCTTAATATCCCCTAATTCTGACCACCTTTTCTCTCTCAAACTTAAATAGCTTCCTTATCTCGTAAACCAACTATCATTTCAATCAAATCAATAAACATATAGAATGAATAAGTGGTTTTTTTAACGAATAAAACATAAGCATAATTGGCAAATTAAATACCAAAAATTCCTTGCCTTTTCCACAACATTGATTGTTCAAAACTATATACATAAAGAGTGGGGAGAAGAGAGCATAGAAACCAAAAGTTGTTGTGTAAACAAAGAGGAAATGCCAACAGAAACCAATAAATGGCAATGAATAAACAAAAGATTATTCATTCACGCAATGCTTTAGGGGGAAAAATATCACAGCAACGTACCCGGGCCGAGAAGAGTTGAAGGATTTTCGTGAAGGATCGGGGCCTCCACCATTCTCAGATGCTTTCTTCCTCCCAAGCACAGAAGATGAATTTGTCAACGACAGACTTCTCCTGGAAGATCCGCCTTGACTGGTCATCTTCGCTTATAATCCACGCACAATTAACTATCTAGAGCCCTCCTCCAAATTCCTGCGTCCAAAATCACCAAACACTGAAATTTCAATTTTTTATTTGCAGCACCAATTCCGACTTTTCATGGTAAAACATTTCCCAGTCCATTTTTAAATTTTGCGCAAAATTAAAAAGGAAATCACCTCGGCAGCTATAACAATAGCAATAAGGCAAGTGAAGATTTCAATCTAGAAATGAATATTTGGTAAAGACAGCCTCAGTCTAAAATTTCGAAATCAAAGATTTTGGAGGTAACAAAGTAGGTTAATTGTGCGATTGGCAATGAAATTTTACAGGGAAAAGTTGAAGACAATCGCAGGTCGGGATTGTTATCGGAAAATAGGATTTTCCGTAATATTCACCGACCGGCGAGTCAAAGAGAGAGGGAGACGTAACTAGGTAAGGAGAAGGTGGAGAGAGGCGAAACCCTAAAATACGGGAAGATGTGAAATTTGCTCTACGGTGGGATAGGGCCCAATGAAATTCGTGCACGTTAACGATTTAAACTGAAATTGCTCCAATTTCACAGGGATGTTATGGCTTTTTCCATAAACGGTCGATTTTCATTTGAGTTACAGGTAAATTATTGAATTTACTTCCTTACCCTTACTATGATTTTGTTTATCGGTAAATTTAGTCACCGTTGATGGATGCTAAAGACTTTTCGTATTTCCTTTCGAATGAGTGGATGTTAGTAAATATTCTCTTATTCCCATAATAGAAAAAAATTATTAGACACAAATAAAATATGTGCTTGCTATGTTATAGAATCTTATCTTTTGTTTTTCAAAGTAAGACTACGGCTGTTTTTAAGAATTGGTCTACATGGTATGTTGTGCATATATGGTGTCAACGTGTCATTAATATAGTGTCAATAATATTATTTTTAATAGTATCCATCTTTCTAATAAAAAAGTAGAATTGAGAAATTATTGATAATAAATACATATTAAATGAAGACATACAGAAAAATTGAGAGATCAATTTAATTGTACAAAGTCAATTTTTATTGTTTTATCAAAGTCAATTTTCCTTTTCCAGAGTTAATTTTTCAATTTTTTTTACTTATTTATTTTATCAAATTTGTCCAAAATAATTTAAATTTTTTATTTTTTTAGAAAAATAGTTTCTTATTATTGTGGTTTTCTATTTTAATATTTTTCATCTTTTATTTTTAATATTTTTTAGTATTTTTACTATTGAGAAGAGAGATTCAAGTTAAATATACATTTATCACCAAAATTAAATCCAATTTTATTAATATTACTTTTATTTTATATATGGTACATTACATGTATGTTCAGACCGTCTGTCGCATTAACAATATTTTACAAGTTGTCAACAGTGTCATTAAATATAAGTGTCAAATAGGAGTATTATTTTGTTAATAGGTATCCATCATTTGCCGCGTAATATAAAAATAGATAATAGTAAATTTCAGACAGGCAAAAGTTATTGATAACATCTATAAACCATCTATCTATTATAATGAAGACATACAGAAAAAGTTGAGTTTAAAGATCAATTAATTGTAAAAGAAGTCAATTTTTTATGTGGGTTTTTAATCAAAAAGTACAGATTTCCTTTTTCCAGAGTTAATTTTTTCAAAAATTTTTTTTACCCTCCTTATACGGCAAAGCTTTAAAATGCAAAATGTGGGTCCACACACACCAATATAAAATTCGTAATTTTTTCTTTGAGAGAAAGAGCACACTTAGGGTCTATAAATTATTATTGTGGTAGTTTCGTAATTTTAGATTTATTTTTCAATCTTTTATTGTTAATATTTTTAGGTATTCATGTTTGAGGCTTATTGAAGAAGAAGATGAGATTCCAAGTTTAAAAACTATTAGAAGCAGATTTTATCACACGAAAATTATAAAATCCAAGTTGTTAATTAAAAATATCATCGTTTTATTTTATATATTTTATTTTAAACTAATTTATATTAAGCATAACATACAATATAGTTTGGTATTTATTATTTTAATTTTTGTGAAATTAATATTTCAAGGATAATTTCAGGAAATAAAAAGTAATGATTGTTCAAATTATGAATTTTATTAAATAATATAAAGTGACTTATGAAATTTTCAATGAATTTACATGATTTTTAAAAATTAAATTATAACCAAATATGAGAGAGAAGTCTTCATATCACAATGAATTAAATAATCTAGAATAACAATAAAAAATTGAAGACGGGGTGGCATATAAAATTAATGTCTTTCCTAATTTATCTATGTAGTGAAAATTTTATCTTTTAAATTTAAATGATAAATTGACTATTGCCTCTCGACTTCATGAAATTAAATTAAATTTCATTAAAGGATTATATGGTAAGTAAGCTTAAATTTTATCATATTGGAGAATAGAGAATAATTAAATTAAAAAAATTATCTTCTCTCATATCACTGAAAATAGAATATATATATATATATATATAAATCAATCCCCATGAGTATTTCCTATCGTTATTCAAGTTAAATATACATTTATCACCAAAATTAAATCCAATTTTATTAATATTACTTTTATTTTATATATTTATTTTACTAAAAGTATAAAAAATTTATATAGCATAACATAAATATATTTGGTATTTATTATTTATTTTTGTGAAATTAATATTTCAAGGATATTTCAGGAAATAAAAGTAAATGAATTTTCAATTATGAATTTATTAAATATTAAATTATATGAAATTCAATTGAATTACATGTTTTAAATTAATTATACCAAATATGAAAAATTCATTCACAAATGAATTATACTAGAATTCATTTATAAATGAACGGGGTGGCATTATATTATTTCTTTCTAAATTTTTAGTTAATTTTTCTTTTAATTTAAATATAAATGACTACTCCTGATTCATAGAATATTAAATTAAATTTCATTAAGGATTATATGGTAAGTAAAGCTTAAATTTTATCATATTGGATAGAAGATAATTAATTAAAAAAATTATCTTCTCTCATATCACTGAAATAGATATATATATATATATATATAAATCAATCCCCATGAGTATTTCTATCGTTACATTTCATCGATTTTTTTAAATCTAAGGGATTGATATTGACATGTCAAGACAAACAATTATTTTTCAAAATTATTAGTATACTTTTCTTTCACCACTAGTTTTGTCAAAATAAATAATAATTTTGTATTGGAAATGAAATTCGTAAGTGTGGATATGACAAGTATTGGGCCCACTATGGCCCCACATAGAATCACTGATCACCTCACGGACCACGGTCGACATCAAGTATTCAACTTTTGTGGATGTGTCTGCAGTTGGATCGATCTGCCACGTGTATGGTGAGTGCAATGGTTGAATAAAATCCCATAATTTTCTTCAGACGAAATATTGATCATCAGTTTAATATTTTAAAGTTTTAAATTCAATTTTATAAAAGATCGACAAAACTTATTTAGATGAAATTGAATTATAATAGAAAAGAAACATATGAAACATAATAGAATTTTTCAGAGGGGAATATGCTTAACCCAACCCAAGGCTCTGAAATGCATGTATAAAGTAATCGAAGGTCCCTTGCGTGAGGATTTAGTTAAAGTGATCAGGAATTCAAGGCTTTTGAGCTTCAAGTGCAAGTGGTTAGGTCAGAAACATAACATAATACACAGCATGTAGAACGAAAGTATATATATATATTAACAAACATATCAAGTATTCTTGTGGGCATTGTTTCAAACAGTTAGTGAGCAGCAATGGCGGATTGGGCACCTATATTAATAGGATTGTTGCTATTCATACTTCTATCTCCTGGGCTCATATTCCAGCTACCAGGAAGCACCAGGCATGTAGAATTTGGCAGCTTCAAGACCAATGGCAAGGCTATTGTTGTTCACACTGTCATCTTCTTTAGTGTCTTCACCATTCTCATTCTGGCAGTTCGCGTTCGCATTTACACTGGCTAATTTTGACACAGCCCGAGATGTGATCTTTTACATTTTTTTTTAAATTTGTTTTGATTTGTATCAATTTGATTGTTACTAGTTTTCTTATTGGCTTGCTATGTATTTATATAGGCAATTTTTCTCTTTCTTTTTCTTTTTAACAATTTCTTGATGCTGTGACTGATTGTTGGAAGCAAAGAGGATCAGACGATCAAAAATTTCTAAAAAGTTGGCGCTAAAGTATTGGACTGCCTTGCTGAAACGATCAACGATAAAACGAGGCAGAAGAGTTTCCTTCCAACAGGGGGAAACTTTTCCTTATCATCTATAAAAACTTGTCGTAATAATAAAAGGGGCAATTACATTTATGATATTTGACTTTCTTTTTTTTTTAAAAAAAAAAAAATTGTTTGGCTATTGATATCTGGAAAAAATTTGGAATTAACCGTATGAATTAATGATTTTTATATAATTAAGTTTAGCTAAAATTTCAACTGAAATATTAAAATGAATAATTTTATTTCATTTATTTTTCTGGATTATTTCACTTATTTCTTTTTATTTTTTCCTCTCTTTTTTGTTTTAATATTGTTTTGGAATAAAAAAAATTAGGTATAAAGAATTTTTAACACTTGTTTCAAAAAAGAGATATAAGGAAAAAAAAGAGAAAAATAAAAGGATGCGAATTGAATGGATATTTATATTTGATATTTATTGAGTAAAATGATTCATTTTAATTTTTCATGTATAATCCAATTAAATGCACTTAATTGCAACATTTTTAATAGTCTAAACACTTAATTATAATTTGTTTTTCAAACACTAAAATTAAAAACTAAAAAAAAAAAATAAATACCATAAGTATAATTAATCCAGAAAAATATTCCAAGAGGAGGATAGTGCGAGTCTGCGTGATGAAAAAAATATTACAGACCGTCTTATTAAATTTGGATTGGTCCGCTAGAGTATTAGAATCTTGATACCCAAATGTTTCTTTGGATTGGGCCTAATAGGAAATGTGAGGAGTAATTAAAAGAAAATAAAATGAATTTTATTTTAAACGTAATGGTTTACATTCAAATATTTTAATCTAATGATTAGCACTTTTCCAAATATTACTACTGTTCCATTTTATTTTGATCAAGAAAAAATGTTTTGTAATTCTAGAATATTCTTCAAAAAATAATTTTATAATGATAGAACATCCTGTTTGCCAGTTAGAAATTGGTATGCATGGCATTAAAAATGTTACAATAAATAACAATATATATTTGGAAAATTTTACGGTATCCAAATGCTGTTGGGACAAAAAAATGTAAAAGAAAAAAGAAAATGAATAATTATGTAAAAGAAAAAAGTTCTCTCTCTACCATGCGATCCATCCAATTCAATTGCAGAGGTGAAGGAAACTCTCGTGCGCTCGTCCTTGCTTAAATACAAATTGTATGGTTTTGAGTACGTATATAAAGCTCGCTGAACGGACTTTTAATGTGTTTGGTCGGCGAATTACTTTTTTAGGATTATCGTGTTTTTCTTTGTCATTTCTAGCTTTTCCGATCCTCTGCCATTTTTGTCTCTTAAGTTTCCTTTTTCTCTATCTTCTCTGTCTCTGTTGTTTTTGGTACGGTACTCTTCCCTTGATAAAAATAAAACTTAGATGAACATCAATATTGACTGTGCTGTGTTTACTGTTCAGCATTTGCTTTTCGTGTTTTTGCCTTTTTTATACTAACGTAATTGCTTAACAAAGGTACAAATCGCCGTCGTTTCTAGGTCATTTTAAGCTAAAGATTAGCTCGTGAGTACCAGGGTTTATACCCACATTTGAAGTCAAATCTGAACCGCTGATACTCTAATCTGACGGTTGGTGTATTAGAATTCTTTTCAACTTATGATGTGATATGATGGACGCAGATTACGGTATCTTAGAGAGAGAAAGAGACGCTTCTTTTCCAGAAGAACATCATGTCCATGGCGGTTTAGTGCTCCGAGTCCGACTCGCTATTTAACTGAGTTATGGATCCAAAGTATTGATCCATTAGACTTCTGCATCTCTTGTTTTCCGGAGAATAAAGAAGTTATTTGGTTTGAAAGTAAGAGATTCATTTTCAAAGGCGAGGGACTTTTCAAAGAACAGATTAGCCGTCGTGTTGCTTCTATTCCTCTTCATAGTGCTAATATTCATGCTTCCGCTTTTTTTACAGGTGCGTATATTACAAAACACTAATATATATCTCCTTCATTATATGTCCTTGGATCTAAGATATTCCCTGTGTTGGTGTGGTTAGCTTTCAATTTTTTTTTTTTTTTTTTAAATGGATGAGAGAATTCTTTGGCGCAACTCTTTCAACATGTCTTTCCCTTCCTTCAATAACTTGTTCAAAATAACTTTAGATTTGATGAACATTGATATCAACTGTGCTGTGTTTACTTTTCAGTATTTGCTCATTCGTGTTTTTGTCTTTTTCATGCTAACCAAATCGCTTAATCCTCATACAAAACGCCATCGTTTCTTGGTCGTTTTAAGCTAAAGTTTAACTTGAGTCCTAGGGGTTTATAGCCACATTTGAAGTCAAACCTGAACGGCTCTAAGCTCTAACTTGGGTCGTTTTGGCTCGCAGCAGCATCCTCTTTGTCATGCTGCTTACACTTTCTTTGTCTTGTAGGGAGGGAAGTAGAATCCGTTGTGTCATCTGCATTTTTCTTAGAAAGGAATTGTCCATTTTCCATATGTTTTTTTTTCTTCACACTAGTGGCAGAGTAAGAAAAAGGAAAGCAATAGCAATTTTAATCAAGAATCATCTTCAAAGAAGAAACACAAACAAGAATACTTTTTTGAGTTATTGTTCAGATAAAAGAGTGGCAGAATAAGCAAAAGGAAAGCAATAACAATTATAATCAAGAATCGCCTCCAAAGAAGAACTTTGTTAATAAAAGAAGCAAATAAGAATTCTTTTGTGAGTTCTTGTTTGGATTTATAGAGTTATAATATCTCATACTACTGGGAATTGAATTAAACTACACTACCGGGTCTGAAAACCTAATCCTAACTAAAATAAAACTAAATAAGTCCTGATTAGAATGGGACAGAGAAAAAAATTATTATTATGTAGGAATACGATGAAAAAGAACTCCTTTCTTGGCCACAAATAACAAATCCAACTACTGGTTGAAGTGCTATTTTGCAACCCCGATTTCAAACTTACCGTAAGAAAAAAAATACAACTTTTGAGATTGTTATGCAATGAAATTCATTAGCCTCAGCCCCAAATCTAGGCGAACTCAAATACTCAGAAATTCAAAGACAAAACATAGCTTAGTTGACATGAAAAGCAAAATATCTTCTTTCTCTGAATTTAACAGATCGGAAAGGTTAATGACAGAAGCCTTCACTGCACATCTGACTCTCCGATAACAATTTGGAGAGGCAGTTGTGCGAAATCTATAAAATTTTCTTTTTTTTTTTGGTCTGAATGGGCTGGGCTCCCATTCCTTTATTTATGTAAAAAAAAGTGGTATTTTCAATAAATGGGCCCAAGTAACAAGCTCAGTCCAGATGCTTTTGCGTCACAACTGGGCCTCCAGAACTGGATTGAAAACTGAATATAATTTTTTAGAAAAGATAAATGTTTATCCCGAGAAAATCTGAGCCGTCGAAAAAACAATGGGGAAAATGCAGAGATGCGTTTTGAAATGCCAGTGCAACCATTAGTTGTCACGAGAAGCATCCATATCAATGCACTTGTCTATGGGTATTCTCTTTAGTTTCAGTATCTGATATATATCTCGTCTCGACTCTCGGATCGGTACAAATTTTAAATTTTGTTCCCTTTGTCAAATCCTTTGCTTAAACTTCTATTTCCAGTTCCCTTTTCCGAATTGTTTTGATCTGTGATCAGAATACGTGTTTGGAGGAAAACGAAAAGAAAAGGAGATGGCAGATTGGGGTCCAGTGATAGTAGCAGTGGTGCTGTTCGTGCTGTTAACGCCAGGGCTGTTGTTTCAGATACCAGGAAAGGGTAGAGTGGTGGAGTTTGGAAATATGCAAACAAGCGGCGCCTCTATCATTGTTCACGCCATTATCTACTTTGGCCTCCTCACTATCTTCCTTATTGCCATTGGCGTTCACATCTACACCGGCTAGTCTTTATTTTTTCTCAGTCTGATAATATCATTTCATTTTCATTTTCTGCTGTTTTTTTTTTTTTTTTTTTTTTTTTTTTTCTTAACTTTGGCCTCCTCAAACTTTATCTTCACGCTTTTATAGTTGCCAAATTGGCGTTTCACATCTACACCGGCTTAAGTCTTTATTTTTTCTCAGTCTGATAATATCAATTTCATTTTCATTTTCTGTTCTTGTTTTTTATTTTTTTTTTTTTTTTTTTTTTTTCTTACTTGTTGCTAAGCTGTGATTATTATGGTATTATTTTAAATTAATTAGGCGTTTATTCATCTTGAAAATGGGAAAGGCCGAAAAGGGTTTTTTTTTTTTTTTTTTTTTTTTTTTTTCTCTTGTTGCTGCTGTGATTTTATGGTTTTATTTTCAATTAATTTAGGGTTTCATTCATCTTGAAATGGGAAAGGCCGAAAGGGTGTGCGTGAATGAGCGATAGCCGATAGACGTTTGATTGGTGGGTCTGTGTGATTGTGATTTAGATAGTGAACCACATAAATAATAGAATATGGACTTTATTGCTTGTACTTTGCAATGTATACAAAATAAACTTTATTTTTAACTTTTTACTGTTCTTGTATGAGATTGAATCAAAGTAATGTTGTTGAAGACTAATGGTTAAAATGGAAATTTTCCAATCTTACCGCTAATTACCTTAAAATGCCTAAATTTTATTTTTCAAAAAGAAATAAACACCAAGTTTCTTTCTTAACATAATTGGGATGGGTCGGTTTCCACATGACCCAACCGACAAAATAAGGTTGGGTAGAAGTTTTCAATTACGAACAGGGAAATTGAGAAAGTGAGGTGAAATGAAGGCCCCACATCAACATGTCTAATTTCCGACACCAGTTGCTGGATACAGGGGACAATTGAAACCCCACCTTAAGTTATCACTAAGCTGCAAAGTAAACTACGTTTCGATCTGTTCTTGGTTTTGGTCCCACTCCAACCATTCAGATTCCATTTTTGCTCTCTCTAGTCATCCATTCATAATCTCAGCAACCACTGAAAATGAGAGTTGGAAACAAACTAAGGAAGTTGACTGCCATATTTATTACTACAAAGTATATTTAATCATCTTCAATTTTAAGTGTTTCAAAGTTCTTAGAAAGCAAGACAAACTAAAAACATTATCTTTTCCCCTCCTCCAATCTCCTTATCTGAAGTGAAGCCATTGTCTGAAGGAATACAAGAATCTTTTTTTCTCTATCCATTTTTCTTTTCTTTAAACAAAGATTATACCTTAGTATTTAAGCACAAAATTATAGAGTTAATAAGGAGAATTTCCGCACCTTTTGCCCCTCTTTTTGAAATGTTTTTTCCTTTTCAGAGTTGGGCATATCTCGCTATTAACCATTAAACTTGCAAAAATTGCGGTCTAATGTCAAGTGTACCTTATGAGTTATATTTATATATTTTTAGTAGTATTAATGGATTAAAATAATGTGCTGTAATAAGAATAATTTTCTTTTTAGATTTCAAATTAATAAAAATTTTTGCGATAGAAAGTATTCGAATCTTGGTCGAGGCTTATAGCTTATTATAATTATGTTGCGTCGGCTAGCAGTCTAATTGATTATTGAGTTGATGAGAAGCACAGCAGAAGTTGGATATCATCATAGGTTTAAAAGAATTAGCACCTCCGGTTGGTAATAAAAATAGCCCCACAAGTAGAAGTGTTCCTTTCCCTTATGTTGACTTGCTTTGTCCTTTCAGTGACGTGGCCATTGATATTTTGAAATGTTTCATGTATGTTTTCTGGAGAAGCTTCATGGTATTAGCCTTAACAAAAAAAATAAAAGGAAAATTTTTCTTATTCAAATAGAAATAATTATGAGATATGCTAACTTTTTGGATTGTGTTATAAAATACATTCCACTCCAAATTATCCTTAACAGCGTAATCAATCAATCAAAAATTTCTTAAAACGTGTCGATCTACCACGGGATTGTATGGAATTTGACCTTGTCACTGTTTTTCACGTGTCAAGCATATGTCTATCTAAGGAAAATTGCTAACACCAGGGCGCAAGCTCCACGTGTCAAGTAGTACTTCGTTAGGCTGTATTGCCCTTAGTAGTTCGTACTTATTTAGCAAAAATTATGTCCATTTTCTCCCCCTGAAAGCTAATTAGTTTTTCTATTAAATTTTATTACAAAAAATATATATTTTTATTTTTCTAAACAATTCAATTGAAAAAAATATATATATTGTCAAGACAAGTTAAAAGTGTAATCTCTATTTACCATGAAACAGAGTAGTCATATTGCTGAAGCTTTGTTCCTTGTCTTGTGTTGAGAATGTTTAAGTACGTACCTCTTGAAATTTGTTTTGCAAATGTACTAAATTCATTTAATAGTCATATTTCACTACATATTACTAATTGCAAATTAGAAAAATAATTAAAACCAGGAAAGAAATGCATGCTAGAAATGGTTGATTTTTTTTTTTTAAAAAAAAAAAAAAGAAAGAAGAAATAGAAAGTCTTTCTTTCTCAAAGGGAAATGTCTGTTTAGTGGCGTCATGTCGCTTCATATGCTCCAAGAAAGTGCACTCATCTGTTAAATATTAATCAATGTTATTATTCTTAATTAGACATACTTAGCATTAATAATTTATATGGACAGGCAGCGAGCTTCATTATGCCATTGCATAAACTGTTTCTCTATATATAGTAATATCTTAGGTAACCCTCATTGTATGTGCCTCTCTCTCTCTTTCTCTCTCTCTCTCTGAAGTTTCTCTTTGCATGTAGTGAATATGGGAAGAGGGAAAGTGGAGCTGAAGAGAATAGAGAACCCAACAAACAGACAGGTAACCTTCTCCAAGAGAAGAAATGGCCTTCTCAAGAAAGCTTTCGAGCTTTCTATTCTTTGTGATGCTGAAGTTTGTTTGCTCGTCTTTTCTCCATCGGGAAAAGCTTACCAGTTTGCAAGTCATGAGTGAGTTTCTTCTTTGCTTCTTTTTCTTTTTCTTTAACAGTTTTTCTTCCTCTTGAATTTAATTACATGTTGGTAACTTTTGGTTACCATTTTCTTCAATGGTTGCAGTATGGATAGGACCATTGCCAGGTATCGGAGCGAAGTTGGATTGTTAGGATCAAATGATCAGCGTTCCAGATCCTTGGAGGTAATTAATTAATAATTAAATATTCTGGTCTTTAGATACACATTTTTATTGTTGATTATGAATTGATTTGACTTGACTTATCTTTTTATGGGCATAATTAAAGAATTAACTATACTATATATATTAGGGTTAATTATATATATATGTAATGTGTCTGAACTTTTTAGTTTTTACTCTATTTTGATATATAGAAGGTAAAATGTATAATTGGTATCTGAATTTAACAATTTTTTTTACAATTAAATGCATTTAGTTGAATTTTCTCATGGAAAAATCAAAATGAACTGTTTTACCATATTGCTTTACTTTATTTATTTTTCTAAATTGTTATCTCTCTCTTTCTTTTTTTAAATAATATTTTGGAATTGAAAGAAAATATTTAGAATAAATTTATGGGATTTTTTCATAATGGATGTACGATAATGATAAATTGAAAAAAATTGAAAGAGAAATTAGTCGAATGAATATTCATATTTGATATTATTTATTGAATAAAGTGATCGAATTTAATTTTTTTGGCAAAATTATCCGGCCAAATGAACTTAATTGTAATTTTGTTAATAGTTTAGCCACATGAATACAAATTGCTTTCATTCGTTAAGTAAAATAGGAAAAATTAAAAAGTTTATAATTAACATTTTTTACTATTCATGCTAGACATGTAATTGAAAGTTGTAACCTGTTTTTGGACTTTTGTGTTATATAGATTTCAACTTTTATACGACTTCTCTTTGATATGACACCCCCTTCTTTTATGTTTAAATATATATTTGTAAATATATTATTTTTATCTATTTAGCCTTTAATGAATTAAAAAAAAAAAAATCTAGAATATAATAACTGACTAAGAAGAAAAGAAACTTAAGTGTTTCTAATTTTTGAAGCTTACTTTGGATTTTGTTTGCTTTCAGTACTGGAGAAACGAGATTGAAGAGTTAAAGAGAACAATGGACGCAACGGAAACAAAAATCAGGTAATTAATTAATTAATATAATAACCTCCAGCTGGTCCTGTATTAATTAATTAATTAAATGTTGTAATTTTAATTAGGCACTTTTGTGGAGAAGATATATCGAAGTTGGGCATGAGAGAGTTAAAGCAGCTGGAGAGGCAATTAAGGACTGCGATTGAGCGTATCCGCTCGAAGATGGTACGGTAGTATTTTTATCATTATTTTAAATTAATTACAAATCTAAAAAAATGAGTTTCTATTTAAATTCAAACTCTTACTTGATTGGTCCACGTAGCACAATGAATTTGAATAAATAAATAAATAAATAAAAACTAATTTTTCGTTATAATGAATCAATAGAGCCGCATAATTTCGGAGCACATGAGCTTGGAAAAAAGAAAGGTACGTAATAACATCGCTCTTGGAATTTACTTAGATTATATAAATATTGCAACTAAAATATGAAATTTCCCCTCTTGGTTTGAACGCAGCATAAAGCATTGCAAGAAGAGAATGCTCGCCTCCAAAAAAGGGTGCGACATTAAAGTGCAATATTTATTCTAAAGCTTAAATAGATTAAGTGCTGGACTTCTAAATCTATCTTTTTTTTTCTGTATTTTGAGGTTAAGATTCATGAGCTAAATGATCCAAACGTAAGGTACTCAATTCTGGAGGCAGATGCTCTTTGCAGGGTTCTTCATGATGGAGCTGTGCAATAAACTGCTAAATGGACTGCTCCATTGGTCATGCTGATCTTTTATCCTCATGATTTTCATTATCATAAGCTTGTATTGTTAAATAAATAAATAAATAAGAAGTATAGATAAGTAAATAAATAAGTAATTGATATGAGAGCGTCAGGGACAACATCGCTTCTGTGCAGGAATTTCAGACGGGGATGTGGTGAATTCAACTACTTGAAGGGTAGATTACAGTTCAGATAGGGATAGCAGTTTCTATTTTGTATTAGACTTGAGAATTTCTCAAGATTGATTAATGTGTTCAATATATATACATACATAGTATGTTAATATGTTAAAAAATAATTGCTCATCACCTGTACAATGATTATACGTGCAGAATGGATTAATTATACATAATATATATAGGAGAAACTATTTTGTAGATTAATTAATTAATTAATTAACAAAAAGCTAGTCTAAACCGCTCTCGAACACTAGAAATGTATTTTGCAGCTCTTTCATCGATGTTTTCATTGGAGCCGGAGTGATTTATTGTCCTTATTATGATATACAACAGCAGAAGCAACTGAAGATGGATAAGGCTTCGCATACTGCACACTAGATGATGGGTTGACTGCTTGATAGAAAGACATCGCTATCTTGTGGTTTGCCTCCACTAATGCTTCTTTTTTCTCTTTGTCTTGAGTGTTATATATTTTGTGTCTTGTGAATGGCAAGACAAGTTTATATTTATAGCGTGCTTCCACTTGGATGAATCAAATGGATAAAAAAGATGGTATGATATGCTTTTTTTCGAGCAACCTGTTAAAATCTTTCTAGCAAATTAACAGGGAAAAGGGATTGCAATTTTAACCAATTAAAATGTAAAAAGGGCGGAGAGAGAACGACGGGAAGAAAGAATATATTTTATATGTAATTGGATAAAGCAGGGAAGAAAGGTGAATTACATGTACAGTAGTGCAGAAAAGTTGTTCATCTCTGTAAAAGCTTCAACTGAAAATCCAATTATTTGGTTGGCTCTTTGTTCGGATTTTACCTAGTCCAAAACATAACCAAAAGAGGCTGATACGTTGTTGATGGGATATATAACTTATCCACAAGCTTGTCCATGGCGGAGAGTCGAGTAAAGAGGTCCCAGACTCCACTTTATTCTCTCATCGGATGGAGAAGAGGAGATGATTCTCCACTTTCTTATTTTAATATTTTTTTAATTTTAATTGTAACTCTAAATTAGATTTAGAGTACAATTATTTTAAGATATTATAATCAAAAGGTTCAAAATAGGATACAGTTACAATAAGTGGAAGAGTTCAAGATATTTTCATGTGCTATTTTTATCCTAAAATATAAATCATTTAAAATTTTTATATAAAAATTAAAAAAATAAATTATATTTTGGAATAAAACTATTATCCTAAATTGACTTCTATATTTTGGAATGGAGGGCCTAATATGTTACGCCTTGCAATAAGAGACCATAGGGTTCTCTCGCGTGTGTGTGTGTGTGTGTCAAAGTTGGGTAGTTGTTTTGCTTCTGTGATCTATCCAATCTATTCGGCCTATTAAAAAGGCCGATAAAAGATAAATGGGCTTCAAACCTCAATCTACAGTACATTGAATCGGCTTAAACTTTTAAGTCTTGGGCCCAATTTATTTGGCCCAAACACTACTGCCAATCTCTCTCTCTTTCGTCGGTTTTCTCAACGCTCTGTACATTTCATTGAGTTGAAGCTTGATAACAGTGGAAAAATGGCGACTGCCCTAGCCCGTATCTCTAGAAAAGCACTAACCTCCACGATCTCCCCACAGCGCCACCTCCTTAACCGATCGTTTTCCGCTGAGGCATCAACCAAATCGATTACTCCGTCGCCGGATCGAGTGAAGTGGGACTATCGAGGTCAGAGGCAGATAATCCCGTTGGGCCAGTGGCTCCCGAAGGTAGCCGTTGATGCTTATGTTGCACCAAATGTTGTTCTAGCGGGTCAAGTCACCGTATGCGATGGAGCTTCAGTTTGGAGCGGATCGGTCCTGCGAGGCGATCTCAACAAGATCACCGTCGGATTCTGCTCCAATGTGCAAGAGAGGTGCGTCGTTCATGCTGCTTGGAACTCGCCAACAGGTTTGTTTGCTATTTTCGCACTTCTTCTTCTTATCTGATTAGTTAGGATTTTAGGCCATTTTTAGGTTTTTGTTGTGTCAAGTTGGGTTTTGAGCTTCTAATTAGTTAGGGTTCTAGGCAATTTTGAAATGTTTATTGTTGTTGTGTCGAATCGGATAAATTGTTCAATTGCTTTTTGAATGATCTTGATCTTGCTTAAACTCGTCAAATTGGGAAAGGCTTCTTTTGCCGTCGTGCTTGACATTTTTCTGTAATTTATGCGCCTGCATGTTGCATGTAAATTTCCTTCCATCTCTGCGGATAAACTACAGACATATTTGTTATTACTTGACTTTGATGATAGAAATTCCTTATTTATGCTCAGGCCTTAGGGTCACAGGTGTGATCTTTCCACTTTCTATGTGCATGTATGCGTGCCCCCTGCTTATTAATTTCTGCGGCAATTCAGTTGCAGCATTTCTCATTAAATGTAAAGTTCTTGAAGAAATACAAATGTGATTCTTTATTACGAACTCTATGGAGATGGAGAACCTCTGAATTTCCCTTTTTTTTTTTTTGGTTCTGTGCAACTTCGGCAGGACTGCCGGCAGAGACATCCATTGAAAGGTTTGTAACTATTGGTGCATATAGTCTCTTGAGGTCCTGCACAATTGAGCCAGAGTGTATCATCGGACAACACTCTATCCTTATGGAAGGTTCTTTGGTGGAGACACAGTCAATCCTTGAAGCAGGGTCTGTTGTTCCCCCAGGGAGGAGAATCCCAACTGGTGAACTTTGGGCAGGAAATCCAGCAAGGTTTGTGAGGGTTCTTTCTCATGAAGAAACACTAGAAATACCTAAACTTGCTGTCGCAATTAACGATCTTAGCAAAAATCATTTCTCAGAGTTTCTCCCTTACTCAACAGTATATTTAGAGGTTGAAAAGTTGAAGAAGAAATTGGGTATTTCTATCTGATTCTCCTGACTGTTATGTTTTTGTGTACCGGTTAATGGCAAGGGAATAAATAGCTCAAGAACATGTTAAGGGAAATTCCCATGTTTCTTTTATTTGTATTTGATTTTGTTGGCTGTTGAAAAAAGAGTTATGAATTTCAATCAAATGGGTGATATTAGTCACTGGGGAAAATTTCATTTTTTCTGTATGTCCTACACTTTGTGTGCAAAGCTCACTGAATTTGGCTGTGCTCGACCTCAATTGATGTTGGCGATCAAGAGAAATGTTCTTTTTTTTTTCTCCTGAATATAAGTTGGGATATTGAAGTTCATCAAAGCAACTAATAATTGTAGTAATTTGCGTCTCTTGTCAATGTTAGGGGTTAGATATATTATGGGAAACTCTTATTTTGAGTTGCTATGATGGTCGAGCAATGGAAACCAAGCTAGACTGATGTTCTGAAAGTGCACTTTCACATATGCTAGCTGATTTTACTAGTGTATGTAATGGGTTTCAAAGTAGTTCTCATCTTGAGTGGATTCATGTGGATCTCTTTTATATTGTGTAGATTTTACCATACAAATAATGTCAAATAGTGTAAGAAAAAGTTTGTATGGTGAGGTTTTATTTTATTAGAGAGATGCATATGGATCCGGTTTAAGCAAACATTTTCTGTTTGATGCATTTTTCAATTAGAAGCATCAATGTAGCAAAACTAGTGTTAGTAAGAATGAACGAATACCTGGTTCGTTGAACTCACCACCTCTCACAGAATTCTATAAAATTGAAATTTCATGGGTTTTATCATTGAATTTCACATTTCAGTCTTGGAATGAGGGAACAAAATTTATAGAATTAAGGGGTATTTTTACAATAAAATCAAGTCATTAAATTCTGTCTAATAAAAAGGAAAACAAAGAAAAGTGATTAATCACGGTGGTTGGGATGGTAAGTGATAGGGGTGAGCAAAATGATCAATCCAATCAAACTAAAAATTGAACAGACATTGTTTTGTAAGATCAATTTTTCAGTTTAATTCGGTTCAAATCTAATTTTTTTTTTTTTTTTTTTAGTTCAACTCGATTAATCGGTTAAGTTAAAATTTGAACCAATCTGAATAAAAACTATAAACTCCAACTCAGTTAAATTCAATTTGGTTTTGATTAAAACTCTGGTTCGACGAAATTTTGCTATTGGATGTTGGGTATCCCTTTCTCAATCTGAATGAATTATAATCTATTGCGAGTGAATTTGGCACTCTAAACAGTTAAGTAACGTGTCTTTTATTCTTGGAATTGGTGGCCTAAACTGGGATTGTAGATTTAGATGGGTAGGTAGGTTCCCCTACGTTGTTGGTATATGTAGCAGAGCAATTGCCAATTATTAGAGGATATTGTATTGTAACTGTAAGTGGCCATGGCCGACCTATTTCTTCAGTACTTTACACTCCACCATCTCTCTGTTTTTTACTTCTTTTGGTTGAGCAGGTCATTAATGGTCATCAAGATCAAGCTTCTCTAATTACTCAATATGCAGAAAAGAAAGAAAGAAAGAAAGAAAGAAAGAAAGAAAGAATATACTGATTCCAAGCTCTCACGCAGATGGAATTAATTCTAATTATTTATTTTTTTTACAATTTTGTGATCAAACTTCTTATTGTTGAATGTTACACATCATGCAAATTTGAAATTATCATATATATATATATGAATGCTATTGCTCATTTGTTCTGCAAGTCATATAAAACTGTACCAGTAACAAATTATTTAGAGAGATAAATTTCAAAAAAAAAAAAAAAAGAAAAGAGAAGGTGAGCATTGGAGGGACCATTCGACAAGTAACCGTTCAACCAATCAAAAGCAATAAAATGAAACAGCTGCCTTTCAAGCTGGAGTCAAATGTAAATTAGCTTTGTTAATTATCCACTAATTTATAGTGGGGGAAATTAGGACAAAAATATTAGGTATTTAGTCATTGGAAACCGAATCTTTGGTTTCTTTTGTGGTGAGAATTGTCATATCATAAAGCAGAAGCTTCTCCACTAAAAAGGACCTTTAACAAAAAAAAAAAAAAAAAAAAAAAAAAAAAAAAAAAAAACAAAAAAAAAAAAAGGAAAATAGTAAATGACCTAATTTGCGAAAATTAATTAAAAAAAAAAAAAAAAAAAAAAAAAAAAAAAAAGGAAAATGTAAAATGACTAATTGCGAAAATAATTATAAAGTAGTTGGATTTCCTGTCAAAACAAAATTTTTAATGGCCCCATTTCAATCATTTTAAACACTTTTCAACTACTGCCTTTGCAAATATTTGTACTATTGCTCAATAATTTCGTCCCTTAATATAATTTTATCAAACAAATTTTTGAAATTAATACTGAAATCAAAATACTTTGCAATTTAATTTATTGGACACTTACTTAAGATGTTAATTAAAATAATAAATAATCTTAACCCATGTAAGAAAAAGAAACGCAAGTTCAATTTTTTTGAGAAATGTACTTTATTAAAATGATAAAAAAAATATTTATATTTTAAATAAATATCGATCTTTAAAATAGTCGGCATTTGATAATATATATCGAAATATATTTTTTTTAATAAACGATATATATAGATATTTTAGTCTAACGTTACAGCCGACATAAAATAAGCGAAATGACAAATTCCCACCTCACAAGTCACAGTATATATACGGTCAAAAGAAAAAGAAAGTGAAACAGAAGGTTTCTTGTTTCTCTTCTTCTGTATGAAGTGATAGAAAAGGGTTGAAGATGATGTGTTTTCTCATGCAAATTGGTTGCTTGCTTGCAAACTGCTTAGCTTTGATCACAAGAATTATACTATATCATGTGTATAAACACACACACAAAAATGACGTAAGGATTACGTGATATCAGGGGAAAAACAATTCCGAGAAAATAACCAAACAGCTATAGAAATATTACATACTTTTAATGTTTATTATAAATAAATTAGAGAAGAAAATGAATACTGTAGCTAATAGTTAATCACAAAACAAAACATTTCCACCAACATTTGATTTCCAAGACCAAGTCAAGCAGCCCAGCCCTTGAATATTTCTACATACGTTATTGATTCAAATAAAAATGATATTATCTAATCTATATAGAAATAAATTAGAAATTATGCTTTAAATTCTCATATACACAAAATAAATATTTATTAGATATATATATAAATTAATAAACTAGTGAGAGAAAAAGAAAGCTTTTTGTATAATCTTCTGGCAATGACATCAACCACACTGAGAGGTGAGAAGACCTAATAGGAGATTTTATATAAATTATCACTCTTCTAAATGAAGCAAAGATTTTGACATCTCAACCATTTTTGATTTCTTGATATTATCTCCTTCGTGTTTTCCTACTTTCTTCTACCTCTATCAATTCTATATATAGCTGATTTATTAACCCTCTATTTTCTTCATCTAGATTCTAATAACTGATCATCCATAATCTCTGAACATATATATAAATATGATCTGTGGAGAACGGTTCAATCATCTCTTATTGGCTCTTAATTTTCATGGTAAGTAAGGAAGTGAGGATGTTGGAATGGCTCAATCAAATCAAATCTCCCAAAGGCTTTTGGGTCCTTTAATCTGATTGAGCCGTGCCAATATCATATACTTCATCATCATTATTATTCTTTTTCTTACTTCCCTCATATATACATGTATATGGTCTTTGCCTTTTCTTTTATTTCCAACTATTAGTACTTCTTTGTTGAAATCACTGATGATCGATCAGTAATTTTTGATTAGATGATCATTCATGCACTTCCATGCATGGTTATGATGGTTTAATATATGTGCAGAAAGGGATTTTAATGTTATTTTCTTTGATTTGGTACATAAATATATTAATTTACTAAAAGTAATCTATAAAGGGTTCATTTTTGTTTCAGATTTTGAAAGTCCCTTAGACTAGATGAAATCCTGTAAGGTCCATGATAAGAGAATTAAGATTTTGAATAAGCTCAATTTGTAATTTCTTTATTCATTCATATTTAGTGGGTGTCAAGATAACATTATTATATAGCTTGCTAGATATACAATAATCCTTGTTAAATACTAGTTCTTACCTTGTTATTCAGTTATTCTCCTTAACACTTTCACCTGTGAATAAAATGAGACAACTGATAATCATATGCATGCTTTCTCATTGGATTACAAATATATGTACGTAGTTCTTCCTTTTTCCTTTGGTCTGCACTGGAAGAAGTAGATTACATAGAAGATTTTTCCAACATCAGTCGTAAAAGTTGTGTTTTCTTCTCAATTTATGGGTATGTGCAAGAGATTATAAACATACACTAAATATTGTTAACATTTAAATAATGATTTGATTAGCGAATAATGGTATGCAAAAATAAGAGTTGGACGCTTAGAATTCTCTTCATAAAAAAGAAGATTTTGTCTGTTGAAAGGTTAGGTTTTGTTTCATTCCAAAAAAAAAAAAAAAAAAAAAAAAAAAAAAAAAAAAAAAAAAAAAAAAAAAAAAAAAAAAGAAAGAAAGAAAGAAAAAGAAAGGTTAGGTTTTCTTCAGTTAAAAACCAGTAAGACGAGAAAATTCTTTAGCTTTTCTTTTTCTTGGGCTTTTCGGTTTCTTTTTTATACTGCAATTTGGTTAGGATTAGGAGTGGGTAGGGGAAGTGAATTTTTCACCGAAGATCATAAGTAACATATATACTTATCCTGTGTCTTCGCATACATTGTTCAGCGATAAGTTTGTTGTGCAGTGCATGGGATTGGTGTTGTTACGCTTGAGCTTTGAATCCCTTTTGGTTGTTGCGCTTGTCTATTTCTGTTTATGTTGCATTTTCTAACGTCTGCACTAGTTACCTGCTATATTAAGCGACCTTCAAATTTGAGAGAGAGTGAGAGAGAGAGAGAGAAACCATTTGTTCTTGTACTGTTGGGAGATTCTAGTCTTTAACCATATATAGTCTTTGCTGCCCGGGATGCCCCAAGGCATTGAGCCCTTGTACGGTAATCTTGGATATGCATTGCTAGATGAGTCCTGCAATCGGAAAAGAAGCAAAGACCCTTTGTATATGTATGGCTGGCCTAGGTTATGATCTAAGTCTAGGCGCCACACGCGTATCAAAGGCTCTGAGATTCTGGCACCGTGACATTTAACCTTCAAATTTGAGAGAGAGAGAGAGAGAGAGAAACCATTTGTTCTTGTACTGTTGGGAGATTCTTTTCTTTAACCATATATAGTCTTTGCAGTGATAACTCAAAAATGCGTTTTATTACATCAAGTGCATATATTTCTGCAAGGCTTATCAAACATACGCTTGGTGTCTATGCCTTAAATCACCTGTAATTCATGTTTAGACCTGCAATCTTCAGTTTGTTACTGCAGTTAGCTAAGCTACATATATAAACTCATCGTTCATTCGTTAAGATTTTTGTTTCCTTTTTTTGTAAAATAATACCAAATCTCATCAGAACTGTTGGAAATGTATTGGTTCAAGATAGCAAGCGACTAGAACAACAGCAATGGGATGAATATTTCAGCTAGAATTGAGGTGCAATGTTGGTGAAACCGCGGTGTATATGGTCTTTCGCAGACTCTGAAATTACTTTCGCAAAATTCTATCGAACCACCAGTTCTATGTAGAACATACAATTATCCAATACATTCAACCCCAATACCCAGACATGATTCTATACCCCAATGGAGAAAATAAATATGAAAAAAAGGAGGATATTTACATGACATAAGGCTCATCTTAGCATCTCAGCCAATTAGTTTTGATTGGCTTTATTCTTTCGCTGTCTGAGATAATATATAAACAGTACATACATTTCACACGCACAAAAAAAAAAGGGTGCGGGAGAGAAGAGGCATCATCAGCTGCACATAATCAAGTCATATGATGCTCAAGTGGTGCTGGGGCATACGTCAGCAACAGGAAAACCGTGCTAAATACATGCAGAGAACAAGAGAGGATGCTTTCTTCTTGCCCTTCAGGAGCATTCAAGATTGAAATGCCACGCCCTATTTCCCCGCCACAAAATATCCCTGCCACTGGGGCCTCAGGAAAATTCTCCAAGAATGGGGAGCTATCAACGTTCCGACGTCCCAAAAATGATTCACCACGGCCACAACAAGAGAAAATAAATCCCCCAATACATTCCTTCTTACACTCATTAACAATGTCTGTTGGATTAAGGCCCTTTTTACAACTCCAATCTAGCCTCAAGTTTCTCAGGTTTGCAGAGACGGCATTACATGAAGATAATGCAGTGCATGGATCAGAATGGTAAAATTGGAAATAGTCTGCAGTTCTGATGCCAGTACCATAAACAAAAAGGTACTCTTCATCTGCTCTGTTGAAAAGCAATACCTACAAACGTTATTCTTAAGCAGAAGAGTGGAATGGAAGTTTTAACCAAAAAAAGGAGCAGTATCTTTCCTTCTTGTGAAAGGAAGAGGAAAAGAAATAACAGGAACTATTTGATATGATGCAACAATGCAAAAGAATCATAAATTTTTCAAAGTACAACCACCCATTACCCGTGCCTTTTACACTTTAGCAAAAATTTGAAACAAAATCCTAAAAATTGGTCCGGCAGTGAGTATTTTAAACAATACCAAACAAATTTCTAAACAAATTTATCACTACGATATTACCCTACATCGTTGATTTTATTTGTTATGTTCTAGTTCTTCACTGGTTAACTTCATAATGAAATTAAGAGAACAACCAACTATTCAGCCGATCAACACAAAATCTCTTTGGTTTACTATGTATTTAAAGTGCATGGCTACCATCCATAGGAAAAATCTGCCCCCCCCCCCCCCACAAAACAAAAAAAAAAACAAAGATAAAAAACAAAAAAAAAAAAAACAAAGATAAGAGGAAAGTTCAAACTCTCACTCCATGACTCCATGGAAAGCCAAGGAGGATATCAGCCTTGACTTCTCGGTTCCAACAGAGCATTTTCTGTGTTTTGTTACCCCAATGTACAAATCAGTTCCTCCAACGCGATCTTCCAACTGCAATGAATTTTTACCTTAGAGAGAGGAGTCGAAAAATAAAATGGCTAACATCCAATAAATAGGTATGGTGTTTCCATTTTTTAGTCCAGATAAAAGAAATCATGATATTTTGTTGGAAAGCAACTACCTCAAAATTCCAAGTAAACTGGTGGCTTAAAAAGCAAAGAAAGATTATAAACAATTGAGATTATGGTGTTTTACTCATCATTAGTGTCATAACTCATAATCATATTTGCTCATTAAGAAGCCACTTACATTGCCTTCCGATATGGAAAAAAGAACTTTTGATTCTCTACAAATTCCAGCTGTTTTTGCTTTTCTTTTTATAGAAATTTTTTCTATTGAAACTTGAAAGGAATTTAATAGATAATATTTTAAAAAACCAAAAGCATACTTATCAAAATACTATCATACCTCATCATTGATTTCATTTACAATCATTTGACCATCAAGAATCTCCCGTTGCCCTTCTCGTCTGGCAGTGAGCCAAGTAGTATGAGCACGACCATTGACTCTGACAGAAGCTGCCTTGTACCTTGGACCTATTTTGCGAAGGCCATTTGATAATGCCGCGTGGAATTGAATTTCCCCTATTCCTGTTCGGTAAGCCAAATTACAACATGTATTATATCATAACACATCACAACCTTGGATAAAAATACTGAGCATGCTAGTTGCAGCATCATCAGTTTTAGTTGCAAAAAGGAACTAGACCGCTGGTTGCGGCATCATCAGTTTTAGTTGCAAAAAGGAACTAGACCTTTAAAATTGTAGAGACTGTATATAAATTGACAACGAAAATATATTTAGATTCTTGCAATTACACACTCCAACAAGAATGGGATCAAATTTTGGTTGAGTTGATTTAAGGTTGCATAGAAATTTTGGAGGGGCCATCCACGTAATGCCACCTCTGGTTGTGAAAGAGAATGAAATAGCAGATACATAAACAATTAAGCAGCTACCTCGAGGTTTTTCTCTATCCCTTGCAAATACAAGAGTAATGGCATCAGAAAAATATTTTGTGCTTCCACAGAGATTTCTTGATTCTGTGCCACTTCTGTACAAAAATTTAGTGTTCTCATCACCAGCAATAATAGTTTCCTTTGACATGGCATAATCTGTAACATGTAACATATTATGAACTTGAAGTAAGTGCACAAGCTTGATGTAAGGCAAAAATCTGAAATGTACACACATGTTCAACTTGAAGTAAGCGCACAAACAAGCTATATGGCAATGACATCCTGAATTTGTCAACATCTGGGCCAATAAATAAATGCATCGTAAATTTGTCAATTATCCAGATACTTTAGATTATTGCTCAGCTTGCTTCATGCTGCAGACATGACCTAATAAATAAATACAAAGCACCGACTAGCTGAAAGAAAAATGCAATATCTATTGATCCTAAGCTCTAATCCCAGTTCTAGGTCCTTATTACTGCCGCTAAAAAGTCAAGCAAAAAGCACAACAAAAAGAGATCTCCTTTCATCAATGTATATCACAAAAAAGACATCTGCATCTGCAGACTTCAAGAATAACAAATTATGTAAAAATAAAAAGGAAACTTCTTTCGCATCTTTTTTGGGATTTTTAAAGGTATGAATCCCCAAGCGAACTAAGCCATACAACTGTGCTATAAATGTCTTCAATGGTTGGGTGCCAAAAGCAAAAATCATAAGATTTCTAAAAGGTATGAATCCCCAAACAGACTAAGACATGCAACTGTACTATAGATGTCTTCAATGGTTTGGGTCCCACAAGCAAAAATCACATCTTTTTGTTTACCAAGTTCTCTACAAAGAAAAGAATGAGTTGAGATCTTTTTCTGCACACACAATCACACATAAGAAAAAAGATTGCCTTATTGAGAAAAACTCACCCAGCTTTTCAATGACAGGTTTCAGGTCAGCATCTCCATCCTGCAGAATAACAAAATCAAAATATTTCAGAAAAGAATGAAATCAAAGGTATACAAGCATGTGCTAGCAAGTGGCAAGACGTCACTCACACCAAACATTATGATTCCAACTGGTGATGTGCTATCCGAAGCAGAAGCTGTGTAATTCCTAATATCCATCACAAGGTCATCAGCCATTGATACTCGAGGTGCCTGCTGTCAGTCAAAAATAGGAGATCAGTTTGCATTAGTGATTCATAGCGCACAAAAATAATATAAAGTTTCTCATGCTCTTAAGAGTGGCCAATCACGAACTTATGGAGAATATTTGGCTACCAATGAATTTTTTTTTTCTTCTAAAATCACTCATATATGTCATTCAAGATGGAATATAAGGAACCTTAAAAGAATTATCACTTCAATTTTCCATAATGAGAAACAGTTTCAAAAAGAATCAAAAGTTAACTAATTTGTCTTTAAATCCTATAATTTTTTACCTTTACTGGTCTTAGCAGTGGGATGGCCTCAACTTTTAACCCTGGTATAAAACCCACAGTCAAAAGGATACCAGAATTGGCATCTGTATGTTCATCGTTATCATCACTGTCATCATCACCTCCCATGACCTACATAATTAGTAAAGATCATAACTTTGTTTCATCATCCTTCCTTCAAGACAAAACATATTTATACAGAGAAGAAAGAGAGTAGAGACAAACCTCTTCGAACTCACTGGTAATAGCATCTCTTCCCATGATTCCATTAGCCCAAGTAACAATAAGAGGAGTCCTGGAACCCAGTCTTCCAGCAAACTGAAAAATTAAAAAATAAAAAAAATAAACTACCATTTCAGAGCAAATTAAATGAAAGACCAAAAACAATAGAAAGCAAAGGGATACTGATTCATACAAAATCAAAAGCTTTCTGCATGCCACAGGTATTGCCAAAACCATTTGCAATAGCAAAATGCGGGCGAATTGGCTCGGAGAGAACCTTATCAAGAATCTCTTGCATCGCAATCTGTCGATCAAACATCAAAAGAATACCGCAAGTTTTGAATGATGCTTTTTTTTCAAAACCTTAGAATCTAATCAATTTAGTGTGAAGTTTATCATCAAATAAGAAGTCAAAAGGAAAAAAGTCCATAGTGAAAATTGCAGGGCAAAATTAGACTTACGTCAAGGGAAGGGTTGAGAGAGAGAGCAGAGGAGAGCTTAGGTCGAGAGAGGATCCGATTGCAATTTTGGTACCATGATTTGCTAACGCAAGCTGCTGATGCTAATGATAAGGCTGGTAATCGTCTCAGTATCTTTTCCACTATGTCTTCGCTTAACGAACCGAAGCCCATTTTCACCTCTTCCGTAGGTTTTTTCTTCATTTGACAGGAGGCCAAAGCTTTCCTTCTACTTTAGGCGACGCCTTTTATAGAAGCAATTAAAGAAGATCTTTGTTTTTTCTATAATAATCGCCTCGTCTCTAATCAGCTCTCTACTTGAAAAGGAAAGGGACACGGGGGAATTGGAGACCAGTTGGACGCTCAAGATGCAACGCTTTTATGCCAATGTACATATACATATATTTCCAAAGACGAGGGAATTATTTCCTCGTCGGGCGTAAACATTTCCATCTTCAGGCGAACAAGTTTGGAAATTTGTTTTTTCTTTCCTTTGCGGAGGAAACTTTTCCAATCCGGAAATTTTTCTTCACAAGTTGTTCTCTAAATTTCAACAATTACGCTTAGCTAGTGTTAGTTAAAACAATAAAAAAATAAAATAATTTTTGTTAATTAAACGAAGACAGGAAATTCCAAAACAAACATGAGCTAGCTGATGTATTGGAGCTCTTAGGCATACACAAACAAACTGAGCTTACAAAAAGTACAAAGATAACATTAACAACACACAATAGCAAGTTTCCATGCATCTCTTGTGAAGGGGCAGATAACATGTTTGCCTTCGTGCACTTGAAGTCTAACCAAAATTAAGCAAAAAGTAACCAAAAACTTAGCGCTTTGAAATTGCTGGAACGTATGACATAACCAAGTACACTGTGCTGTGGTAATGTAAGGAGCATCGAGCAGAGTTTTGTTCATCGTCTTCTTGAGATATCGAGCTTGAAGAACCTCGTCCTATTTCTCCACTGCAAAAGACTCCTGCTAGTGGTACCCCAGGAAAATTGTCACTGAATGGAAAGGTGTCAACGCAAGGGTAAAATGCCTCGCCTCGCGGATAGCCAGAGAAAATTAAACCTCCAAGCACCTCTTTCTCTTCATTGTTACCTGCAACATTCCTTGACTGCAGGCAGTTTTTGTTGCTTGATTCTTCCTTCAGAATTGCAAGGTTTCTATAGGCGTTGCCGCAGGAGGATGATGCAGTATCAGAGTCTGAGTGGTAGAATAGGAAGTAATCACCAGGTTTGACGCCAACACCATTAATGATAAAGAACTCTTTATCTCCTCTGTTGAAAACCAAAAGGCAAGAAATGAGGCAGATAGTTAGAAGCCTTCTTATTCTTACTGTCCATATTACAAGGCAATTGGACATGTGAGATAGTGATTAACTTCTGTCTTGCTGGTTTAGATTTCTTCAAAACTCTAAATAAATTATATTGCAGAATATAGATAGAAAACCGGTTCCATTTCTTACCCTAAAACTTCATAAAATGCCAAGGATGCTCCTGATGATGAACTCTGACCAGTAGAGAATTCTCTGTGCTGTACGACTCCAATATACAGATCAGGAGTCTCATTATCATCCAACTGCAACAGAAATTTTTCCTCTTTCAACACAATCAATGGAGCTTTGGAAAAAACATAAAGCAGCATTTGACTAGAAAAACACAACCACGTAGTTACCTTGATCAAAAGAATGAAATGGTCTCAAACATGATCAAGCTGATCATAGAAGGAACCGTTATATATTACAGTTAATCATGCTAATTGAATCACCGGGAAAGAATTAACCACGGAAACTTGTAAAGACTCTCATTAAGATGACGGATCATAAGAATTCAGTAATTTAAAATGCATCTATCGAACCTTATATTACGCCTTTCCAAAGTCCAAACAATTGAATAAATCAAATTTTAGCCTCAGTCTTCCAATTTGCAAAGTGGCTTGGGTTCACCTCTTAGGCAAACTGATTCGTAATATAATATGCGGAAGTCTACAGCCAAGGAAGATAATACTAGAGCTGATAATTTTGCTCAGAGTAATTAGCCATTTGATACATTTTTCAGGCCATTTATCCAATCCAGTTTCTTTAACACAAAGTTATCAGAAAATAGAAGCAGAAGAATCTTCTATTATTCTCACTGCCATAAATGTCAAGAGAAATGATATTCTGAAAAACAAAAGAGCACAATCACCAAAAGATCCATTTTTCATATTCATGAAAAACATTTTACCTGATCTTTGATATCCACTAAGAGGCCCTCACCATAAAGAATTTCGGGCTGTCCTTCCATTCTAGCAGTGAGCCATGAACGCTCTGAGTCTTTTGCTATCACACAAACTGCCTGGAGCTGGGGTCCAAAAGGTATTACACCAGTTGACAGCGTAACATGAAATTGAGTTTCTCCAATATCTGCTCCATCAAAAAAATCCAAAAAAATATAAATTGAATGAGGTAAATAGAAAAAAGATACAATGGAAGATGTGTTTTGCAACCATGTGGTTCCAACAATGAGATTTTTGTTTGTCCAACTTCAAATGAAGCATATTTGAAAAGAAGGTTGGTATTATTAACTGTAGTATATAATTTAGACTGAACGAACAGTAATCATCAAGTACCAGCAGACTTGTGTTTGTCCTTTGCAAAAACGAGAGCAACAGCATCTAAGTAGTACGTATCTGAATGATTATTTCTAGTATTATCTGCACTACTGCACAAGAAGCGGCCATTTGCATTGCCCACAATGACAGTTTCCTCGTCCATTGCAAAATCTGAAAAGATAACAGAGTCATCTAACTTTTATGCAAGACATGAATGGCTTATGAAAAGTACAGAAGTATCTCGCAAAACCATTCAGTGCATATTATCATGTATTCTACATTCATACTATATAGAAAAGATTCATCATTTGCAAATTATATACAAGAAATCCTAAAAGATTAGATGGTGAAAATAACGCCCTAATCACTTTTGATTAGAACCTGTGAATATTATTCATATTGTAGATAAAAATGCAAGCAAAATATGAAAACTTACCCATATTCGCAAGGACAGGTTTCATGTCAGTTTCTTCATCCTAGATAATCAGCAATATCACATGTTAGCAATACAAAGAAAAATTTTCAAAGTAAGTGTAGAAGGACATGCCTTCTCTTGATAAAGGAGCAATCAGAACCCTATGGAGGAGTGCCAACTTACTCCAAACACTATGATCCCAGCAGGTGACATGCTATCTGAAAAAGAGGCCGTGAAATTTCTAATATCCGTCACAAATTTGTCAACCAAAGGTATTCCAGGTACCTGATGATATCATGATAGTTAAAGATAGTGTGAGTATTTGACAATCCTTTATATAGAACAAATAAAAGCCTATTGAATAACGTGCAGAAAGATTTGCCCCAATTTTGGTGACACTGCACAAGAATCAAATGGAGAATTGCTGAAGAATATAGCAATCCATTTTCAAGACAATAGACTTACTTTATTTGGTCTCAACAGTGGGATGGCATCAACTTTGAGTCCAGGTACAAATCCAACAACCAAAACAATCCCTCGATCAAGCAGACTATCTCCTGTGGAATCAGGACCATTACTGCCACAGCCGTGATCCCGATCATCTTCATCATCGCTTGATTCCCACTTAACCTGTGTGTTATTTTTTCACAAGAAAAATAAATCAGTAGAGAAATAAAGATGAATGAAATCAGACATCAATAGAGATATACCAGACTGACCTCCTTTAGTTTATTAGTGAGAGCATCAAAACCAATGATTCCATTGGCTACATTAGTAATCGTTGGAACGCTTGAGCCCAATTTTTCTGTGATCTTCACCACAGATCATCAAATTGAAAGTTAGAGAACGGGGGCAACTATATTATTTTAAATACTAATAAAAAGTAAAGAATAATTACTAGTCTGTGAGTAACTTCCAAGCTGAATTTCTTGCCAATGCAGGCAATAGCAAAATGAGGAGCAATCGGCTCTGAAAGAACCTTGTCAAGAACCTCTTTCACAGCATCCTTTCAATTACAACAAGCATTGTAAAAAAATTAAAGAAAAAAGAAAAATAACTTAAATAGAGTTTGGGAATTAAAACTCATAGAAGTTCTGCGCTTTTTTTTTTTTTTTTTTTTTTTTTTTGACTGTCTGCGCTTTTTTCTTTTTTTTTTTTTTTTTTTTTTTTTTTTTCACACACATAGAAAACTTACATGGAGGGAAGGGTTGAGAGAGAGAGCAGAGGCAAGCTTAGGCCTTGAGAGGATTCGACCGCAGACCTCATTCCAGCTTTTGTTAACGCAGGCTGCTGATGCAAATGACAAGGCAGGTAACCTTGACAGAATATTTTCCATAACATCTTCACTGACCAGGGGAAAGCCACTGGCCCTCATCATCTTTTCCTGGGATGGGTTGTTCTTCTCCATTTACTACGTGTTGTGGGTGTATATATTTATGGATATAGAAAGAGAGAGAAAAACTGAACAGCTCAGTCTTTCGCATGGAAATTGATGGCGCAGTGGTGGCATTTTTATACATGGAAATAAATTAAGGATTTTGAAACAGAAAAAGAAGTTTTTCTGCTAGAGAATCCTGTTGCAATTAATAGCATTAATGGATATTTGGATTCATTTCTTTCTTAGAATCGGACTTTGGATTCTCTAGATTTATTGGATTTTGGTGTTTTGTGCCACCGCCAACTGTTGTTTTTGCTCGTTCAATCTGATTCTTTAAAATCTTTACTTGAAAATCCACATTTAAGACTTTCGTTTACTCTTATTTTGTACCCATTCATCTGGGTTCATTGGCGTTAAGGTTTGCAAGAACAGCTATGGGATTTTCCTTTACAATTTGCAATCACGGGTAACCTACCAGCATCTGATTCTATTTTCGTCGACTCCTGTGGCCTCCAGATTTTGGTTAATGTTTCTGACGCAACCCTCAGAAAAAGAAATCTGAAACCTGAGCAAGGTCCTAAATGATTCAATCATTCAGTCAATGTCGCATTGCAATCCGAATTTTCACCCATCCTAGGAAATTTTGCATATTATGTGCGGTAAATTCTGTATTAGTGGAATCTTGCTTACAGAATCAGCAGGAAAAATTAACCCAACTTTCTAATTCTTGAATTCTATGGTTTATTTTTTAAACGACAAACAAATCCTTTGTTCAAATTTGCGCAAAACGGTCGTTAATGGCTTAGCGTCGTAGAAATCCTCGCTTTATGATAATAAGGTTGGGCTTCGCAAAAATGGGTTTGGGCTGATCTTGACCCACGCTATCGGCCCACTACTCAAAACGTTTAACAAAGCTTGCCTAGGTCTAGGATAGAGCCCAGGAAATATACATTGAGTAGCATTTATGATTACATTTTAATATAATCAATTGACTTCTTTTATGAGGCTTAAAATTTTCAGATCAAGAATCAATGGAACTTAAATGAATAATTAAATTGAACAAAATATTTTATTATAAGAAAAATATTGTTGACATGCAAACATAGCATGTATAAGCTACGCCAGAAGCAATGAACATAAAGATTCCAAATTTCCAACAATGCAGTTTAGATTTTAAAAGAGATGGGAATCCACAATTATTACCCACAAAGATGGAAAATCCCAGCAATTATACGATCACTCCCAATTAAAAGGAAGTGTTAATGGGGATTTGTTGGCAGAGGACCAAGGGGAGTGATTCGGACCATGTGCATCAAGAGCTGAATCCATTGTGTCTAAGGACTGCACCAGAGGGATTGAATTAGGCTGCTGGAGCTGCACTATACGGTTCCCAGATGTCTGCGTCTGCGTTGATGACAGAAGAGAGAGAGCACAATCTGAGCTTTGAACTTGAGTTGTTGTTGTTGTTGTTGTAGTTAGCCGGTCGCAGAACATGCTGTAGCTACCACCCACATTGTTTTCTGACAAAGGAATGGGGGCCTTAGAAGAGGCTTTTCAGAAAGAGGAAGGAGATGTAGTTTGATGATGGTTATTATTCTCAACTTGAAAGAATGGGAATTGCTTCATACCTTTATAGCTTTTGCTCAAAGAGCATTCAAAGGGTAGATTCTGTTTGCTAGGCATATGCATTTGTTGCTGTGGACTATAGTGGATGTGGGTAGTAGCATCTGCCTCACTGGTCACAGCTCCTGACCAAGTGGGACTCACCAATGTGGTTGATGGATATGCATGTGATGAACTAGAAAATGGCAACAATTGGGACCCTGAAAAATGAAGTTAAATTTGTACTTCATTAGCTGTTCTGGTTCATTTGCAACTCCAATTAAGAACTATTTTAAAGCAGTAAAACCTCAAACTTTAGGCAAACCCTGCATTTCTTAGATCATCAAAATATTTAACCATGTGCAAAATGCCGAAGGTTTATGTATGGACTATCAGAAATAGCTTTAGGAGCCTCTAGATCATCATTATACAAATAACATCACCCAAACAAGTTGCACAAGCGCTTAACTGATAAATGTAAGAATATGAAAAATTTTATACAAAATCATCATCAACATCCACGAGATTGTACAACTACATCTGAAACAGAGTTCACTAAAACATGATTCATGTGAGTGTGACTGACCTTTAAAGTAGGACCAAAAGCTTCCAGAACGAGAGAGGAGATCTGGCTGAGGCTTCCTTCGTCTCCGATTATGTCCATCAAGACGCTTTCTGCAGCTTCTTTTCCCTTCATCAAATTCCTCCAGGGAATGGAATCTACAAAGAAAGTAATGAAACTGCTAAAAACCTTTATCTAAATGAAGGCAGCTACACACATATATGGGATACCATTTCTTTTTATGAACTTAATCCCCCACCAAACAAGCCATATATTTCTTCTATCATTATCTTACGGCATAAACTTAACATTACATCTATCAGCAACAAGATTCTTCTAAATTTAATTTTAGGACTATACAATTTTAAGTCTAAAATTTTTTGCCACAAAATTAAGAAAAAAGAATACCATACTAATGAATATAAACCTGCTACACTGCTGGCAAAACCGTTGCTTGAGGCCTCCTATTGTAACTTGTGGGGACTTGGAGTGAAACTCACAAACCTTATGGCGCCTGTGGTAGTCTCTACAACTGCTAAGGTCTGCATTGCATCCGTCAACAAGGCAAAAGGTTGCTTGAGTTCCAGTTTTAGTTGCTCTTGTCCTCTTTGCTGATACTGAAGGTGAAGAAGACTCCATTTTTGAGACTGCAGGCTGTTTCCACTGGTCATTTGATTCTGGTCCGTTTGAATTACCAACCCTACCGAGTTTGAGATCAATTGAAAAATCCCCACCATTATTGGACCTTTCAAATCCATCTATATTTGGAATAGCTTCTTGCTTGAATTCACTCAAGTCCCAAGAAGTTGCCTTCAAGTTCCAGTCCATATGTAACCACTTTCAGATCTTCCAATTGCAGCAAAACCCTTTTCTTTCACTGTTCACTGTTTGTTCCACCCTCTAGGAAATTATTTAAAACTAAACCCAAGTAACATACCAAACTGAACCAGATTCAGATTCAAAACCAACTTAATTCAATTAAATCTAAGCAACAAGTAAGGAATAGAAACTGAAAGCTAAGAAATAAGCAATGAACAGCAGACCTTACAATTTATACAACTAAGCAAGCACTGTGTTTGAGTTTGAATCCTATTTCATATGAAAAAACAACAGAAAATCCATTTACTGAAACAAAAATTACTGTTGAATGTTCAATTGTACTTGCAGGTTCAAACACTTCAGCAAAACTATAAATGCAACAATCTCAAAATGATTTATTTACTTAATTAAGTAAAATATATATAAAAAAAAAAGAAGGGAAAACAAGAAACCCATATAAGAAAAAGAATGCTTTTCTTGATATGTTGTTGTTTCGTGAAAATGATGAATACAGTTGCAGAGAAAGAGTTCCAAGAAGATTGGAAGCTGTATACTATCCAGAAAGAAAGATAGAATGAACGAAATATTAAATAAATAAATAAGCAAGCAGAAGAAATAGCTGAGCGAGTACTCACAGACAGTGTTCAACACCAGAAGAAGACTGTTCTGGTCTTTCCATCCATTCATTTACTGACAAGGATTCCATATGAGAAACCAATAAAAAGGAACCAATAATAAATAATCAAACTATATAAAGTAAAAGAGTGCAGGTGGAGGAAAATCACTTGTTGCTTCCACTACCAGAAATTCAGAATGCCATAAAGAGCTAAAGTACATAAAGTGGATGACTGAGACTGGATATAGATTAGTAGAGAAATAAAAACCAATCAGCAATTAACTAAATGACATAGAGAAAGTGCGAGAAAGAAAGCTTAAAGATTATGTTTAGTTTTAGTGAGTTTAACTTGTACATATTAATATAATATATATATATATATATATAATATATATATATATATTGCCAAATTTAGGTTTATATATATATTGCCAAATTTAGGGTTTTGTTTGTATAGAAATGTGGATGTGGAGAAAGGAAGGAGAAAACAGGGACAGGCTGTTTGTTGCTTTCAAGCTTTATTAGCGAAGGAGAAAAGGAAAAGAAGTACAAGGATGTATTATGAATGCTTGGGACAAAGCATGTGGCCTTGTGTTTCACATTTCATGACATTTTTTTCTTTTCTTTTCTTTTTAGCTTTGTTTTGCTTAGAAATGCGTATCCTCTCTCTCTCTCTCACCCTGTGCCTGTGGAAAACCAACCTTGCTTCCTGTTTTACAAAGAATGATCATTGTATACGTTTTATTTTAAAAGAATAATCATTGTATATGTTATTCCCATTTTATTTATTTTTCCTCCAATGAATGAGGTTAGAAACACCTTCATTTAAAAAAAATTAATTTTCGTTAATTTAATTCATAGGTAAGACTATAGATTCAATTTAAGCAAGTTACTCTCATTGCTTTGGGGTGGAAAAAATTTATAATACTCGATTTGAATTTATAGCTTAAGATTAAAGAATGATGATATGGAATATTTGCTGTCCGAGTACTAAAACATTATGATATCTTGTTATGGGCCCTATATATTGTTCAAGCAATTATTCGTTTGTAGGTTCTTCTAATATTATTTAATAGCGCTGTTAGCTCAAAATGAAAGAGAAAGTGCTGTCTAATGAAAATTGATTATTTATTTTATCATTTCAGTATATATGTAAGTATTATGAAAATTGATGGTTGATTTGCAATTATTTATGATGCTTGATATATTTTTTTAATTTTATTTAAAAATAAACATTCAATCGATTTAATTTTACATTGAATAGGAATAAATTAAGTGAATTGAATTTTTTTAAAAAGAATATAAAATCAAATCGAGTAATATATATAAACTAAACCAATTTGGTTTGATCCGTTTTTAGCAATTTTTCCTATGATTTTAGATATTATACAAACTGGATTGAATTGAAAAGTTTTAATCTTTATTTAAAAACTAAAGTTAAACTATATGCATTATAAATCAAACTGAACTTATTTAATTCAATCAATCTAACTGGAACACACTCAACCTTATTTTCATTAGATCAGAGTATTTGGTCAATCGAATCACTAATAATCGAGAAAATTAAACTTTTAAAAAATAGAACTCAAACCAAATTGAATAAGCATGAAAACTAAAAATAAATTAATTTATTGATAGAGAATTCAGTTTAATTGGTAAATTGAATCAAATCGATTAAAAATAGGGTCAATTCGATTATATTTGATTTCATTTATAAAAAATATGAAATATCATACCAAAACCAATTAATCAAACTTTGAAAAAAAAAAAAAAAAAGAAATCAAACCAAACTCATTTTATATAAATTGAATAGCGCTATTCATTTCGATTATTCAATTTTAACCAGATATTCACTTTAGTCACTGGATCAAAGGGGATTTTCATTAACGATTGATTCTAAACTCCAAACCATTAGCAGTGATTAAGAAATATGATTAAGTATGTAATTAAAAATTGCGATTCCGAATTAGTTGATTCCAGTAAATTTCAAATATAAGAACGTTAAAAAAATGTTGATGAATTGGATGGTATTAGTATAAATAATGATACTACAGTAACGAGAGACAGGGCTTTCAAATCTGCAACTACCAAATTCAGTCGGCAGCTGTAATTGACATTGTCAGTAGGACCACCTCTTAATAGTACTTAATACTGTAGTTGAAGTATGATTGATTTTTTCAATTTTATTTTTATTTTGATTTTAATTTCGTAAATTTAAGATTCTGCTCTTCCAATATTACAAGTTTGAAATTTTTGCTGTCGGCACATTCATTTTCGTCTTTTCTGCATTTTCCTTTGCAATCATCACTAACCATAAATGTATATTTAACCTAGCTTTATAAGGTTGGGTATTAGGGTTTTTGTAACCCAAATTGGCAAGCAAAACAAAAATTAATTCATTTTAGCCAAATCTAATTTATTCCGATTCATATTATAAAGTAACTTTTCATTTACTTATAAAATCGGTAAAAATTTAGCTGTCAGGAGATTTTGAACTTCACACTTCATCCTCTTTATATAAGTAAAACGATTAATTAGAACATACTTAATTGATTATCAATCACAACTAAATTGAAATTAAAACTTAATTATTGTGTTTAATTTTTCATTTTCACATGATGAATAACAATTTTTTATAGATTTAGAACTACTTTGATTATTGCATAAGATTTTATAACCTTTCCTTAAGCAAAGAAATCAAAACTAATTATAGAACATACAAGTAAAATATTATTAAATCAAAAATTCAATTTTGACATATTATTGGCTCAAATTTTTGATCTATAAAGCCTATGAAATGTAAATATATTATAAATTAAAAAGGGAAAAAAGTGAAATTCCAACTTTAGATATTAAATTATAAATTATAACTTGGTAGAGCATGTAAATATGATATATTTGGCCAATAGCCATGACACTCGTCAAATTAACTTTACAAACAAATATGACATGTCGTTTTTTTTTTTTTAAATTATTGTATTTTTATTTTAGATCTGAATTATATCGTATCCATCTCGTTGTCTGATATCATGTGGCCTAAAAAGCAAGAAAAGTCGAACGAGAATTGCCCATTGGAAAAAACATAGAAGGCCCAAAAACGTCGACCCGCCCGTTGACTTGGATATAATGGGTCAGGGTCAACAGTTCTTTAAGGTTATAATAACGGGTTAAAAATAAAAGTGGGAAAAGAAAGGGCAAAAAAAAAAAAAAAAAAAAAAAAAAAAAAAAAAAAGGGGGGCAAAAAAAAAAAAAAAAAAAAAGAAAAAAAAAGAAAAAAAGGCGCATCAGTTGCCCCCCAAAAAGTTGCTCTGTTTGCACTTCTGAAACTGCTGAAGCTGCATTCTGAAATCGGCTTAAGGTACCTTAGCTTCACTTCTGTTTTAATTGGCTGTTTATGGTTTCTAATTTTTCCTTAATTCGCTCTGCCCAGTGTCGTAATTAGGGTTTCTATATCATGGAATGATCGAGGTTGCTGTGAAATTGGTCAATTAGGTTGAAGTTACATATGGACGGAGAGCAGTTAACGGAGCAGGAGACAGCATTGTACGATCGCCAAATTAGGGTTTGGGGCGCAGATGCTCAACGAAGGTATGCCTCTCTTCATATTTATTGTATTCCTCCTTACAGATTGATAACTATATTGAATTGAGCGTTTTTATTTTGGATGTTTTAGATTGAGCAAATCCCACATATTAGTATTTGGGATGAAAGGGACTGTTGCCGAGGTATGTCGTGTTATTCATATTAACTATGTTAATCATTTATTTTTTAAATTTTGGTGCGTAACTTATAAATTTCGGTATTTTGATGTGGTTAGTTTTGCAAGAATATTGTATTAGCGGGGGTTGGTAGTTTGACGCTGGTGGATGACCAGGCCGTGACCGAAGATGCATTATCTGCTAATTTTTTGATATCACCTGATGAGAATGTGTATGCTGGGAAAACACTTGCTGAACTTTGTTGTGATTCTTTGAGAGAATTCAATCCAATGGTTCGTGTTTCTGTTGAGAAAGGTTTGGTCCTTCTTCATCTGTTGCTTTTTAATTTTTGCATCTTCAACATTTTTCTTAGTATTATTTGATTAAAAGGTTGTTGGATTGTGTTAGTCTTATGAAATGTCCTTGTTTCATAATTTTGGCATTATATGAGACTAATTAAACAAGCACAAATACCCAAAATATAGGTGATCTGTCAAGCTTTGGTGGAGACTTCTTTGATAAGTTCGATGTTGTGGTAGTCAGTTGCTGCACCCTTGCTACCAAAGTACTAGACAATCTCTATTTGTTAGTACTTGATTAAGTTTTTGACAATGTCTTTGTTATTTATTTATTTATTTTCCTGCCTCTTTTCACTGGTCATGATTCTTTCTTAATTTTCTTCTGTTTTATCTTTTTAATGCAGAAATTGATCAATGAAAAGTGCCGGAAGTTATCAAAGCGTGTTGCATTTTATACAGTTGACTGTAGAGATTCTTGTGGTGAGATATTTGTCGATTTGCAGAAGTATATATACACAAAGGTGACTATCTCTTGCTTGCATTCTCACGGTTTTTCTATTTTGATGCATGCTTTTCATATGTTTATGTTGCAACCTGATCATTTTGATGCATAATTCTCTTATTGTTTGATGCTAAGTTTCTAGTCCTAGATAGAAAACTGAGAGAATGCTTCACTAACTTAGTATCAAATTTTTTCTGTTGTGGATGGTAGTGTTCTGATTTCTTGTTTTACCACTTATTTTGATGGCCATCTGCTTCTTCTTTGTATGCAATGCTCAATGTCCAGTTATAAGTATTTAGCATAAATGCATATAGTTGACTGACTACTTCAAATTGTATGCTACACTCATTTTAGATCACAGTGATTTGCTTATTTGGTCTAGGGAGAAAAAGAGGGTAGCCAAGGGATCCTTGAACCAACACAATGCTTGGCATGTGGAATTTTATTTGTTTTAATGAAGTTAATAACCTCTTCATATTGTCATAGTGACTGGCTTCTCATCTGGAATGTGTTCTGTAGCCTTGTTTTATAGAGTAGATGTGATGCTCTTTTCTGGTGTTATTATATTGTGCTTGGATTAAATTGACATCCTTAATAGCTCATCTGTGTTTTCTTTTATTATTAAATTATTATTATTATTATTATTATTATTATGAAGTTGCAGCTGATAAGTGGTGCATAATTATGCCATTTAGTCATCATTAATCATCACACCTCATCACTGAGGCACTAACATTGTATTGTTTTCATTTATTGACAGAAAAAGAATGATGAAACTTCTGAATGTGAACTACAATACCCAAGTTTTCAGGTATCACCAGGATCTGAAATTTTCTAATGACTGTGTGTATGATTGTGCTGGCCAAATAAATTGTAAAATCTGGTCTCTTGCTAAATGCCTAATTTCAGTGCAGAGAACAATGCAAAAATCTCGTATATGCATTGAGGTATATGCATTGAGGTAGTACAATAACATACTTCATGAGTGAACTAGAAGTAAAAATCTTTTATATCAGTGTTGAAAACCAAGCTGTTTTTCTGTTAATTCTCTAATACAACAAGTGCATCTCTTAGTTGAGGATTAATGTAACCACATGTGCCATTTGAGGTGCTAGCACGAGGACATTAGTGAAGAATTCTATCCCAGTGACTCGAAATAAAATGTTTAAAGAGTTTATTTAGGTTAGTCGTTACTGTTCAAATAACTTTGGGTTAATTGTTGACTTGTGGTTGAACCCTATAACAGCAGATTATTTGAAACCAGTTGCGGGGCGAATTGTTATAAATGATATTAGAGCCACCTTGGGGTTAGGATTATCTGGAGCTGTTTGGTCTGACAAAAGGGTTATATGTGGGATTAGAAGGCACTTGTGGCGCCACTCGGGACAGTAGTGAACAACAATACTCAGGGCTGGATTTTGGACTAAGCCCAATTGTAAATAACCTAGATGAGTTGCAATGATGAGATCGCTGTAAGCCAAAGGGGAGAGGATGTAACAACCCGCACCATTTGAGGTCTAGCTTGAGCACATTAGCCAATAACTCTATCCCACATTGGTTGGGAATAGAGTTTAAGAATTTATATAAGTTAGCCAATTACCATTCAAATGACTTGGTTAAACTGTTTTGTGTCATGGTTGAGCCCTAAATCAAGAAGACAATTGGAGCCAGTTTCAGGTTGGACCATTACACTTAATGTGGATAACAAGCAAACTGATGTATTTTGCCATCAAACCTATGTGTTGGATTGATTTTTGATTTTTTACTAAAATAACAGCGCTGGACATAGTGAACCAAATTTCTGACCATGAGAATCAACTAATATATTTTGCATAACTTCTTTGTTATCATACTTTTACAGTGTTACCATTTTAACTGTTACATGCATATTGCGTTTGTTCTTGATTACAGTCAACTGCCAAAGTTTTAGTTATCATTTCATTTAACATGCATGTAGAATATAAAGCTTCTTAGGATTCCCACCCCATCTTTGATGAGATAGCGTTGGTTTTTAAAGTTGAATTCTATTATTTCTGATAGTCATGTATACATTGTTATCCAATTAACTTTCAGGTTGTGTAACTCAATGTAGGAATCAATATCAGTACCTTGGAGAATGCTGCCCAGGAAAATGTCAAAGCTTTACTTTGCCATGAGAGGTGTGATTTCTTATTCTTATTCAATTGTCCATCTAATATATATGCCATGAGAGGTGTGATTCTTTTCTTATTCAATTGTCCGATCTAATATATATATATACTATATATATATATATATATATATATATATACAAAATGGGAAAAATGAGCAGCTACACCAAAGCTAGCCAGAAAGTTGGCTGTGTATTTGAATAGATAATTCTCATGGCATTAGAAGAGATTATATATATATATATATACAAAATGGGAAAATGAGGCAGCTACCCAAGCTAGCCAGAAAAGTTGGCTGTGTATTTGAATAGAATAATTCTCATGCATTAGAAGAAGTTACCTATTTTGTCCTCTCTGTTTGCAGTGCTAGAAAAGTTTGAAGAGGCTGAGGGACGAAATCCAGGAGAAATTTCTATTGAGGATCTTCTTGCTGTTCTTAAGCTGAAAAAGGAACTTTGTGAGGCACAGGCATGTTTGTAGAAATTGGTTATTTGTTTCGATGTTGGTACATCTTCTTACACCAGTGCTATTCCAATGGTTTTCAGTCGTTGAATGAATCTCATATTCCTAATGCCCTCCTGGAAAGATTGGTGATGGGTAGAACAGAATTCCCTCCAGTTTGTGCCATCATTGGAGGAATCCTTGGACAGGTTGCATTTCTAATTGTTTTCTTTACTGTTATATCTTCTTCCCCCTTTCAACGATTAATCACTTTAATTTTATGTCTGACACTTGACATTAAATTTTGTAGGAGGTCATCAAAGCAATATCTGGCAAAGGAGATCCTCTCAAGAATTTTTTCTTCTTTGATGCTATGGATGGGAAAGGCATGATAGAGGACATAGCACCTCCAAACCTATGAAATAGAGAAGCTTGTTTCTATCTAACTTCGATTTTAATGGGCATCTGTCTTCATATGGTGTCCCATGTAGAACCATTTTAAGTTGATGATTTTATTTACCAGTAGAAAGCGACCCAATTCTAGCCTAGAAAAATTATAGTTCATTGACAGACTTTTCAACTGTTTTTGGACATTAGGTTGCTGATGTCTTAATTATTGCTTTCCATTTTCATAATTTAAGCTCTAACATCGATGTTGTAACCAATGTGTTGTCTTCCTTAAATACCAGAGCTGAGAAATGTTTCTATTGATGATCAGTTGCTAATCTTGCTGTACCAGCTGATTATTGGTATTGATTGGTGATAATGGCAATCGATTTGAGAAAAGAAAAATATGAGCCGCGTTATATAATTTTTTGAGTTGGTGGAATGTGGATCCCTTGTCAATGGTTATGGCCCATAGAAGAAGACTGATGCGGGTGCATTCAAAAATGTTCTTTTTTTATGGGCCACAACTAGGTGAAAAAAGAAAAAGCAGAGACATAATTCCTCAGAAAAAGAAATCTGAAAAGAAAACAAAGTAATCAGATTTTAGAAGCCAAAAGAGAACTATAACTAAGGAATGGTAAAGGTCCCAATGTTTTGAGGGGAAGTGCAAAAATCTCCAGGCTAGTAAAAGTCATCAAGATTCTATTACAGAACTAACGGTCCAGATTTTTCTCCATGACATTCTCAAGATGGTTTAAGAGGCTCCAAAATTAAAATTCAAACAATTATGAAATAGAAGAACGTGGGTAGTTGTTAATTGTTATCCCGCTATAATCTAATCTAGTAAATCAGGTTCAAATAAAACCCCACTAGCATCATCATTAGTCCGAAATCATGATAAGGTTCGATAAAGATAGAGAAAAAGAAAAGAAAAGAAAAGAACAGACCCCACCATGGAAAGAGCAAGTAAAGAAGAACAAAACCTAAAGCAGCAGTACAAGCATTTGCAACAAGAATGGGACTCCATAAAAAATTCAAAACCAAGAACCTTACGCAGATCAGCAACTGACTCAAGAACCATTCTTAAAGGTCTTAAACTTTTCGATAATTCTCCAAGAAAGCTAATGTCTTCACTTCAACATACTAGGTCGTCTTTAGACAATGGAGAATGGAAAGTGAGGGACAATGACTTGGCTGTTGTTGAGATTTTGAGAGAGAGAAGGGCTGCCATTCAAAGTGGCAAGTTGAAGGGAAGAAGGCGGCTTTTCAACGACGCAGAGGAGGGTGATTTTGTTGAAGAGACTGAAATGAGGTCAATCTTCTCCTATGATTCTGATAATGAAAATCAAAGTGTCCAAAACAATCAACTATGCCCTCTTTATGCTTCTTATTCTCCATTATCATCAACTTCTTCTTCTTCTTATGTTTGTGATGACTGTATGGAGAAAGAAATGGTAGCACACGAGGGAGAGAATAAGATGGAGAAGGAACCGGCAATAACTAAGCAAGAAGAGAAGAGATCAGATGTAAAAGGCATTACAAGGATAATTATTCTACTTGTCTTTTTAATTGGAATCATCTCATTTGCAATGAGGAGCTTTAGCGGTTATGGGTATAGAAATGAGATGGTTCTAGTACCAACATGATCATTTTTCATACTTATATATGTATTTTCTAAAGTATTAATGATTCTGTTTGCTCTTGTTAAGTAATTGAACAGTTTTTTTAAATTATAATTTAACTTACATATTATCATGAACAATATGAAGATCATAATCAAGTACATATCTCTGAATTAAAATTCTAAGATGCACATCTGAAAATAACACATCACTATTTACTAATCTTGGAATCTAATAATTGTTTGTGCTGTACTAGAACATAATTATTATTAATTTCTTGTAATCTAATTTACAGTGCATATGCTGAGGATTGGGCATTAGAAAGGAAAGTATATGATTGCATCTGTTTAATAATAATATCTTCAAAGTTATCAGTAGAAATCTGAGTTGGATGAGTATGAATTCCTTCATAAGTGGTCACCACAATCTCTTCATCGTTAGTATTCCGTTGTATTTGCTTTTTCACATTGCACCCATTTTGCGTGCACTTGTAGTAACTTCTGGGAAGAAATCAAATTAATTAGTATAAAAAAACAGTTAATATATATATATATATATTAGGAGATTAAAGATGAATATATTAACCTTGGGAACTTGCTGTTCTTGACAGTCTTCTGGCCATATTTCCTCCATCGATACCCATCATCTAATATGTCAACCTGACTTCTTGTTTGAAACGCATATCTATGCTTTGTAATCTCCTTCTCCTTTCCAGTTTTTGCCTTAATATGATTATCACTTTTTCTGCTCGAGCTTCCACTCTCAATATTACAGATGTTATTATTAATAGGATTAGAATCCAAATGCTTTGTAATCTCACTTTCTTCATTTTCATTATCGCTAAAATGGATTCTGAGATTTGCCATTAGTGAATCAGTGGAGCTGAAGATGTATCTGACTGCAGGTTTCTAATGGATACAGAAGCAGACAGATTTATTATGCAATTATATAAGGCAAGTGTTCACCGCAGACTGTATATCAAATATGAGTCGTAAACGGCACGATATCTTCTATAATAGACATGCATGATACAAAAAGGTCGCTTTCATTTCTATTCTGCTTTGGGTCAAAAGAAAACATGACAACAGTATTTGAATTAGTTTGGCAACAAATTTGAAAATTAATAATGAATTGAACATAGACAATTTTTCTTAGGTGGGTTTGTAATAGGAAATCCCATTCACCTTCAACCTGATGGTATCAGCCACTAAACAAGTGACATAATTTGCATTTTTAGTGCTAATTGTTATGGCTGCAACTCTCACTCGCGCCGCTAATTTTTTTTTTCCTGAATATGCGTTTCACGCACTTTCACTCTCTATTCAATTTTTGTTGGATATATATATATAGTTTTGCAAGGTAAACTGATTTTTATATAGTTTGTTACTATTGCTTAATTGCACTAAATACCAAATTACTAAGTTTAATGTCATTTTTAGTTCAATCCCATTGAAACTCAAAATATCACAATGAAATGGTAGATCATAGAAGCATTGGTGTTATTCTTGCATCAGCAATATTCCATTCAAATTTCAGTGTACTATATCCTTTTTTGAATGATTAACAGTAAAAATAAAATTGAAAGTCTTTCCATCTCAAAGCTCCTCTATTCAAAAACACAGCCCAAAGGCATCAGAATCATGTAAAGAATAACATAACTATCTGAATTCGATCATACATACAAATAAAGTAACAAACTCGGCATGACATGAAGAAGCATAAGAGCAAACGAGTACACATCATTGGAACAGCACAAGTCGCAAGATAAGATATGCTGTCTAGCTGCCAAGGAAAAAGTAAAGGGCTTATTCTTTGTTTGTACCATTAGGCTGAGCTGAAGCTCATTGTGCCGGTGAATTAAGCTCCACCCAGGCTTCAATCCAGGTAACCATGGCGTCACCGAGTTTGTGGAAGTAAGGATCAATAGTGCCAAGCTTTTCCTTAACCAGTTTGGAAAGCTCAATATAACATTTCACCACATTTGTGCACTCTTTTGGGAGGACAACAGATTGGAAAAATGGGATAATGTCTTCCTGCCAATATATGCCTTTGTATTCCTTCTTCAAATTGACAAATGGGTTGCTTGCTTTACTATGCCAAATGTATGGCAACCCTGTTTTCACCCCAAGACCCAAATGGTCACAGATTACCTGAAATCCACTTCCAATTAAAATCAAAATGGCTACTTGCATTTTGTAACATCTTTAGTATCTCATAAATTAGATACCTTTGATTTGATTTGTCATGATCTTACCAAGTCTGTTTAAATTCAAATATGGGTCCAAACACAGGTAGATGGTGCTCATGAAACATTTAAAGCTTCATACAACCAAATTGAGCATTGGCCAATTTAAAACTTCATACAACCAAATGCGGTCCCTATCCAAGTCTCATGCCTTACAAATTAAATAGGTTGAAAGTGATTAACACAAAAAAACAAGAAAGGAGGAAGAAAGGAATTACCTTGGCACACCAGCCAGCCCACATATCATCATATCTGCCAATGGGTTGACCATCACCCATGAGTCCAAAGTACATGGCAGGACCAATCAGCTCCCTGTTAAAAGCAAGGTTCATTCCACACATTGGGAATAATGTGCCCTTTGGGATCGTCAGAACAACATCCACGTATCTGTATGAGCTAAAATTAATTAATAAATAAATGAACAAAAAGATTCACTCAATGCACAGAAACATAATTGCCAATATCAGATTAAAACAGAGTAATATAGTTCAGAAAGTACTAGGAGACAACCTGGTGTTGCGCTCAAGAGGCTTGACGAGCTGAGTTGGGGCGTCATAGTCAGGGATATTGAGCCAAAGCCCATGAGAAATGGCAGTAGACGCTCCTCCTCTCAAGCTAAATGGGTACCCTCTTACAAAGTCCGCCCCTTCTCTGTATGGATCATACAGAGTGTTGAAGAAGAACGGTGTCGATGGAGTTAGCAAGTTCTGTATGTGCTGTGCCAATGCATTTATTTCCTTTCCGCTTGGATCCTTGGCCACCTACTTAACAGTAAACAGTAAACAATAAAGCAGAGTACTAAAACGACAATGTTTTGTCGAAACAGAACATTTGGGTCCCACGTCCATCCTCAACGGTCAAAATTTTCCAAACATAGAGGTAAGTAACAATTTGACTTTTTCTTGAACCAAATAGACCAAAAATCTGAAAAGTCGAAAGAGAAGAAAGAAAGAGAACTTACAAAGCAATCATCGTCAATTGTGAAGATATATTTCTTCTTGGAAACCAAGAATCCGAAGCACCGGCAAGCGGAGTCTTTATAAGAGATACAATTGGCCTTGGGTCCAAGAACCCGATTGACATCGTTCCTATTATAGAGCTCGTAATCGAACCCATCGGGTACGCGAATGTTATTGGTCGGATCTCCGTCCTGGACTATGATAAGATGATAAGGCTGAAAGAATTGCCTCCACATCTCCAAGAAATCCAAATTCCTGATGGTAGGGATGACTATGTCAAGCTCGTCCTTCAATGGAGGTGAGACGTGGCTGGCTGGTTGGGCCATCAGAATTGTCAATTGTGCAGAGATGAGGGGAGAATTGAAGATTTATAGTTACAGAGACGGAAAACGGAGCGGGGGGGGGGGGGGTTGTCATTGTGCAGAGATGAGGGGAGAATTTGAAGATTATAGTTACAGAGACGGAAACGGAGCGGCGGGGGGAGGGGGTGGGTGGTAGGGCAATGGGGAAGAGTGAATTAAAAATTGAAAAAGGGAAGAAAGGACGGAAATTAATTTTGAGTTGAGTAAACGATTCATGAAGCTATTGGTTGGGGTTGGGATTCTCTGCGAATAACGCCTTGCTTATAAACCCGGCTGGAATTTTTATGGTCACTGTGACTCTCATATGCATTAGATTACGTTCCTAATGATGTTCATATGAATTGTTAATCATTCAACTTGTTTTTTTTTTTTTTTTTTTTTTTTTTTTTTTTTTTAAATAAAATTAGAACAAGTCAAGAAAATAAAAATTAGAAAAAATCATTTTCGAGTCCCTGAGTTCGTGCTAGTTGCTTATGATACGATAATTATTGTTGCTTATGGTATGATAATTATTGCAGAGTTCCTAAGGTTTGCCTTAACTTTCGATAAAAAGACCGAAACAGTAGTGTTATTAGTCACTCGCAACTGCAAATAGTAGAAACGTGAGTTGATTGATGGTTTATAGAAACTAGTACTGAACTTCAACGAGAGGTTAGGAGTTCAAACTGTAGTTTCTCCTGTTGGAAAAGTTTCATCTGGCTCAGAGAGATATATTTTTGCTTATATATATATATAGTATTATATAAATCTCCGAAAAATCAAATCCAGAAAAAATCCTAAAACAGGCAACAAAAATTAATTTATCACTTAAAACTAATACTCAATTAATAGTTTACTTGCCTTTCTTTTTTAAGCTGGTAATTGCAGAATTTTGACAATAAATAAAATAGGAAAAAATTATCCTCCCAATTGCCCGGACTCCAAAGACTCCACAAACGGAATTCAATAAAACCTATCAGTCCGGTAAACCTTCCTGACCAAAAACCTCTGTGGTTAGCCACACGGCTTCTACTTGTTACGGTTCCCACCTCCATATCATACCTCTGTTCATCTCCCTATTCTTCACCAACAACATCACTTCCCCTCCATATCTCCTATATATATTCATCCGAAAATCAAAATCCAGAAAAATCCTAAAACAGGGCAACAAAAATTAATTTATCCCACTAAACTAATACTACAATTAATAGTTTCTTGCCTTTTTTTTAAGCTGGTAATTGCAGAATTTTGACAATAAATAAATATAGGAAAAATATATCCTCAATTGCCCGGACTCCAAAGACTCCACAAACGGGAATTCAATAAACCTATCACGTCCGGTAAAACCTTCCTGACCAAACCCTTGTGGTTAGCCACCACGGCTTCTACTTGTACGGTCACCACCTCCATATCTATACTCTCTGTCATCTTCCCTTCTTCACCAACAACATCACTTCCCTCCATATCTCCTCCGTCAATATCATCTGCAGGCGCCATAACAACATTACATTCACCTTCAGCTACCGATATTTGGGGTTCCGACTTAGGTTTAAAAACCGAAATATCGGATGCAACACTGGCCACACTTATCTTGTTGACTCTCTTTTTAACTTTACTCTGTTTCTTTGGCGATTCACTTTGCAGCAAATGCTCTTCAAAAGCTTCAATGACCTGGTGAATAAGCACTCTATTAGGAGAAGAATCCCACCTATACCAAAAGCTGGTGTAACAATCAAAGCAGCCACATTGAAAAGGAGGGACCTTTTGGAGATTCTTGTTCTTCCCATTATTAGGGGTTTTACACTTGTTCTTGAGATGTTGAGTGGTATTGAGATTTGCAGTGGTGGCAATAATGGACCTTGCAATCAAGTAGGCTAAAACTTCACGGTCTTGGTTGGGGAGTGATAAGGCTAGGGCTAAAATGGCAACTGGAAGTAGCTTTAGAACAGAGTCAGGATCTTTATATGAAGAAGATGATAATGATGGTGATGGTGAAGAAAGAAATGGGAACATGTTGCCTTTTCTCTTAACCTTCATCTTTTCTGGTTTATCCCAAAACAACTGAATGGGGTCTCTTTTGTTTTTATTATTATTGTTTTTAATTTGAGAGGGTTCAGAGATTGAGGTCTTTCTGATGGTAAGTGTTAAGGTGTTAACACTGCCATAACCAAAAAAGCCTTAGCTTTAGGGATGAAGCAGGCCGACCGGCTATTTAGGTGTCTGTCTCTACGACCATGGATTATAGAGCGTCGTGTTTGGTGCCCTTAACTTTTCAGAGGAGCTGTGGAAAGTTACATATTATGCCTTGATTTATGTGTGAACTATTATTTATTTTCCGTAAGTCAAGTGATATTCACAATTTTATGCTGAAAAATAAAAATTAAAAATTAAATGAATGTTTTTTTATTTTATTATCATTTAGTTAACTTTTTTTTGTCAGTTTTTTCCGTTAAATTGTAATGAAATATCAATTAGAAATGGTTCAATCCCAATTCTCAGCCAAAAATAGAAAAGTCACCCAATTAGCAACGTTTTGAAAGAGTTTTTCCACTTTTAGCATGGGAAATTCTGTGTTAATCTTATGTAAAAAGGTTACAAATATAGTAATTTTCAGTTACATACTTTTAGGAAACAGTCGTGGAGTATCTGCATTTCTGTATCAAAATTTATTGATACACATCATGGGTGGTACTAATAGCCACTGGTCTAAATCAAATAGGCCTAGACTAGCCCAAACAGTCTGCTGGAGGTTTTATGCCCTTATGGTTTGTACATAAGGAAATGTAATGCAACTAATAGAAACAAAACCTTCCGAGCGTTTGGGCCAATTTCTAGGCCCATTTAAACTGTTGTCATTGTCATTTGGACTTGGACAGGATCTTGGCTCATAGTAAAAATACAAAGCGACGTCAATACCGCTTGTTTTACATTTTGAAGAACAAGCCGAATGTATGACTAACTGACTACGCATCGATACCCATTTCATCTCAATTTTAAGCTGAGATGGCAATTTTACCCTATTTTATCATGCCATTCAGATCCCAACAAAAAATATCTTATCTAGCTAACTATGTTATATGGAAACCTTAAAAGATTTAAACACATTTCTTTCATGTCATTTCTGGACATTGATAACTCTCACACACTCCCGGACAATTATCATATCCGTGTCCGTGCCCGTATTGGGTTCAGTGTTGTTGATTAGTGTTAATATTGATCAAAACACTCCAAAGGTCAGTGTTGACATCAAATAGTCAGTTCAATGTTACTCCCCTTGTTTAAAACGACTCATAGCCATTGTTAGGTAATAAATGCAACTCAAAAGCGTCACGTCTTCTTGTAATGGGCTGCTTTGGGATTCCATTGGCGACTGGCATGTGATTTATGGGACTCAAAGGCTCAAACCTCTCGAAAGCTTGAATTGTTATTTCTCAATATATACAATTGGGTCGTTGAAAACCCATGTTAATGTGGGACCAAAATGGGCTCCACAAGACATCATCACATGCATGCATGGCCAATCAAATGATCTTTTCCATGATATGCCAAGCTTTTGTTCAACATGAGTGACACCTGATCTTCTTTGGGATCATTTTTCATTTCTTTGTACAACGCTATTGCTCCACCTAAACTGCGTTTGCCTATTGCGTTTTTGTGTAAGGCTAAGGCTTTGTTTGTTTTTGGGTTAGGAAAGAAATATTACTTGTCAAAGGAGACATCGATGATATTAGACAGAGGCACGTACTACGTTGTATGTAATGTCCCTTTCTATGTTTCCCAAGTTAGTTATACTTAGCTACACTGACACTGTAGTCTTCAAACTTGACGAGCTGTTGAGTAATTTTTAAAGATATGGGATTGTTTAGTCAATTTCGATTCAACCATAAAGCTTGAAAATCCCAAATATTAATTTTCCCAAATCATAAAATACAATATGAGACAAAGTTGACATGATTACAGTGCCAACTGCTCTCAGTTATCAGTAATTAATCTTACTTTATACCCTAATCATGTTTGTTTATTCTCTTCGTTTTCCATTAAACGGAATTAATGATTGCTACTGGCCAACTAAACCCATGTCCACATGCTTTGAAGAACTTCCTATTCCAAATGCAAATATACATGTTGTGATCTGTGGTCTTCCAGCTGGCCTCTTTGCCAAATTTATAGGCCCAACCAATCTTTCCAAAAACACGTTTCTTCATTTCCAATTTTTGGTTTGTTAGTTTTTTCTTGATTTGGACACCATAAATAGTAATCTGCAATCAAAGATGTTGAACATGATATATAAAAATTAAAGTTGTTTCTAGTACCGTACTCAAACATCTCCGGTGGCTTAAAATTGAACCAGAAAGTGGAAACCACCATGTCTTGCATATCCACGTGTATGGAACACTTGCACAAAAATTTTTTTAACATGATTTAACATAACAGAGGCATTGTCAATTGTCAAAAGGTGAGTGCACAGTTTGCTTCCTTTAATTATGAGTTTAGTCACGTCTTCTTTCTTTTAGATTATTATTTGGTTCAGCTGTTTTAATAATATGCGATTAACGCCGACAACTAGTAGTTAGAGGATAAAATGTTAATAATTAATGTACACCCGGTATGCACTATACCCATCGACCAAACCAATTAAAAATAAATTTTAATTAAAATGAAAATATTTCTAATTATGTATTTTGAGAGAGAAAAAAAGAAAAGATACAGTCCCAATAGCTTTCAAAAAATATCTAGTTTTGTTAGTTTGAGCCGATGGGTTTTGCAGGCAACATGTGGTTTTGTCACTTGGGATTGCTGACTTTTTGCCACGAGTTAAAAGGACAAACATGTTTACATATGACATGTCATTGTCACGTGGCACTTATAGACTTGGATTATCACGTATTAAGAAGGTTAATTAGTTGAGTAAGCAAGAAATAAGATGTCTAGAAACTTCATATAAAGGAAGGGAAAGGCAAGGTTTGCGTTGAGTTTCTCCTGGCAGTGCATTAATTAGACAAACTCATAATGAGAAACAAATAGCATAAGTCAGGGTCGAGGGTCCCTTACTCCACCGCTTTCTTATATATGCAGTTCATTTAAACAAAACTTAGTGCATTTTCAATTATGCACTTGCAATTTTCGATGTTTGGATCAAAATTTCATATTTTAACACGATCATGAGCAGAAAGAAAGATATATAAACAGTTTGATGCATACAGTAGAATAAATTGGGAGAGGACAATATATGTGATGGTTTATATGAATGTCTAGCTGAATGAAGAAAAGAAAGGTGGACGTGCCTCCAAATAATTGTAATATATATGGAGTTGCTGTAGGGCAGGGACCTTGCTATACGCATACCTCTTATTATGGAGCCTCGCTTGTGACGCAGCTATAATACAAACATATATGTCTCATATCTTAGCTAAAATAGGAACACCAACTTTGCTTTCCAACTAGACCACATATTGGGAAAAAGAACTATTTATGCAAATGGGTATTGTTTTGCCCTAATTGCAATATTATTACCAATATGCGGGACGTATTTTCTTCCATTATAAAATTTTTAGAAAAGATATTTGTATTCCAACAAGTATACATTATATTATAATTTAAAAGCTGAACATTTAAGTATGGGTCAATTTGGAATTAATAAATGGTCAACAGGAAGAATAGCATGAGCACCACACTTAAGAAGCATGCACCAGCAATGAGTTATACACGATCAATTTGTAGTGGTCTTAATTAGGTACCAATGCTAACTGACTTAATCCAACCTATTGCTAGATTGAACCTGTAACACATCACAGGCTTACTGAGATATTATCCGTTTTGGGCTCTAAGTCCGCACAATTTTATTTTTGGGCCAGGAAACCACCTTCCAGCCCAAAACACATCTCAGTAGCTCAAGGCCTGTCATACTTTATGTACATTACTTCCACCTTATGCTTAACCGATGTGGGATTCGCCTAAGGTGTCACAGTCCGACCGATGTTTTTTTTTATAATTTCCCCATTATTTTTTTTACTCAAAAAGCTTAGATTTATAAATTACATGAATTTACTATATATAAATCAACAAACTGTGTGCTAATCAGGAGGAAAAAGAATAGTATATGTACTCATCATCATCATCATCATCATCATTCATTCGTACTGGAAAGAAGGAAGATATATTAATGAGAAATGTTATCCTCAATAGTACTTCCTTAATCACATTATTTCTGGCAACAAAAGCTTATGAAATTAATTATATATATCAACAATCTAATCTAACGTGAGTGCTTAATAAATAATTATGTAATCCATAATTAAAATTTGATTATATCATCAACCCAAAAAGCTATATATGTCAAATCAACAGTCATGTCATATTTTGTCATCCAAACAAGCTATTACTTACCTTAATAATTGTTTATGATTCAGAGCCAACAATGTCTCTTCCAAAATTATTCTCGTTATTTCCTCCATTACCATCCACTGCATAGCATGGTTAGAGTCAACAAAACATTTCCCGTCGTTTGAAATTTTGTTGATCTATTTTGTCATGTTTGATACTAAATATTCTATCAAATCCTATAATTCTAATCCTGAATTCTCTAGCTCGCATTTGAATGGATCAACAAACGGATATTCTTCGATTTTTATGCTCGGATTAGTTTGATATCCTTTTCAGGAATATTTCGACTATCAGATCACTTGTTTATTCCAAAAACAGATTACTGAAACATCATTATCAATATTCTAAATTCAAAATTTTCTAGACGATAAAGAAAATTTTAATTTTATTTCATAAAAGCTGCTTTAGTTAATTACCTTCAAATACTAATTTTGACCTTTACATTTACTCTTTGCTAAAAGGTGTGAATACTTAAAACGGTATCAAGAAAATATGCATTCTATTTTGGTGAAAGAAAGAATTTTTCATTTCGGTGGGAATAGATACGAGTTTGATTGTAAAAAATACAATTATACTATTCATTATACCTTAAGAAGTTACAGTAAACATGAAATTTTTACATAGGAACTTGGTTGTCAGAGTGGCAATTTCTAATCTTTTTGTGCTAATTACGATGAGGGTCCCCTTATTTTCAGGTGGGTTTACAACTTAGTCTGCAAATAAGTAATATAATATTAATGAAAGTTTGTTTATGGCATCAAAAAAGGGTCATGCAAGTTGCCTTTTCTTGAAGGCCATTGTAAAATAAGTAAAGTACATAGCATTTGAATTGCATGAAAACATTGTAACAAGAACTCAGAATTCATACTTGGATTTGGAAAAAGTGGTCCATATTCCAAATTTAGTGTGTTTGTATACTTCCAAATAGTCTAATTAATGGTTCGATTTAATTAGTAGACATAAATCAGAAACGAGCTAACTCTCAACACCCACTTTTGTAGTATTAATAAATGGCATGTGATATGGGCTCCCCTAATCTATGCGGTTTTTGGTCAAGTACCAAAGCACATCTCTTTATTTGCTAATCAAAATTCACAGGTCTTACAGTACTTTGTCACCATCTCTTTATTTGCTAATTAAGGACTTCACTGGATCATTTCAATTAATTGATAAACGTACCATAATTTCCCATTTTATATTTTTTTTTTTTTTTTTTTTGTTATGCTTAGGTTTAAAGAAGAAAATATACTCTGGAAGAATCCAAAATTAATAACTCAATCAATATGTGGCGGTAAAAAAAGAAAAAAAAGAAAAACGTGGCTTCTTCTATGGGGTAAACTTCAAATATAGATATCGTTGCAATAAATTCTGAAAATTTATTATTTTCCTACCTTGGCAGTCATAATAAAATCATGGTAAAGTTTAGGGACAGCAGCAATGGTAGAATATACAATTTTACCTTTAAATTTTATTATTTTAATTTTGTGGTAACATCAATTTTAAACACTTCAACTTTTATGAAATTAAATTATAAATATCTGTTAAATAATTGAAAAGATGTGAAAAATTATTATTCTAAAGGTTATATTAATGATATTGTGTTGTAGTTGCGTTTAAATTTATCTTTACACATGTCAGGTCCTTTTTATATCTCCTAGTATCATTGGATTTTAGCTACTATTTGGTGGATTTGGAAAGGGATGAACTTGTATGTTTTTCAGAATGAATTTGCTGTTGTTTCTGCTTTAAATTATTGTGTTTTTCAAATAGCTTTGGCTATTGTGAATTCTTCTACTCCTGCTATTGTTTCGGTTAGAGTTAGTAGGCGATTTTGTGTGGCTTGGGTTAAGCCTCGGTAGAATTGGGTGAAGTTAAATAGTAATGGCAGTAGTCTTACTAATCCGGCATTGACTAATGGCGGTGGTGTGTTCCGTGATTGCTAGGGGAGATGGCCTGGAGGCTAGTCTCTTAATATTGGTCACTCTACTATTTTAGTTGGTGAAATTATCCTCTATTTGAACATGGGTTATTCTTGCTTGGAACTATGGTTTCCGCAAGGTGGTTGTTGAGTCTCATTGTTTAGAGGTTGTTAGGCTAATGAGCTCAGGTTTATCTATTGCTCATCATTCGGCTATTCTTATTTTGGATATTTAGAGCTTGATTACTCGTGATTGAGAGTGTTCTATCCATCATGTGTTTCGTGAAGCTAATTCTGCGGCTGATCATTTGGCCAACTTCGAACATGCCATCCTTCTTCTTTATTCATTTGGGAAGCCAATTCTAGTTTTTTGTCTTTGATTCTTTGGACCGATGCTTGTAGCATTGATAGGTTTCTGCTTTTTGTTCTGCTCTTCTTTTGCCCAAAAAAAAAAAAGTTACACTAATGATACATCAAATTAATTTTTGTGTATAAAAATAAAACATTTAATAGTGTTAATGCATAAAGTAAATAATTATATAAAAAATTTATAAATTCAAGTGTAATATAGATTTTCCATAGAAAATTGAAAACCACAAGATTAAAATTGAAAAGTTGAAATATAAATTTATGTATTAAGCTTATTAGCAATTTGTCAAAGATATAACTCATTGATGACCTTCTCAACATATTCACAGTCGTTGTCCAAATTATCATACTCTTCTAAGTGAACCTGCTTATTTACTCAAAAAATTTATCAACACTTAGTGAATAACATATTTATATACTAAATTAATTATAAATAGTATTTTGATTTAAATGATGGTATTTTTTCTATATACTAACTTAGTATATGAAACCACCTATACAGGGACGCAGGTAAAAAACATTTTTCCTCTAATTATAACCAACTTTCCTACTCACGTACCATGGGGCCACATTTAAGTTACTAAGCCCAACAACCATGAAGCAGCCCTTTTAGCCGATGAAATATTATGAAATGATTATGAAAAAAAAAATACGAAATAAAAGATAAATTGTTATAATATTAAAAATTGATATTATATGTCGTGGATTAGTTTGAAGTGAAACGGAATTTAACTGTAAAATCAGATATTTTAAAGTCTTCACTTGATATGAATGAAATGGATACCGACGAGTTAGGTATGAGATGAATTTTTTAATATCTAAAAATTGTTCCATGAAATTAAACATGCATCCTCATCATCCATCTCACATTTTTAAAAAAAAAAAAAAAAAAATTAAACAGAACTTTTTATGAGTAAATCAAATTTTATTTTTAAAATTTATATCTTCGTCTTTAAATAGATGAGATTTTACTTGTCCATTCCATAATAAAGATGGAATTTTCTTTGGCAGAGGCTCATTTATAGTATTTCAAATTACGAAGTCATAAATACGGGCATTGTTTTTGTTGGTAGAGTTAAATGGAAATGGGATAGACATTTGGTTGCTTCCTGTCCAAATTAGGAAAGGAAGAGATGATGAATAAGGGCATCCATGATGGAATTCTATACATTGGATCAAAGTTACAGTTGGGTGGGACCACAGTGAAATCCAAGTTACCTATTAAAAAAACAGTGAAAAAAAAATGATAGAGATTTTTACTTAAAAAGTTAAAAAAAGGCCAAGGAAAAAGACCAAAAGAGCATGTAACCTCCGGCCACCATTTGTCTCAAGCAGGTCCTTCCTACACTGCACGTGCCCCTTATAAAAAGCCACGTAATTTTGATGATGATGATGATAATACTACTAAAATACTAGTCTGCCTCAGATCTGATGGTCCTCAGCTCATAGTAGTGGTGTGGGTATACAAACTCATCCAAGTTCTAGACAGAGAGAGATAAAACTCATTACTCGACAGAGAAAGAGAAGCGCTTTCAGTTTCAGAGTTCATCTCCGCCACCGTATCAGTGTATTTTTGAATCCGGAAAAACAAGAAAATGGGAGAGGTCTTTACTCTACACTCTTCAGCCCTAAAATGAATCTTTTTTCGCCTTTTTTTTTTTTATTTTTTGTTTTATTTTGGATTTGTTTGTGTAGGAGGAAAAGAAGCCAGCTGCAGAAGAAACGAAAGTGGAGGAAAACAAACCAGAGGAAGCAAAGAAACCGGAAGAAGGAGACAAAGCTGAAAAGAAAGAAGAAAAGCCAGCAGAAGAAAAGAAAGAAGAGAAAAAACCAGAAGATTCAAAAGAATCCAAGGATGAACCTCCTCCACCTCCACAAGAAATTGTTCTCAAGGTTTACATGCACTGCGAGGGTTGTGCTCGGAAGGTTCGCAGATGCTTAAAGGGCTTTGATGGTTAGTGCGTATAGTTCTCTACTTTCTTTTTAAAAATCACTTTCTATTAAATATAAAAGGGCCTCTTCTCTGATTCGTTCATTGCGATTAATGTTATAGGGGTTGAAGATGTAATTACTGATTGCAAAACTAGTAAGGTTATTGTGAAGGGAGAGAAGGCAGCCGCGGATCCATTGAAGGTTCTAGCCAGAGTTCAGAGGAAAAGCCATAGGCAAGTCGAGCTCATCTCTCCGATCCCAAAACCGCCATCTGAACAGGAGGAGAAGGCGGCTGAAGAGAAAGAGAAGCCCAAGCCTGAAGAGAAAAAAGAAGAGGTTTTTACTTTTCTTTAATTTATTTTTTCGTGATTCATGTTTTGTTTGTAATTAAACTTTGAGCTCATTTTCTTGATTTTGCAGCCTCCAGTGATCATAGTTGTCCTACAGGTTCACATGCATTGTGAAGCTTGTGCAATGGAAATCAAGAAACGGATACAAAGAATGAAAGGCATGGCATTTTTCTTTTCATTTTCGATTTAATTAATATATAATATAAAGTGGCTAAATCTTTTAGGCATCTTTGCTCTATTTTTGGTTCATGCAATTTCTCTTCAGCTTTTTTTAGTTAGATTTATTGGTGATTCACGTTTTAACCCTTTTTTTTTTTAAAAGAAAGATTATTAAGTTATTGTCTTTAGCACCTTTTGAATCTCTCAGAAAAGATTTTATTCTCTTTCTAATTCTTATAATTAATCCTTTCTCTTATTATATTTAATCATTTCATTAGATTCCGATTCAATTTAATCAAATCAAAGTATTAAAAATTCAGTGGATTTCCAAATCCCTATCAAATCCCACCAGCCCCACATCATAATTCTTGAAAGTTTGCATTAACGAGACCCAAATCTTGATTTTGAAATTACTTTTATTATTAGGTGTTGAATCAGCTGAGCCAGATCTAAAAAGCTCACAGGTAACAGTAAAGGGAGTTTTTGATCCTCCGATACTTGTCGATTATGTGTACAAAAGAACAGGCAAGCATGCAGTAATAGTGAAGGCAGAACCGGAGAAAAAAGAAGAGAAAGGAAAGGAATCCAAAGAAGAGAAAAAAGAGGAGGAAGGTGACAAAGAAAAGAAAGGCGGTGAACAGGAGGAGAATAAAGAAAATAAAGAAAGTAAAGAAGGTGGCGGCGGGGGTGAAGGGGAAGCAAAACCAGAGGCGGCAGCGGAAGCGCCACCCGCAGAAGAAAGTACAGTTGTAGAGCTGAAGAAAAATGAATATTACTATTTCCCACCAAGACCGTATGCCATGGAATTGTATGCATACCCTCCTCAGATCTTTAGCGACGAGAACCCCAATGCATGTTCTGTTATGTAAAAAGTTAATGAAATCAGGGGCAAATATGAGATTTTAGGGGAAAATATGCTCATAACCCGCCCATTCTGGACTCTCTGATGTGCTGCTCCCTCTTTTGTACTTCCTGCTCAGTATAATCTACAGATAAGCTGTAGAATTTTGTGATGTATTCTTCTTTTTTTTTTTTACCTTTCTTTTTCTATTCCCAAAAAAAACTCCTCTCTTTCCCTGTTAACTTCCTGCTCTAGTAAACTCTATCAGTTAAGCTGTTAGATTTTGGTGATGTGATATTCTTCTTTTTTTTTTACTGCTTTCTTTTTTCTATGTCTGCCTATGATAAAAAGAAATATAAAAACGCCATAGCTGTTCAGTAATGATATTATATAAACAATGTTAATTGTAAAATATTGCAAATAATTAATTTATTATAATATTTTTGGTACTTGAGCAGCATTTTGGATATTTTAATAAATGAAACCATTGTGGCCTTGCTTCTTATTTGATTAATTTATTATGTTGGTAATTATTTCGTGTAATTAATTTGAGATATTGTAAGGGTCTTCTTTGCTACTGCTGAACATGGATGAACTGGAAGGAATTTAAGATTTTGGGAAGATGATTAGAAGATTTAACTCAAGTTTGCCTTGCTTGCACTTTATTTGGCTGTCTCTGTGGCTATTTTCTCTTTCTTACTAAATCAACTAAAACAAAGGATGAATGAATGATTATCAGAAAGAAATGAAGAAGTAGATTGGAATTGGTCATGTTTATGTTTTGTTTTCACTTGATTATATAGAAAGTGTTGATGAGAGGGGAGGTGATTGGGAAACCATTCTCAATCTAAAAAACTTATAAATTGCAGAACATATAAAAGAAACATATAATTTGATGAAGTTTGGACATTCTTTTTTGTGGTAAACAGGTTTTAATGACCCTCTTTTGAAAATATTTGTGGCTATGGCTTTTAGATATCATACGTTCTTATTGGTTATTTTTATATGATTCATAATGGGAAAATTCATTATATCATGGTATGTAATAAAAAAAAAAAAAAAAAGAACTGTCATATATATAAATATAAACAATAGTAATAAATAACAAATAATAATATATAATATTTTTACAGCAGCATATAAATAATAAATTTGAAACCATGTGGCCTTTGTTCTTATTTGAATAATTATTATATGAGGGTTATTATTTCTTAATTAATGAATAGGTAGGTCTTCTTTGCTACTGCTGAAACAGGTGGATTGAACTGGAAGGTGTTTTAGATTTGGGAAATGATTAGAAGATGGACCCAAAGTTTGCCTGCTTTGCACTTGTATTGGCTGTGCTATTTCCTTCACCTAAATCACTAAAACAAAGGAGAAATGAATGACAGAAAGAAAAGAAGAGATGGAATGGTCATGTTTTATTTTTGTTCACTGATTATATAAGAAAGAGTTGATGGAGGGGAGGGGAGGGGACAACCATCAAAACAAAAAACAATAATTCAGAACAAAAAAACAATAATTTATAAAGTGGATTCTTTTGGTGGAAACAGGTCTTTAATGACACTTTTGAAATATATGGCATCTTTTTAGACATAGTTCTTATGGTATTTTTGATATGATCATAATGGAAATCATAATCATTATGATATGAATGGAATGATAATTGAACAGTTTGTCATTTCTGCTTTAAATTTATAATAGCAAAAAAAGGGATTTTATAGATACCAGTATATACACTTAATAAATTATTGTTGACAGAAATATAAATATGAGTGTCTTTAAAATGAAAAATAAAAAGGATAAAATAATGTCAATCATGGTATTATTGGTCTTAGTAGCGAGAGATCTCAAGAGTTTGAGTCCTTTCGATCATATGAGTTTAAATCATTTTTATTATAAGAGTCTTCACCAATTGAATAGATTAAGAAAAAAAAATTATTCTGACGTGTAACTGGCAGTATTATTTTGATCCATATTAAACATTTTCATAAATTGAAAAATAAATATAAAAGAATAGTAAAAAATGACGGATTTTTAAAATATCAATCCACTGTTAAGGATGAGACGTAGATGTTCCATCCGTGAAAAAGAAGCATAAGTGTAATCAGCGCCTTTTGAAATTAAATTAGTATCATGTACAGAAAGATACGGAATACAAGTTGGAGAATAAAAAAAAAAAACGACGAGACAGACAAGTTGTGATGTCAAATTTTCGCATATAAACTGTAGTTTTCAATAATAGTCATTAAAGCATATTAAACGACAAATGGTTATAAAGTAACTTAAAGCAATAATTATTATTCGTCAGGCAAAGTTTAAACTGAATGGTACTTGTTAATCTGGTCTTAGTCGAAATTAGGTTTACTTAATTTTTTGAAGTTGATCTTCGATAAACCGGGTTTAGAAGACCACAACTTCCTCAAAATTTCCACCAGAAGTTAGAACTGAATAGTAATAAAGAAATAATACCTTGTAACTTGAAATCCGTTTTCCCAGGAGGACCATAGAAACCTACCTCAAATGGTTCTGTTATTCTCGATAAGGAGTAAGATTAAGAAAGAAGAGGAAACAGGAGCAGGCCATGCAAAATCATATCAAATAATTCGATTGGGTCATGAGTATGAATCTGGAAATACCCAAAAAGCCTGTGTTAAATTTAATTGGTCCTCGAGCACTCAATCTTTACAGCACACCTAATTAGTTTTTACTGTTGTTATTCTTGGAAGATATGATGGTTTTTTCTGAAGGAAGCGAAGTGGAAATATAATGACAATGGAGAATAACAACTCCAAGGTGCTGACAAAGTTGGATGGTAAAAATGGTTCGTCAGTGGGCTCATCTCATCTAGAACTCAAATCAAATAATGAGAGTGAAAGAGATTCTTATAACCAGTAACCACCATGGTAGCCAAAGGATATTAGCACATGCAATGAACTTTTTGTGTTGAAAGTAGCATGTCGATTATTGTGCCTACACTTCACTACCATCTAATAATAAACTTAATCAAATCATACACTATAAATAGGATGTCCTCCCAAGATTAAACCCCCCTTCAAAGCTTCTGTACCGCAGATTCCATTCTCACATGCTAATTCCATTGTTCCAGCTACAGATTTTTTGTTTTTGTTCCCCTTCTTTTCAAATTATTTTCCAAGGGAAACATATTATATTTTACTATTTATTAAATTAATCTAATCAATCAATCTTTTTAGCATTTCTGAGTGTACTAAATTTAATTAAGGCTGCAACCTCCAATAAAAACAAATAATTTAATTATCTTTTTGGCATTTCCTAATATAAAATCCATAAATATGACCTTTTTACTAACATTCTTCCACCAATTTTTATTTTATACTTTCGTTTAAACCTTTTTTGTCCTTAATTTCTAATTGTTTCTCCTATAAAAATAGTCAATTGAGCATACATCAACCCAGATACTTCAAAAACGTATTAACCCATCCACTTTATGGAGAATGAAATTGATTTGAGTAAATTATTTGGTAGAAAAAGGATAAGGTGAACTGGTTGTCAAAGGAAATGATTATGGAAAAATTATATGGAGCAGGAAAGTTGGTGGTTGTGGCGGATTAATCACTCCATCGATCTCAATGTGGGAATTGTCCCTTTCTATATATTTGCTCACGATGACGAAATCATACATGTAAATTTCTTGACAACGATATGTACAAACTCTAGTGTTTGTTAGTGTTTTTCTTTTTTTCTTTTTCATTCGTCGACACGTTATCTCATCATCCCTTTCCTTATCTTTTCTTTCTCTTTTCATGGGCTTCTTAAAAGTCGATTCATTCCGTTTCCGTCTCTAATTTCCTCATTTCCTTTCCTCGAAATTCAGAATATGACTATGAATAATAAGCTAATGCAGTCGTTTTCCGTTTCAACTTATAGTTTCTATGGAATTTCTCTGACGACTCGACTTGGGCTGTAGACTTAGGGTTTTTCTTTGTTTTTACTTGCAATGTTTCCAATTAATACAAATCTGTAAATATGGTGTTTCATAAAATTTTATTCCAATTAAATTATTTTTAAATATAATAATTTACATATTTCCAATATAAATTTATTGAAATAAAAGTATTCATGATCATCTATCAATAATAAATAAATAAATAAAAGAAATACAAGCGATTTTTGGTGTAGGCAACCTTTTATCCATTTTTGAGAAAGATGATCTTTCAACATTGATGGAAGGCTCAACTTTATACCGATCCAATAGTTAATTGCCATGTTAAAAATTGATCAGCATTTATTACTATTTTATCTATTTTGATTCTTAAATTTTTGTTGAATATTTATTTTCATCTAAAATTAAATTAGATATCTAGAAAAAATTGGAAGTTGAAATTAAAAATTTATCCATTTTGTTTATATCACCCTATTTATTTATTTATTTATTATTTCTAATTTCCACGGTTGTTTTTGTCTGAAATGAGACAATGAAAATGGCGCCGGTGGGCATACGCATAATTTAGATAGACACCAAGGGGTAAATTGGTCTTTTCAAAACTGAAAAGAATAATTAGCTGACTTCCATTATTCCAGGTCGTGAGAGTAAGAAAGCAGTTGACGGACTTTGACGTAATTAACGCTTCGGACAATTACATCTCGTTTTCCAATGAGTACGGAACTCGTTAATTATTAATATAACGATACTAACATTTTTAATTGCTCATAATACTAATAACAATAATACGAGGAGCATCGGAAGCGTTGATAATTGTCTACGAACAATACCTCACCTGGGCAGCTGGGCTTGGCCTTCTTGACCTCTATCTACTCATTCTGTACTTTCTATTTTGCTCGTCAAAAAAGAAAAAAAAATTTATTTATTTATAAAACTATAAATTACTCAAAGTCACAGTGCCCGTGGTCCAAATACTATCATATTTATGTTATATGGACAATTACTATGCACTTTCCTCCTTTGACTATTTTTATTGTCTTCTTATGTTAGAAAAGCTTTCCTTTATTTTTTATCTCCAGCATTGTCCTATTGCGTGCAATTTTCTTGTGTCTATAATGAGATTTTTACTCTCTTAGCCATCTTTAGCAATGACTTATTGGAGATAAGAGTTAACAGATATTGATAAAATTTGTTTAGGTTGTTATGGATAGATAATTTCTGTTGTAACTTATTTTGTAACCATATACTATTTAGTATAGGACTCTTCTTGTATTTAAACAGCTTTTAAATCAGTTGC